AGGCTTCGCTTTCGAAGTCCCAATTATCTTCGCGCCACTGGTCACCTTCCGAAGTGCACAAGCAAGTCATGCGCTCACGACCAAGCTGGGTGACATCAGGGCCACCTTGAAGTTCCTCCTCGTTGGGAACAAACAACGTGCTACGCGGAACGAAGTGGAAGCGAATCCACATCAACGGTGTGTCCAACCAGAAGTCATGTTCATACGGAAGGCCTGTGCTTGGATCTGGCTCTTGAAGTTGAGATGCCACAAAGCGTCTCACACTTGCCTCATTTCCATCCGAAGCTTCACGAAGGCTCTTCTGAAGATCACCCCTCTTCGGATACAGCGAAGTTTCTGGTCTGAAAGACTCTGTCGCAACAGGGGCGCGAGAAGTGCGCGCTTGCTCAACTGGAGGAGAAGCTTTCGGATCCTCGTGGGCCGGCGGAGTGAGAAGTGACCTCTTCTGAAGAAGTCTCGTCGGCGGGCGCTGGTTCGGAGGAGTTGTAAGTTTAAACTCCGTTCTTCCTTTCCAGAAGTGATCCAGCGCTCGCGTGGGCTCATCTGAAGTGACCCAGTTGTCCGTGAGCTCCTTCTCATTTCCTTGAGCATCAACCACGAAGGTTTTCCGCTCTTGAGCAAGCTTGTTCAGCGCCACTGGTCTATCTGAAGTGCCGCTTGGCACAAACAGATTTTTGCGAGGGCGCTTGTGATACCGCACAAGAACGTTTCTTGCGGGATCGAAGTGCCAACGATCAGCGTGGTAGTACACAGGCTTGAACGCTGACACCGTGCTCTCAGCCTCCGTTGCGAAGTTTTCGTGGAACGCAACACACACCAACTCGAAGTCGTGCTTGACAAAAGGAAGTATTTCCGGCTTCAAGAAAAGAAGTGAACCCTCACGCTCAACAGGAAGGTGCTTGCCATCTGGAGCGTGAAGTGTCAGCTCATCCTTTCCTAAAGTTGCGGTGTAGTTCTGGGCTAGAAGTCTTCCTACCGAAACGATAGGATAGCCAATGTCTGTGACATAGAAGTGCATGTGAAACTCAACATCACCTATCTTCATTCCTACAAGTCGTCTACCGTAGATGTTGAGGAGCTGCCCTGTTACACTGCGAAGTGGAGGCGCTCTGTCTTGGAGTGGAAGCAACGGCCACTCTCGTGCGAAGTTCTTGGGGCAGCAATGAGCTTCTGCACCGCTGTCAAACAAAATCCACTGCGGGCTCAAAGAAGTTACCGAAGCGACATGTTCCTCAAAGAACACATCCTTGAAAGAAGTGTTGAGGTGACTCAAACCCGAAGTGAAAAGCGTACTGAGAAGTGTGGACTCCTGACCGGGTCCTTCGTCTTCGAAGTTCGGCATTGGCATCGTCGGGGCGATGCTGAACGAAGACCCTGAAGTTACACTACCTAGCGTAACCGCAGCAAGCAGAAGTCCTGAGGCTGTTGAGGCTTTCGGCTTGGGTGAGGCTTTGGCTTTCGAAGTTTTGTCGGGAAGTGAAAGGCCTGGAGGCTCACCGAAGGTAACAGCCGAAACCTTGTCAGCCGAAGTTGCTGAAGTCTGCGTAGCTGCTGGTGGTACCGGCGCTTGGTTTGAAGTTTCGCTTGAGGTGGCTGGTTGGGAGGCTTGAGAGAAGGAAGTCGGGTCGTAAGCCCAAGGATCCTCATTCCAAGCAGAAGTCCACCACGATCCATCATCCCATGCATCAACCTGCCATGTGAAGTCATCAATTGCACCGATCCACGAAGCATCATCCCATGAGGCATCCCAGGCATCACCGAAGTCATGCCCTGCGTCATACTCTCCTGTCCAATCTGCATTCCAATCACCTGAAGTCTCATCTACCGCGGAAACACGATACTGATGCGGACACTCTCTCGAAGTGTGGCCAATTTGGCCGCACGTCCAACATGTGATTGCTCCCGTCTTTCCTGAACCCGAAGTTCCTTTCTTTCCATATCCTTCCTTTCCTCCTTTTCCTTTTCCTGATCCTTTGAAGTTTCCTTTCATTCCTTTTCCTGATTTCCCTTTTCCTTTCATGAAGTTCCAGTGGCCGAAACCACTCTTTCCTCCTTTCATTCCTTTGGGGCCGAAGCCCTTTCCTTTTCCTTTCTTTCCTTTGAAGTTTCCTTTGCCCCAACCTTTCAGGGCTCCTACATCCATCGGGGCTGGACCTTGAGAACTTGAAGCTGTGCCCTGAAGCATAAGCCTTGATCTGAAGTACGATACAATCACTTCTCTCATCTGCGCATAGGTCCTGATCGAAGTCGAGTTCAACCTCAGGTGCTGCTGAAGTTGTCCTGAAGTCTTATTCAACAACGTAGCTATGAGAACTCCGTCGGGCAGCGAAGTGCCTGTGAGCGTCTCGTATCTGACCTTGACCGTCTCCCATGAAGTGAAGTCTTGCTCGAACGTATGCGTGTTGAATTTCCAATCAAGAACTTGTGCGAGAAGTGCGTGCTCGCGCTGCGCGTTGGGCATGCTGAATTTCTGTTGAAGTCTTCTCCAAGTTTCGAAGCCGTTTCCACCGACGTTCTGACGAACTACAAGTTTCGCGGCACCCGAAGTGAGATTTGCGAGGAGAACATGAAGTTTTCGACTGAAGCGAATGAGCTCGGCTGTTCTGGCTTCCGGGAACCTGTCACCTCTGAAGTGTTCATCTATTACCTCTACGTTCGCATTTCCTGATCTCTCAAGAAGTTCAGCAATTGCAGGATCAAACAATGAAGCATAGATTGTGAAGTTCCACTGCCATTCTTCCCAGTCCTCAGGATTTCCACTAAAGACCGGCGGAAGTGGCAACCGAAGTTTGCCTGCGAACTCTCCTTCTAGCTCAGCTGCTGACATCTACGAAGTTTCCTACAAAGGCCTAGGAGCACGAAGCTCCGCTACCATGAAAAAGTACAAAGCGTCTGAAGTATGCACAAACAGAGCTCAACCCTGAAGTCAGCACAGCACTCTGAAGTCCTCTTTGTCACAGCCAGCCTTGAGCCACACGAAGTGTGGTGGTCGAAGTAAGCTGGAAGGAAGTTACTGTACCGGGGAGGTGCACAGAAGTCTTATATCTTAACAGACAAGCACGACAACCACCACAAACACCACAACCACGACAACCACGACAACCACGGCAACCACCACAACCACCACGACCACCACCACAACCACCGCAACCACGACAACCACGACAAGCACGACAACCACCACAAACACCACAACCACGACAACCACGACAACCACGGCAACCACCACAACCACCACGACCACCACCACAAGCACCACGACCACCGCAACCACGACAACCACGACAACCACCACATCCACCACAACCACCGCGACCACCCGCAGCAGCAGCAGCAGCGGCGGAGGCGGCGGCGGCCGCAGCTGCAGCAGCAGCAGCGGCAGCAGCAGCAGCGGCAGCAGCAGCAGCAGCGGCAGCAGCAGCGGCAGCAGCAGCAGCAGCAGCAGCAGCAGCAGCAGCAGCAGCAGCAGCAGCGGCTAGCAGCAGCGGCAGCAGCAGCGGCAGCAGCAGCGGCAGCAGCAGCAGCCGCAGCCATGGGAACAACAGCAACAAGCAGCAACAACAACCGCAGCAACAGCAACAACACTAGCAACAGCAACAACTGCAACAACATTAAAAAGCGCAACAATGACGTCAACAACAACCGCAACAGCAATCACACCATAAACTCGTATAGCTCCTGCTGCTGCTACTGCTGCTACTGCTGCTGCTGCTGCTACTGCCTGTTCAGCCCGAAACCCTCTTAACCTTGTAGGCTTTAAATCTAAACCCCAAACCCTAAACCCCAAATCCCCAAACCCTAAACCCTAAATCCTAAACCCCTAAACCCCCTAAACCCCAGACGCAAGGGAGAGGCAGCTCCAGCGTTCCCGGGAGCTAGCCACGAGCCGTGGTGCGCGGCAGGCGCTTCGGCTCGGGAAGAAGAGGATTTTCAGGCCTTTTCTTGGGGCCGTTTTTGGTTAGAATAGGGTTCCCCTTTTAAAAGTATAAGGGATCTGTAGTAGGGTTGATTATTGTCAGGGCTTAATCTAGGGGCCTGAATTGGGCCGGCCTAAACAATCATCTACATTATTGTGGGGGTTCCTTCGTATAACTATAGCATAATGGGCCTCAAAACCCTAGTCTAATTATTATTGCCCCTACATAGGGGCCTCAAAGGACGGGTTCGATATCCAAGACGGGGTCCAAAACGGATTTCTGAAGGATCTATTCATGCTATAAACGACTCTACGAGTCTGGGGCCGAGGACGTCGGGCGTGTTGTTTAGCGACATGGGGTTCGTGATGAGGGGCCTTGGGGATAGACGTGGACGCGACATGACTTCGAGAATAGATTGCTCGATAGCCGAAAACCATAATGCCAGTCCAAGTCCTTGAGCCCGAAACTGGAAAGCCTCCTCAACACCAGCACACGTAACAAACACCTTGCTCTGCCTGCGCTCTATAGCTGTTGCTGAGGAGTCTTGTGAAATCGATATTGACTTCAACCAGGAAGCGCACGTCTCGCTTTGGCTACTGGTAGTCGTGCTCTTGTGTTGAACTTGTGGTTGGGCAGTCTTCTTCAGTTTGTTGTTTGTTTCAACTCTTTTTTCCGGATCTGCCACGTCGACTTCTCCCCCGAAGGTTCGTCACAGTCTAGTTGGCTCTCAGCCTCGAGCATGCCCAGCCTCGAAACCCCTACACCCTAAATCCTGAAGCCTAAGCCCTAAACCCTTTAAAACCACTTATAGCAAAAAGCGCTCAAACACGGACTCCCTAGGACCCATAAGCTCCATTGGCCAGGTCGACTCCTGCGTGCACGATTCTTCCTCTCAGCCAGCCCAGGTGGGATGTAGCCGGTGAAGTACTGAAGAGGTCTTTTAGTGACGGTCATGTTCCTGTGGTGCTCGGAGAGCTTGTAGAGGTGTTGCAGAGTCAGAGGATGTGGCGAGCTTGAGCCGGGAGTCCTTGGTTCTAGCAGCCAACAAGGCCTTCAGAGCAGTGAGCTCGATAGTCGTGCGTGATGGGGAGCGGTGCTTCTTTAGCAGCTGGCGATGGAGAGATCAATAAGCTGTATACACACGATCAGCCAGCCAACTCGAGCCGGCTATGTGTCGTACAGTCGAGGATTTGGATGCTCATCGACGACACCGGCAAAGCGGTGATGCACGACCTCGCAGCCCGGAAGATGTCATTCGTGAATGGTGTGATGACGGACTGGTCTTGCTGTTGTGTCGCCGATGACAAGGTCTATATTCTTGGTAACGCCGGCCTTCAGGTGCTGGATCCTGCCACAGGGAAAGCGCAAACGGTCCACAACAATCCCTATCCCGGCAATTACGAGTTTATGGGGTTTCTGGACATGATCTTCGTGGACCGCGGGCTTTATATGCTTGCAAAAGTACACGACGAAAGGCATGTACAATTGTGTAGGTATGATGTGGATCTAGGCAAGGTCGAAGAAGCTTCTAAGGCGATACGGGGTTACAGTTGCATGTGTGCAGCTGCAGACAAGCTCTTCTTATTTTCTATGGATACGGTGTACGTATCCGTGAAGGGCAAAGACCTTGCCAAGCTCGTGGACATCCCGGGAGAGCTTCGAACTCCAAGAGCGTTCGTTTCCACATGCGTCGTGGATGGAGTCATCTACACAGCTCCAGCCACGGCTTCCACGATGCTTTCCTGTGACACGACGAAAGGAACAGTGAGTACGATCATTCTTGGAGATGGAGTGCATCATGGAGGGAGAAGTGCAAATTTCAGTTCAATCTGCGCCGCAGATGGCAAGGTTTACTTGGCTCCAGCCTATGCTGCTCGAATGGTCGTCTATGACACGAAGAAACGTACAGTATGTGCCGTAGATGTGTCAAGCGCAGGGATCGAAACGGGGAAGCCAAAGTTCAGCGCCATTTGTGCCGCCGGGGGAAAGGTTTTTCTTGCGCCGGACCATGCCGAAAAGATGTTTGTCTATGACCCCGCCGTCCAAGCCGGTATGGGTGTAGAGTTACCGGAATCCTGCTCCGGCAGAAAGTACGGAGACATCTGCTCCCTGGGCGGCAAGGCGTGTTTGACCTTCAAAACTGTAGGCACGATAAGGAATACTCGACCCCAACACGAGGCCCCGTTGTGGGAATGCTGTGGTGTGGAAGCTACATACCCCAACATATGATCTTCATTGCGTTAACCTCCCATGTCTGTTTTGGGTGGCAGGTTTATCTGGCTCCTCACGGCACCCGCTCGGTGCTGGAGTGTACAGATCACCAGGCCTTCTCAAAGTCTTCCAGTGCCAAGGCCATCCTGGCGGAGTATGAGGCAGAGAAGGCCTCGCCAATGGAAATTTGGTTGGACCCTAAAACCCTCGGACCTGAGCCTCTAGACTCCAAAACCCTAAACCCTAAGCCTGAGCCATCAGAACCCTTAAATCCTGAACCGTAAACCCTAAACCCTGAACTTTACACCCTAAATCTTTCCCAGGCAAAGCTCGAGGAACTCTGGGCGGAAAGGATACGGCCAGCACGGGAGGCTCTCAAGAAGGCGCGGAGGCTCCTCTGTCGAGGTCGAGGGTCCTCGCCCTTGTTTAAGGTTGAGGGTTGCGTTTATGCGCTATGTTTATAGACTTTTAAAACTATGGATACATAAAGGACTTCAGTGGATTTTACCATTGGAATGAGAAACCAGTTGAGCCGCGCAATTTCTCCATCCTGTTTTGTTGTTTTTTCGGTTTATGATTTTTGTGGTTTTATTTTCCAAGAACGGTTGCGGGTAGTTTCAGAGGCCAACACTGCCGACAACTATGGGCACATACAAGGACTTCGGTGGATTTCAGGCTTGAAGTGGAGCCAAAGCCACCCCAAAAAAGCGTCACAGACATGTTATTTTCCATACAAGCAACTGGCTATCCTGGCTTGTTTATGTTTCTGTTGAAATGGTTCCAGGTGGCAGTTCAGAATCCAAGCCGCCCAAACACCAGTGACAGAAAAGGAAGAAAACAGAGGAATTGAGGCCTGAAGTGTAGCCAAACCAGCCCGAAGCATGCCACAACCCCTGAAACAACACAATAAATTAAAAGGTTGATTTATTGTTGGTACATGGCGGCAGACCCAGCCAGAACTTCGGAAACATCAACCTGATAAACACAGACAAACACCGTACACGAGCATCTTGTGAAACACCCAAGCCATAAACTTAACGGAAGGTAATCAAGAGCACATACCGCATCAAAAATGCTGCAAAAACGGTTCTTCTGGGTTTAGGGTTCATGGCTTTGTAGGGTTCCTACGTCAACTCACGTGTTTCGCAACCCTGGGTTGAAACATTTTGAGGAAATATTCTACTGCCCTCAGCAGGGACGTCGTAAGTTTCCGGAAGGCCATGTGGGCCCTGTGCATCAAACCGAACATTAGATATTAAGCTCATGCGGATTTCGATAGTTTCGTGCAGAGGCTCTCTAGACTTACTTGCTCCGAAAGCCCGGCTTCAACACAAACATTCCAACGTATTCTGTTCGACGAGTGCCACATCGACAGGAGTCCGAGGGGGCTGGCATCTCCCTGCATTTCGTGATCGACAAGTTCCCTGAGCTCAGCAAAGTCAAGGACTGGGCTTGAGTTTCCGATGTGCAGAAACGAGGCTGTAGCAGACTCATGTTGGCTCCCGCTGAAGCGGGGGCTTGTGCGGGAGTGATTGGGGAAGGCTCACTAGAGACTTGAACGCTTCAGTTGCCCGGATCGTTAGATTTGAGTTGATGGCTGAAACAAGGAAGTTTTCGTCATCTGCTTTGGAGCTCCTTGTGGTGCAGAACCCCCAATCCGAACTTGAGCGCAGGCCTTCCCGGCAGATGATCCGAAGACCTTCAGAAATCTGAAGCCGTCCTTGTTCGCAGAAGGTGGGCACCCTTCCAAATCTCTTCAATCCCACAAAATCGGGTGTGAGAGGTGTTTGTGCGCCGTCTCGGGACTACGCTGGCATACCTGTTGTGAGTTAGGACACAAGGATACTGTTTCAGGATTGAGAAATGAGGGAAAAGCTCTAAAATCGTGCGTTGGTAGCTGGATGAGCTGCGTCAATCCTCTGGCAGCGTCTGCGTAATCCTTGAAATCTGCAATCCGAAGTCCTGAACTAGCAGGTTCGGGCTATGGCTCTGACTTGCTCTGCCCACGAGACCATCAAAAGGGTTGCAGCCTTGTGGATGCCATGTATGAGGTGGATGTCCCTGGGCTGCACCTGAAGTAAACTTGTTTAGTTAACAGAAAGTCTTGAGTATTATTTCATTGCGCAAACCTTTCGTGTCCTCTTTTGGTGCCAGACAAGGAAGCTAACAGGGGGCAAGCCACCCATTTTGTCTCGTGGTGTTGGGGCTACACCGTGGAGCAGGTGTGCAGTTCTTTGAAAAGCTGGCGCGCAGCGGCAGGCAAGCCCAAGACCAAGTCACCGCCCTATCTCTGGATGTGCTTCTTCTGTAACAATCAGTACAGAATCTGGGCTGCGGGGTACCATACTCTAATACTGTTTCTTATAGGAGCCATTTTGAAAGAAAGTTTATGCTTTCTTCCCCCTGGCTACTTACAAGCCCAGGAATTAAGAAGGGCCAGACCAAGCCGGAAGAGCTGAAAGAAGCCTTCGAGTCCAACCTCATGTCCATCGGCAAGATGCTCCTCGGGATGTTGTTATAGATCGAATGGTTCGCCTGGTGCATACTGCTATGCGATAACACACTGTACATACATGACATGTATGATGTGATGTGATCTTTCTCGCCGTCCGGAAAATGTATAATGTACCTGTTCTACCGCATTCTACCATGTTCCACGATGCAGCATGGTATATGGTTGTATCCAACAAGTTACTGTTTGCTGTGTGGTGCCTAGGTGCCGTTGTCATTGTGTTCATGCCTCCAGCTAAGGCTTATCATCTTGGACAATTGCGTGACCCCGAAATACACGCAGCGCATGTGGTGCGTCTTCGAGACTTTCGTGTCCGTGCAGCAGAAGATTCAGCCGGAGGTCATCTTGCCCGAGTCTGCCACGGAGAGCCTGGCCGAAGTCATGCAGAAAGAGTCGAATCCAATGAAAGTGGGGCTTGCAGTAAACCCAGATCTTTTGCATTTTCCGCCGAGGGCCTAAGACATCCCCAGTTCCCGAGATAGGACTCAGCTGTGCAGCCTTCCTGCAGGTGATGCAACGAATGAAGAAGTACCTCAACGAAGCTTTGCTGGGTTTGAACCTCATGTGTGATTTGAGTTCGCTCCCAAATTGAAGCTCGACAGGCAAGCAAGCTACGTGCTGCTGTGTTGTGGGGTTTCCAAAGAAATCTAAGGACATCAAAGTAGAGAATGCAACTGCCGGCGAGAAAGCAGACGAACATGCCATCAAGAAGCTAATCGAGGGCAGCATCGGTTATCAAGACTCCAGCTCTTCAGTAGCAGTTTTTCGTTCGCTTTCTCAAGGTTTCTACCCCCAAACTCGGCGATAGATGCAAAGAGACGGGATGCCTGTACAACTGCTCGATGGGACGCCAAGGAGGTCAATGCCACTGTGAGGAAGAGGTTGCTACCACACATGAGCAAAGTTATCACGAAGTATTTCGAAGCCTTCATGCAGGCGGATGATGACGATGAGGATGCTGGTTTGGAGGCATCAGAGGTGGACGACGCGTCACCATGAGTTGACCGGCGCTGTGGGGTTTTACACTTTACACGATGACCGAATGCATTGCCCTAGGAGCTTCCGATCGAAATAGCAGTCCTAGCGCTGCACTTCGCAGAATTTCCACGGCATCCAGCAGAAGCCTTGTGATTCGCGTCTCGTGTTAGCAGATGTGCTGGAAGTAGAGTAGGTGGTGGTTGTGACAGTGGTGGTGGTGGTGGTGGTGGTGGTGGTGGACGACATGATACTACAGCACACGGTCGTAATACATACACATATACATATACATATACATATACATATACATATGCATATACATATACATATACATATACATATACATGTACATGTACATGCACATGTACATATACATACATACCACAGTTGAACATTACTGTATAATCACTTATGCTGCGGTACTGTAGCATCTCGTCCGGTATGTTGTAGGCATGACAAGGCCTTCTTCTGGAGCCAAGTCGAGGACCTGAGTGTTTGTCCGAAGGACACACAGCAGGTCCTGTGAAAGGGGTGATCGGTTAAACTGATCAACCCAAGTCCCAGCCGTTTCGCTAGGGTGTGTTGAATGGATGAAGGCACACAAACGTGGTTAACGGTCCGAGCATCGGTGAAGGAAATGTTGTCCAGTGGACCGTTTACACGTTTGACATGCCCGTACCTCAGCACACGTCCACGCAGCTTATCCGGGATCCCTGTGCAAACCCGTAGGTCATCTCTGCGCGCATGTCGTTGACATGAGAATACATGAGAAACCGAAGCTCTGTCCGTCAGCGTCGTCAAAACAATGAGTGCTTGGTGCGACCGGCAACTTTTAGACACTGCTGTATGCCAAGTATAGTGTAGCTATTATCTCTGCTCTCCTTCCTGATTATACTGATGCTGATACTACTTTCAACTTTCAATTTCCATATTACGTCGACACCGACAACAAGAGCAACAGCAGCAAGTACCAGTGCAAACAGTAATTCTGCGGCTATTTCTTCTGCTGCGGCTGCTCCTGCTGCTGCTGCTGCTGGGCCGCCTCCTCCTACTAGTACTGCTGCTGCTACTATGAAGACAACGACGACTACTAGTACTACGACGCCGACATCTACTGCTGCTACTGCTACTATTACAACGACGGCGACGAATAATGTTGTAACTACTGCTGCTGCTGCTGCTCCTACTACTACTACTACTACTACTACTACTACTACTACTACGACTACTACGACTACTACGACGACTCGACGACTACGACGACTACGACGACTACGACGACGACTACGACTACGACGACGACTACTACTGCTACTACTACTGCCGCTGGCATTGCTACTGGCATCGCCGCTGGTATTGTTACCGCTGCCGCCACTGCCAACACCACTGCTACGACCACAGTAACAGCTGCGACTGCCACCACCTTCACTACTACTGCTCAGTATGGTTGTGATGTTGAGCACTCTTATCGCTTCTATTCACCTTCTGTTTGCTTGCCTTCGCGTTGATCAACGTGACCGAGTAAGTGAGGACAGTTCTGCGCGTACAGAAGTGCTTGTTGCCCTGTCGCCTGCACCCTTTTGGGGTTTAGGGTGTAGGGTTGGAGGGTTGCCGGGTGTAGGTTGGGGGTGTTTTGCGGCTTAGGGTCGCGTCTTAGCTCCTTGTAGTTGCTCTCTCGCACCGTTTCAATGACTGTCTGGTTCTTACTAGGGAATGGGGGAATGGGTTATAGGGACTATAATTGGGCATCATATAGGGACTACTACAGCGATCCATTCCCCCACTCCCCGCCAAGCACCATACCCTAAACCCTAATCCCTAAACCCAACCCTGAACCCTAAACCCTAAACCTTAAGCCCTGAACCCTCCCACATTCCCCATTAAGCACCAGACAGATGAAGGCGAGTCCTGCGCCGCAGCCGGAGAGACCGGAGCGGTCGCGCAAGCAGCCGGCAGCAGAGGAGGCAGGAGGGCAAATCCTGCATTACCTTAAGGACCCTAAACTATGGGAATTATGGTACAATATTCCCTATTATGGGTAATGCAGGAGGGCGCTGGGGCACCGGAGTTGGACATACACTTCCTACAGATCTCATATCAGGGTCTGTGAGATCGGAGTCGTGGACGAAACCCAGAAGCTTAAAGTGTGCCGCAGGGGTTTCAGCCTAAAATGCCGGGCGGCACCCTGCGCGTTCCGACATGTCCTTCAAAGAAGGTTGGGTTGGCCTCGGCATAAGCCCCATGATAAGAATGACGTCCAGGTTCTACGGGCACGATGGGAGGGTCTCTTTCTTGGCTCTGTGCCTCGTAGGCTTCGAGTTCCTGTAGATGGTTGTGCTTCTGCTTCGTCTCTTTAATGCTGCAGAAGGTCTTGCACATAGTCTGCTGGTGCTACACTTCGTTCCCAGCTTCTTTAAGTAGAAACTGCGAACCGCTAGTTCTGGCATCACTTCTAAAGTGGCTTCGCGTTGGCAACTTCGGTTGCACCCCTTGGCAGCTGCCCTCTCTGCGTCTGTTTAATGGGTGTACAGAGTGCGTGTGTCTTCGTGAAAGCCTTTTTTCTCGGCGGTATGTGAGGGTTGCTGCCAGAGTGATATTGCAGCGGCTGCCGCATAATTTAGAGTCGGAGGCTGAGGGCTTACAGTAGAGTTCAAGAGAGAGAGGCAGAGGGAGCTGGGAGCGCCTCCTGCATTTGAGGTCCTGAAACCGAGATTCGTAACAGCTTGAAGCTTTCTATCGACCTATACCACAAGACCCTGGGACCCTAAGCCGGACTTTACGCCCCCTTAAAGCTGCTAAAGCGCCGTGCGCTGCGAAGGACAGCTACAGCGAGTGAGCGGGGCGGAGCCGACGACTCACAGTTCCCTAAGCCCTAAACCCTTAACCCCAAACCCTAAACCCTGAACCCCTAAACCTAAACCCTGAACCCTTAACCCCTAAGCGCTGAACTCTGAAGCTGTTTGGAAGTCTGCCTTGTCGTTTGGTTGGGTTCGACTCTGCTCTTGACGAGGTTTAGCGTCGTGGTTTCTGTCGTAGCAATCGCCACTTCTGCAACGTAACATGCTTGCTTCCGCGGCTTCATTGCCGCCCTCCACTTGCAGAAGGAACCAAGAACGAGTGCACCCTCCCAACCGTTGAAAACAAGGGCATCTGGCACCCAGAGGGTCTTATGCACTCTATATGCTTACATGCATCTCGTAATCCCGCAAAGCCTTGAATGGCTGAATGCCTAAATCCTAAACTCTCGAGCTCGAGCCTGAATAAACTGCGTACTCGAAGAACTATTCGAACCTGCGGCCTTGTAGGGAGACTACCTTCAACAGTTTATGATTCGGTGCTTCTCCCAACCGCCAAAGCACTGAAACCCTCTGTCCTGAAAGCCCTGAACGCTTGTGGACCTACTTGAAGGCTCATGGGACTTAGTAAGTAAGGTTATAAGTAGGTTATAATTAGGATAACCCCACTTAGGGGACTTACAGCCCCAATTATAACCTACTTGCTAAGTCCCATGATCCTCTAAGTACCCCAAGCCTTCAAGCGGGCTCTTCGGCCTCCAAGGCAGTCCTAGCTTCCTCCTGAGCGAAGAAGCATCACTGAGCCCGTGGATTTTTCTTAGGGGTCTAGGCAGGGGTAGGGACGTTTTGGGCTTGGGGGTTTCAGCATTGTTTGAGTTTGGGGGCATTCTGTTCTGGCAGAGGTGTAACGGGATCTGGGTTTAGAGGGTCTAGGGCTTAGGGTCTGGGTTCAGGAGCCTGCGGTTGAGCGCCTGGGAGCGCGAGGCGTCTCGGAGCGACAAAAAAGAAGCTCCCATCTCCCAAGGTTTCCGGTAGCATGGCAAGCTTTGAGTAGCTGGCGAGTGGGGAGTCGGCATTCGTCTCTTAATTATGGGTTTAGGGTTTAGGGTTAGGGTTTATCCCCATGAGGTAGCCCCCAAGACCTCTGAATCCCCAGACGATGCCCTTCTCTGGTGTCCTCTCTCGGCTCGAGCCCTTCCCTTGCGGGAAAAGCCACTCCGCAGAAAGGGGGGCATCGAAACGCTACCCGTACCCCGGTCTCTGGGACCCGAGTTTTCCCTGCGGCCTCCTGGGCGCCTGGCCTCCGGAACCTGGGAACTTTTTAGGGGAGGGCATACCCTTACTTTAAGGTTGGGTTTAGGGGCTCCTTTAAAGGGATCTCTAAGGGCTCCTTTAAGGGTTCCTATAAGGGATCTATAGGGTTTAGGGTTTAGGGGAGTTTCCGAAAATGAGGGCTACCTTATTTTGGGGTCCTTATAATAAGGATCCTACTATTTAGGGTACCATATTAGGGTCCCCTATTTTCGGAAACTCCCATATAGGGGCCGAAATAATTACCAAGACTATTTCGGGGGCTCCTTATTGAAATTATCGTGCAATGTAGGGCTAGAAGTGAGGTGGGCAGAGTCATAAGTATTTTGGACTCAAAGCTGTTTGTTGTAATCCCCATGAAAAGACCTAAACCCTAAACTGTGGTACCTATGAACCTTCAGCAACAAGAGAGCTCATGGTCCGGGCACGAGATCTGAGGTAGTTTAGGGTTAAGGGTTCATGTTAGGCTTCGACTGCGACGACAAACCTGAAACCTAAACCCCCAGACACGAAACCCCAAAATCTGCACACAGCAAGCCTGCAAGCATTTCGAGCCCAGGAAACGGCAGCCATGAAGCTCTTCACCGCACTTCTTGCGTCGCTTTGCTATCTCAGGAGCGGGGAGTGTCCGCCCCTACCTTAGCCCTTCAGCCCGCGAAGATTCCTTGCACCCGAAACTCTCAACCCTGAGCTCGAAAGCCCCAAAATCCTAAAGCCTCGAACTTTAATTGACACAAATAAGCCCTGGACCCACAGAGGAACCTCATAGGAGGCCAAAATGGGTTTTAGACTATGGGGGTTTAGTAGGGATTAGGGTTCGCATAGTAGGGTTCATATTAAGGAATCCCTACCCCAAGAATCTTAAACCCCCCTTTAGGCCTCCCATCAGAACCCCCCAAACCGTAGTTGCAGCTCTGGCTGGCCGAGGTTATGTGTCGCGCAAAGCCACCAAACGGAGGTGGAAGCTTACTCCGTGCTTCCAGAGACGCCAGCATCCCTCAACTAACATATCCCTAATTTAGGAATGCCCTTACCACAACTGTTATTCTCACTGTTTGTGTTTATGATGATCATCATTACTGTGTCGCAGCACTACGACTGCTCGTGTTATCATGATGATAGTCATTGTTATTCTAAGTGTTGGAGCCTCTAACCCACACAATCATGATCACAATTGTTTTGAAGGATTATTGCAATCGAAACTTGGTGTGTGCAGTTTCTTGGGTTGGGATAACATAGGGGTCTGAATAACTTCTAGGACTGTTCCTTGTGTTCGTCATCATACCCTCTACTGCTACAATAGATCCCCAAACCCTGTTGTAACTCTTAAGGCCCCCATGTTAAGAACATGGGGCCCCGTTTGGGGGCATAGCACCCACCCTAAACCCTAAACCCTACACGCTAAACCCGAAACCCTAAAACCCTAAGCCCTCAAAGCCTAAAGCCCTAAGACCCTAAAACTCAGTCACGGGCTCTTCTGTGCCCCTAAGCCTGCAAGGCCCGCAGTTTCGGTTTTAAAGCCCTGCAGGTCGCAGAGTCTTCAACCTGAGAGTTTAGGTGTAGGGTTGAGGGTCTAGGGGTTTTAGGGCTTTTAGGGTTTTTAGGGTTTTCGGTTTTTTTTGGGATTTTAGGGTTTTTAGGGCTTTTAGGGTTTCTAGGGTTTTAGGGTTTGGGGTTTAGGGGCGCTGAACCCTAAGCCCAAGCCCCCCCAAAACCACCGGAGTGAGCCTGTGCGGCTGGGAGGCTTCCGCCGATGATTTTACAGAGCCCGAGGTTTTGATGGACTCTCGGCAGCGCCTCGTGGAGGGCTTGGGCACTAGGCCGTAGCTTTCCTAAAGCTCCTAAGCCTCCGCAAGTATTTGCCCCGAAGCCCTAAGCCGTAAAAACCCTCAATAAAGCGCCTGAATAATATTACCTGGACTATTAGAGTAGGGTCCCTTTTCAAGGGGTCTGTAAAGGCTACTGTAAGGATTTAGTATAGGGGCCTTAATAATATCAAAACCTCCAACCCTCGAACCCAGAGCCGATCCCCCTGCACCCCTACTTGGGGGGTTGTGAAAATTAGGGTCCCTTTCTGGCTCATTATTAAAATACGGCACCTTATATTTAGGGTACCCAAAAAAAGGGACCCTAATTTTGACAACCACCCACTTAGAACTAGAACTATCCCCTGAAGCTTCTAAGCCGATCCCCAAGGAGAAGATCGGCTTCCACTCCGGGAAGATCGGTATCTTCGCTCAGGTCCGTTTGGGGTTCCTGTAAGGGTTCCCTTGATAAGGGATCTCTTAAAGGTTTAGGGGTTTAGGGTTCAGGGGTTTAGGGTTTGCGTTTTGGTTTAGAGCGTTTTCTTAGGGCTGAAGGTTCAGTGAAAGTGTCTTTTTCGTTTGTAGGGCCAGGGTTTGATGGCCAGGGCATAGACTGAGGGCTAAGGGGTGGGCGAAGTTTTTTTGGGACCCGAAGCCCCGAACCCTAAACCCTGAAGTCCGGTGTAGGGCTCCAATCTCATCCCTTCTATGATGTATGACATCCGGACTCCGATCGTTGAACCCCTCGCAAGAAGCCTTCAGTACCCTAAAGCCCCGAACCCCTACAGTAAACCCCATAAAGTTGGAAACCGGATTAAGGCCAAATAGCGCTGGGATTCCCTATGCATTACTATTAAGGATTGAGGCTATGGGGTTTCCAACTTTTGGGCTTCTAGTGTAAGCCGAAGCCCCTAGAGCCCTCAACCCAAAGCCAGAGAGCCCTGAGACTGTGCCACAGGTGGGCTCAGCTGAGGTCTGGCCGGTGGCTTGTCTTCAGCTGCTCTGAAAGGGTTTCTTAAGTTGGGGGTACCGTATTTTGAGGCATAGACGTATGTCAAGAACCCCACATTCGGAGGCCATAGGATCATTAAGAATGTGGAATTGAGAACGCAGGAAGTTGTTCTGACTGGATCCCTTTGCCTCTCGGGTAGAGCTTCCCGAAGTCGGAAGAAGGACCACGTCTTCGTTCGTCCATTTGTTCGTTCGTTCCGCACTTTCTGGTTCGATTGCGAGCAAGACTCGGACGGAATCTGGGTCCGTGAAGACGGAACGTATCAGTTGGAGGAGGCACCAAGGCAAGACTGCCGCTAGTAGTACTGCAGAGGATGATGATGATGATGGTGATGGTGGTGGTGGCAATGAGATTGCCGTCCTGGTGGTGATGATTACAATGGTCATAAACGTGATCATGACGATCATGACAGCGGTGACAACCCTGGGGAGGGCCTCAGCGATTGGCTGCCTTCAGGGTTAAGAAAGGGTTTAGATTTTTGTGGTCTTCATAAACATGATCTTATCACTTTCTGTCATTCACGTTGGGGTCTTTGATCTTCGACTAGGAACCCTCCTGTCTTGTTCAAGTCCACTTCTCAGGAATTGGCGCAATGTGTCTCCAACGTGCTGGAAGCATCGGACGACAGCATCGGCGTGCACATCGATTATGTCGTACCCTCAGGCTCTCTCTCTCTCAGGCACATGCTGGAAAACCCCAAACCTTGAGATATTCAGCTGGGAATGCCGGAAGGGATCCCGAAGTAGATAGCTACCCACATCATTGCATGGTCCCGAAAAGATCTGTGCGTTATGGATTCTATCCGGCTTCTTGCGATGCAGATCGAGCTCTCTGCCCCAACAACTCACAGCTGCAGATGCCCCCGCGGGCCACTCTCGCACCGAAGCTCACTTTCAGGCGGTGCTCAGGGATCCCTGAATTTTGAACCCCTCGTAGGGCCTCCAGGATGTATTCCTGCGCCGAGCCTCGAAGACCCGGAAGACCCTCAACCCCTCGTGTCAATAATAGCACCCATAAAGACATCAAAAGCCTCTAAGACCCATAGAAGCCCGCATATAGAGACCATAAGACCCTAAACCCCCAACGGCCCTAAACCCTGCGATACCCTAAACCCTTCCACCCTCTTCCCGTAAATCCCCCAACCCCCAAACCCCTAAACCCCCCCAAAAACCCCTCAACCCCTAACGCCCCGAAGCCCTAATCCCTAAACCTCCAAACCTCGCAACCCCCAAACTCCTAAGCCCTTTACAGGCCTAAACCCTAACCCTTAAGCTCTAACCCCTAAACCGCCCCCTTAACCCCTTGAAACCTTTATGGCCCTAAAACCTAACCCTTAAGCTCTAATCCCTAACCCCCCCCCCCCCTTGAGCCCTCTAAAGCCCCCTCTGTCACCCTTTACAGCCCTTAATTTCTAACCCCGAAACTCTCTCCCCTAAGCCCTCTAAAGCCCCCTCTGTCCGCGGAAGTCCCCGAGGTCGAGGCCTCCGCCCCGACGAAGGCGGCGATGCACCAGCTCTGGGGCTACCTGCGAGGCGGCCTCTGAGGGTTTTGGGGATTTAAAACTAGGGGTACCTTATTCTGACAAGGATCTTAGTATTTAGGGTGCTATTAGGGTGCTATATTAGGGGTTTTAGCTTTAGGGTTGAGGGTTTCGGGGGATTTAGGGGTTTTAGGGTTCTTGAGGGCTTTGGGATTTAGGGGTTTAAGGTTTAGGGTTGAGGGTTTTGGGGATTGAGGGAGTTTCCGAAAATTAGGGGTAATAAGGATCCTAGTAACCTAGTATTTGGGTGCTTTATTACGGGTTTTAGGGTTCTTGACGGCTTTAGGATTTAGGGATGTAAGGTTCAGGGTTGAGGGTTTTGAGGATTTAGGGAGTTTCCGAAAATTAGGGGTATACCTTGTTATAATAAGGATCCTAGTAACTTAGTACTTGGGTGCCATATTGGGGGTTTTAGTTCTTGACGTTTAAGGTTTAGGGTTGAGGGTTTGGGGGATTTAGGGTTTTAGTTCTTGACGGCTTTAGGATTTAGGGATTTAAGGTTTAGGGTTGAGGGTTTTGAGGATTTAGGGTTGTAGTTCGTGACGTCTTTAGGATTTAGGGATTTAGGGTTTAGGGATCAGGGTTTAGGATTCATGGGTTTAGGGATTCAGGGGTTTAGGGATTTAGGGTTTTTTGGTTCAGGGTCCAGGGCCTGCGAGGCGGCTGCTTTGGGGCTTTTGGGGGCTTTGAGGGATTCAGGGAAGCTTCACGCACCTCGAACCCAAGAAGCTCAGAACTCAGACTTGAAAGCCTTTCGCTGTGTCCAGCGCCGATGCTGCGAGGCAAGCACGGCTTCGTCAACTTGCTCCTCACGAAGTCCAAATCAAAGGGCATGGCTGCTCGCCTGATCGTTGAGGGCAGAATTCGAAGGTTTGAGTTTAGAGCAGCGCTCATAGTGGATCCAGATGCCTGACTCAAAGATGCAAGGCAAGGAGCAACCCTAGGGCAATGTGCAACGCAGCCCCTGCTCAAAAAGGGTTTAGAGCCAAAAGAGCCTTGGTGTTCGTTTTTTTTTCAAGCCAGTGTCATCCGAGGACATGGGCCACTTCGTCTCACAATTGCGCCTTGGTCTTCTGAAGGGAACCGGAGGCTTTCGGAATGTAGACGCTGTCCGGCGGGGTGCCTTTGCTTTCGGGTTCACCCCAAACCCACAAAGCCCACATTGCATGGGCCAAGCTTTGGCAGAGTAAAGCCCTGAGCCCGAAATCCTACATCTCCAAATTTAGGGGTTTAGGGTTTAGGGTTTAGGTTCAATGTGAGGTGCAGGCAAACTTGGCACTGCTCTTCTCAAGTCTAGTCTTGTCAGCGTTCCAGCTTCCCTCCAGTTCCTGCCTGTGCCCACGAGCACCTTTGCACAAAGAGACCTGAAGCCCTCTCGAAGGTACACAGCTCAGAAGAAGGGCCTGCAATATGACCTGATGCTGCCCCACGGCTCTCTTAAGCGGTTCGTTCATTGAGGGAGGTTCGGGGAGATGCAGGGTTTGGGGTCTGGGTGGAGTGCGAAGAGCCATGTTGCCATGCCAACTTGCCGGAGTTCTCGCGCTTTCCAGCTCGTCCGTCCGAACGCGAAACCCTGAAAACCGCACACCCCAAGCGGCCGAAAACGGCCCCAAACGGCCCGAAGCCCCCGAAGCTCCGCGAGCTCCGAAGCCTCGGAAGCTCCCCAAAGCCCCAAGGAAGATCCACACCGACAGCCACCCAGACCTCCGGAAGCTGGCAATGGAGGCTTCCCCTGCTCTTAGGGTTGACCCGGACCCCACGAAACCGTAGCTTTTTGAGGGTTCCTTGCTTTGATTTCCTTATATAAGTCCTTGAAGAAAAGGTAGGTTACTAAGGGTTTGGGGAAGGGCTACTGGCAGGATGGGTTGCTTTCACGCGATCCTTGCTACAATACTACGAGGGTTCAGGGTTGAGGGACCCACCACCAACACTCCCTAAACCCTACACCCTTCCAAAAACAAACCCTACCCCTAAACCTTAAACCCTAAACCACGTTGTATATGTTGGGGTTCTCTCCTGGGGGTTTGTATTTGTAGGAGTCACTGCCTGGTCTGGTCGGACTTGCTGCAGCTACAAGTAGTTGATACAGCTGGTAACGGAGAGGCTCGGGCTTAGATCCTGGCTTGTATCATGTTTCAGTTGAGGTTTCTCTTTGGGGAAGAGAGTCTCCGAGTGACCATGCTTGCCTCGCCTTTCGAGTGTTCTCCATCCTACGGGCTCTGATGTACTCATTGCCAAACGCCCAGCGGGAATCTGCTTTCTTTCTGACCAGCAGCGAGGGGAGAAAAGGGCCGTCTAAAAAAAAAACCCTTAAACAAATCCCCTAGACCCTCAACCCGTAAAACTAAACCCTAAATCCTTAGCCCTTAAAACCAAACCCCTGAACCCTAGTCCTCCCCCAACCCCGACAGAGACGAGGCGCTCTGTGGGACGAAGTTCCAAGTGCGCAGCGCGCTCCACAACTTCGAGCTCCTCGGCCCGGCTTTTGGGGCCAGCTTCTTTTGTATAGGTATATATAATATAATCCATTATATATATACATATATATATATATACACATAATGCATACATATATATATATATCATATCCATATTTATTGTTTTTTTTTGTTTATTGCGTTTCTTTTGTGTTTTGATTGTTACTAAGGGCTTTGTAGTATTTTATTCTCAGGGTCTTTGTAAGGTCTACTGAGTCTACTGTGGGCGTCTGGGGGTTAGCAAGATTTTTTTATGGGTGTCGATGAAGGATTTTCTGTAGGGTTTCTGATGAGGTTTCTCAATTGGTTGGAGAAGGCTTTGTGGGGCTTTGGTTTCGGTGTGTCTACCCTGATTTAGTTGAGCTCTACTTGCATCACACTTAATCTACATGCTACGCTGCGTTCTATCTCATCTGTGACTCATCAGCTTTAGATTGGGGCATATGTTCCTGCCATTATGCATAGTGGACCCGTGGGTGGATCGGTGATAGAGCAAGCTTGCCAAGTTCAGGTTTTACAACCATGTGGTGCATGTCTATGCGCTTGAAGCTGCCTTGCAGCGAGATTTTTCGCTCTAGCGCTACTCCACGCCAAAAGCCCAACCCCAAATCCTGAGATGAACCTTGGCCCGTCTCTTAACGCATAAGCCTTCACCTCCTCCCCCGACACAAACGCCACAAAAAACACACCCTCAAGTGGGCCTAAAGCTCGACACCCTTGAATTCTTAAGTCTGCCCCACCTAGATGAACTTTACCCGCCTTGTTCGCCTGGTCAACTGGTATCTGCCGTGACTGACTCCCAGGGCTCACGGCAAGCTGAATCTGATTGCTCCCGTCCACCTCCCAGTGCGCGCCAGGGGTTGGGTACGAAAAGTTCTGGACACCTTCAGGCTACGGGTTTCAAAGTGGGCTCTTCAGCAGCGTTATTTGCTATCTTTGCAACAATGATATGAACTACCATGGGTCATGGATTCTGCGAGGCATCAGCACCCTGCTTGAGAAATGGGTTCTTGGGATGTCCTGTGCGACATGGATCTGGATAATGGCTAAACCCCCTAAACCGTATGGTTTGAGGGTTTAGGGCCAGTTTAGGGTTCATACGCCCATGACCAGAGCCCAAACCCTAGACTGGCCAACGTGGACCCGTCGCTGTATACCGTGTGCCCCTTATCGGGCGCTTCTCAAGCAGTCAAAAAGCGCGGCTGCAAACCCTTGTCAGACCTAAAGTGAACCGACAAAAGACCTTTCTCTGACCTTCACAAGAGCTTCATTGAGCCTTGTGTAAAACAGCATCCCTAGACCAAAAGAACCCTAAACCCTAAACCCCAAACCCCAAACCCTAAACCCTAAACCCTAAGCCCCAAACCCTAAACCCCAAACCCTAAACCCTAAACCCCAAACCCTAAACCCTAAACCCTGAACCCTAATCCCTAAACCCCAAACCGCCGAAAAAGCCTTGGCCGAGGCTGGCACCACGATGACCCGACGGACGAAGACTGCCAATCTGGCTCCGGTGGGGGACTTAATACAGGAACCCTAAACCCTGAACCCCTAAACCCCTAACCCCGAAACCCTAAACCCCTAAACCCTAAACCCTAAACCCACAACTTTCAAAATTAGTATTCGCCGCCTTGAAGTTTTCATATAGGTGTTCTAGAACCTACTCCAAAACCCTATTCTAAGTATGAAGCGCCGCTAAGAGGCTGGTGCATGTTGCTAGGGAGGTTTTACAATGGGTCTAGAAACATCTTTAGTATGGGCCGACGAAAGATCCTACTTGAAGGCTCATGGGACTTAGTAAGTAAGGTTATAAGTAGCTTATAATTAGGATAACCCCACTTAGGGGACTTATAACCCCAATTATAACCTACTTACTAAGTCCCATGGATCCTCTAAGTAACCTAAACTACCCCTTATAGAACCCTTATCTTATAGATCCCTATAAACCCTAAACCCTCTAAGGAGCCCTTTAAGGAACCCTAAGTCCCATGATCCTCTAAGTAGGCCCTAAATCCTAAACCCTATAGATCCCTTTAAGGAACCCTATAGATCCCTTTAAGGAGCCCTTTAAGGATCCTCTAAGTACTGGGCGCCTCCCGGCTCCGGGCCAGGGTTCTTGCGCTCTAAGGCATGTTGCTGAGACGGAGATCCCCCGAAAAGTCAGGGTTTAGGGTTTAGGGTTTAGGGTTTAGGGGTCTTGCGGCGCTGTGCCTGCAAATGCTGGGATCCAGGAACTTGCGTGAAGAGAGTTGTGCTTTCGCGCATGGAAGCTTACATTGAGAAAGTGAATGCGCTGGCTTGAGAAAGGAGCAAGAACCCCGTACACTAAGCAATACCAAGACGTACTGACAAGGAAGCTCAACATCCGTTTCAGGAGTCTTCGAGAAGTGGGATCCCCGCTGCAATCCGTGTTGCGGGAGAGCGACTTATACTCAAAGCAAGGTCAGACCCCTAACTCCAAACCCTAAGCCCCGGAACCCTAAAGCCCTAAAGCCCAAAACCCTAAAGCCCTAAACCCTGTAACCCTAAACCCTAAAGCCCTAATTCCTAAACTCTAAAGCAAACTCGTTTCACATGACCTTTTGCCGGCCTTTGAGCTCTTCTGAGGCTCTCTCCGAGCGACTTTTCGGTGGCCGCGCGGAGGTCGGTGGAGCTCCGATGTACTCGACGAAGCAGGCTCAGCGTGGCTTCTTGTGTCTAGTTTATAGAGTCAGGCTATGAAGGTTTAGGACTTTTCAGTCAGGCGTTAAGAGTTTAGGATTTTAGAATCAGGCGCTAAGGGTTTAGGGTGTGGGGCTCAGGGTACACCAGAGGATTTGATATGAGGTGTTTATCAGAGTTAAGGTCTTGTAAGGCTTTGTAGCTTTATGATGGGCTTCTAGAAGGCCTCTACACGACTGTAAGGGTGAGTAGGAGTAGGAGTAGCAGGAACAGTCGCAGCAGTAGCAGCAATACTGGCAGTGGTGATAGTGCCAGTGCTAGGTAGTTGCAGTGCCAGTGCCATCACGGCAGCATTACTCATTGTAAGAGTCATAGGGACCCCGAGTTGTGTAGGGGGGAGGGGTGTAGGGGACTATATTTCCTTAAATAGGCCTTATTAGTCCTTATTATGGGCATTAAGGCCCCCTACCCCCCCTCCCCCTACACCCCTAAGGATCCCTATGACATAGTGATGCATCGAAGGGCCTTACCTTGACCGCCTTGAGCCTTAGCCCTCCCCAATCCTAGACCCTAAATCCGAAATCCCGAACTCCTAAACCACGTAACCCTAAATCCTTTGACCCTAAGCCCCTAAACCCTAAGCCGTTAAATCCCAGACCCAAAGCCAATCAACCCCTCAGCCCTCCTAAACCCTTGCATCTGAAGGCAACGAAGTTGTTGCTCAAGGAGATGGGTGCCAACATTGATATCGCGGAGGCAGCGGAGCACAGTCATTGGGCGAAGAAGTGCACCGTGCATATTTCTTGCCCTTTGTAAAATTGCGGTTTGGATTCTACTAGTTGGGGTTGAGGGTCGGATCCCTTGTCTGGTGGAGCTTCTGCATAGATCCGCCGTCAACTCCTCTTAAGAAGGCTCTGAACGAGGGTTCCGTTGGTCTGGTCCTGCAAGATCAAGGCGACTATTCGGTATCCATACCATCATGGTAAGAAAAAGCCGTAAACCCGAAACAAGTACCGTGCTTTGGGGGCTGATTTTGCCCTGAGACTGTAAACTATGGTCAGAGCAATAGCAAGACTAATCCCAAGATGCAAACAAGCGGAGCACAACACTGGCTTTATGATTTATGACGACGATGGTTTGTGTCATTGTTACTACCGTCAGTGTAGGTTGGAGGGGTTGCTACCGTCAGTGGTGGTGGAGAGTTATAGTTGCAATCACGGTTAGGCCAGCAGTAGTGGTAAGAGTCGGACTGAGGGTGACAAGCATTATGGCAATGATAGCGGCAATTGCTTATGCACGTGCATGTTTCATGGGAAGGACGGACCAGAAAGAATGCCCCAATCTAGAACAATGTCCTGAACCCACAAAACCTCACGGTCGAAACTCTAAACTTCCGAATCCGCAACCCACCACCTGGTGACCTTCGCAGGACCAGCTCACAAGCATCGGTGGCAACATGTGCTTTGGCGGCTTGTAAGGAGGGTTGCGTAAATTCAGCGTTCGAGTGTTCAGGGATTTTGTAAATTCGGGAGAAAGGCGTTTGCATAAAGAGCCTTGTGGGCTTATGGGATGGTTGAGTTAAATCTTAGCGAAGAATCTGCTGCCGTATGGGGCCCGAAGAAACGCCAAACTCTTTTTATAGTTACTCTCATAGCAAACCTTAACGGAATCCTTACAGAAACCGTAACCCTTACATTCAGCCTGGTAGAACCCCGAAGCGGACCCTTTGAAGATCTACGCAGAGAGCCCAGTACCCCTTAATTAAGGAATATGGCTTAAACCATAGTATGAAGCCCTACATAATTTGAGCCATATTCCTTAATACCCTTATAGAACCCCTATAGATCCCTTTAAGGAGCCCTTTAAGGAGCCCCCTAGGTATATTCCTTAATTAAGGGGTATTGGGCTCTCTGGGTACGCAGGTATTGGGCTCGCTTCAACTCCGTGCCCTTCCCGAACCTGGCGGCTTCGGCGTCAACGACGCTTGCCTTCGCTGGGGGTCAATCTGTTGGGGTTTTGGGGTTTGAGGATCAGCGTTTAGAGTTTCGGGTTCAGGTTTTGGGTACACAGGCTTTCGGGTTCAGGCGGGTTTCGGGATCAGTTTTCTGGTGCCTGAGGTTTTGAGGTTTTGCAGCTGCTGCTACGGCTGCAACTGCCACGCTTCCAGCTGAGATGGCAAACAGCCGCAATGTGGATATGCACCGCATGAGTCGTCGTACGAATTTCAGTGCTAGAAGTACCAGTAGTACACTGTACCCCAAATCTTAGAAACATCAGAAAGCCTCATACACATCCTCATGCTTGTCCACAACCCACAAAATTCTCCGAAGCCCCAAACTCCTGAGGTTTAGGGTTTAGGGTTTAGGGTTCCTAAACTCCTAAACCTTAAACCCTTTAAACCCTGAAGAAAGAGCTCAGGATCTGGCCTAAGCTCGAGGGCATCGAGGCCCGGAAAGTCCGCGGAAGCCTTGGGAGATTTCGAAGCCCCGTTTCGGATTCTAGGGGTTCAGGGTTTAGGGCTTCGGGCCCTTTAAAGGGGTACTATAAGGGTTCCATTAAAGGGCTTTGTAAGGGTTCCTTTCAAGGGATGTATGAGGGTTCCATAAAAGGGGTTTGGTGTTTAGGGTTTAGGGTCCTTTAAAGGGATCCTTACAGGGATCTATAGGAGATTATAATCGGGTTCTATGGTGAATTTTGGGGTATTGATGGTATTGGGTTTCAGGGTTTAGGGCCTAGGGTTCAGGGTTCAGGGCCTTGGGTTTCCGTGTTCGGGGTTTAGGGTTTAGGACGACGTGAAGGCTTTGGATGTTTTACGGGGTTTTGGGGGTCTTCATGAGGGCTTTATATATACATATATATATATATATACAGGTTTTGTATGGGGGGGCGTGCTCGTTTGAAACTTGAGGTTCAAGGATTTTTTGAGAGCTTCATACGATTTACCAGGGTTCTATGAAGGTTTTGACTTTCTTTGGCCACTCGCCCCAAACCCTAACTCTAAACCTTGACTTAATCCCCCGCAAAGAAAAAGGAACCCTAATTCGTAGCTTTCAACTCCCCCCCCCCCCCCCCCCCCCCCCGCAAAGAAAAAGGAACCCTAAATCGTAGCTTTCAAACCCCCACGCTAACTTTAAAACCTAGAATCCCCCTAAGGATAAAAGCGGAACCCTCCACCGTAGCTCTCAAAGTGTGTCCCTCAGACGGAGCTGGGGAACTTCGCCGTCTCCTCCATCCGCGGCGCGGGCTACTACGTCGGAGAGCTTCCCATGGCTCCTAAGGCACCCTGGTACTTGTGATCTTACGTCTATTGTCAGCATCAAGTCGCAATAGAACAGAGAACTACCAGTAGCAATGCTCTTGCCAATCGTTGTAATCCTGATTAGTCCCTAGCCCAGTTCTAGATGTCTTGACCCGCTTTTTCTAATGCTGCCCTCGTGTCCATCAGCAGTGTGATTATTACTAGTAGTCCCATTCTTATTCTCATGCTGAGTACGGACTGTCACGATTGTTGCCTGTCGACATTGAATACACGAAAAAGGGGTAAGATATATGATATTTGCACACATATCATGTCAAAGGGTCTATCTATGTACTTATCTGTCTGCTATCTGGCTATTTACCCATATTGAAGGCTTGGGAAAGATATGGAAGTCTAGAATTGGAAACTTCGGTGCTGAAGTCCAAGGAGGATTTTAGGCCTTGGGGTTAAGGCCTGGGGATTCATGATTTAGGAGCTGTCCGGGTCCTGGGCTCTTTTTCCTAAACCCTAAACCCTGAACCCTAAACCCTCAGATGCAATACCCCAAAACACATCATAGAACCCTATTATAGATCTCTTATGGAGCCCTTTAAGGATCCCTTTAAAGGACCCTCAACCCTATTATAGATCTCTTATGGAGCCCTTTGAGGACCCCTTTAAAGGACCCTCAACCCTATTATAGATCCCTTATGGAGCCCTTTAAGGATCCCTGAAAAGGACCCTAAACCCTAAACCCCTAGCGCGCCGGAGCTCCGGTGGGTTTTGAGAAACCAGCGGACAAGAAGTTCCGGGTACTTAGAGGATCATGGGACTTAGGGTTCCTTAAAGGGCTCCTTAGAGGGTTTAGGGTTTATAGGGATCTATAATATAAGGGTTCTATAAGGGGTAGTTTAGGTTACTTAGAGGATCATGGGACTTGGTAAGTTGGTTATAATTGGGGTTATAAGTCCCCTAAGTGGGTATATGCTAATTGTAACCTACTTACAACCTTACTTACTAAGTCCCATGAGCCTTCAAGTGGGTTTTAGGAAGGGGGGATGCCCCGAGGGTCGGAGCGATTGGATCGCAGCCTTCCTTGTTTAAAGGCTTGGGGGCTAGGGTAACTATAGGTGGCTTAATTTTAAAAATTACCTATACTGTTTTGGGGGGTTCCTTACTATAGTTATAGCATAAATGGGCCCCGAAACCTTATTCTAGTTATTAGGGCCCCCGTATTAGGAGTTCAATGCGAAGCAATGCAGCTCCCAGCAACCGCAGTTGGTTTTTCCCAGCACCCTCAAATGGAAGTCTTGGCTCGTGATGTGATGCTGACCGTAAACTCCTGAAGCGTCAAAGCACGAAGCCGGGAAGGTGATGGCCATCTACTTCCCGCAGTACCACCAGTTTCCTGAGCCTGGCGCCCATGCGTTTCTGCAGTGTCGGAAAGCCAGTCTCTGTGGCGCCGGTTAGGGTCAAGGGATGTCCCGGGTCTCGTGGGTCCGGTTCGGCACCCCAACTGATGTGAGGCAGTGTTCATAGCACGGTTTTGGTGAGTGCATATAGTGCTGCGTTGCAATATCGGAGGCTATTGTTGAGATTGGGTCAGCAAAAGTAAGTGGAATATGGGGGTCCCCTCTCCCTTCTTGCACAGCTGGTTCAGGTTTCTCGCGTGTCGGTTCGTGGTGCGTTTGTGATTTAGGGGTTTTTGGGTGTGCCATCAGGAACGACGAGTTCCACGGCGAGGGCTTCACCGAGTGGACGCACTTGAAGCCTTTCGTGGACGAAGGTCCGCGACAAGACCGGTGTTCGGTAGCATAACACAGGGGGTGCTTGCGACGCTTAGGGCCACACCCATGACGGTGGTAGTCGTCGTCGTTGTGCTCGCCCTCGCTGTTCAGTCGCCGCCGTAGTGGAGCCGTCGTTGTCGCAGTAGTCGCCGTTGTAGTCGTAGTCGGAGTCAGAGCCGGAGAGTCGGTGCCGGAGTCGCAGGAGTAGCGGTACTGTTACGACTACGGTTAAGGCTGCAACTACGACTGATGATGATGATGATGGAGATGATGTTGAGCATCATTGTGATTCTTTAGGGTTTAGGGGCTTTTAGGGGTTCAGGGTTTTAGGTTTTTAGTTTTTAGGGGTTTTGGGGTTTCGGGCCTCCTAGGGTTTGTTTCTACAGCCGCCCCGTGTGCAGCCAACGAGCTCCGGAAGCCGCTGGCTGCGGAGTTGGGTGGCTTGGACTACTACGCGCGCCGGCCGCAGTCATCGGGGGCCCCAGGGGTTAGGTTTCAGGGTGCTTTCGGATCTAGGGTTGCAGGGTTTCAGGGTTTTCAGGGTTTAGAGGGTTTTCAGGGTTTCAGGGTTTCAGGGTTTAGAGTTGAGGGTTTTCAAGGTTTCAGGGTTTAGAGTTGAGGGTTTTCAGGGTTTCTGGGTCTTGGTGGCAGGGTTGCCTGTTAATTAAGGTTCACTTCATATTGAGAAAGGCCTCCCCCCTAAGGATGTAAGCCCCAGCCTCCGTGATGAGTCCGGATCCAGCCTCAGCGCCATTGACCACCACGAGCCTTAAATCCTTTCAGTTCCTTTGAGCTGTCGTCTACATGAACAAGATTCTGGTTGCATGTTTTCCGCTGCGGCCGCTAGGATTCTGCAAATACATGCAAAAACGGGGGGAGGGTTTCTAATTACGTTCTGGGAATTGGACTTTGCAATTATGCGGGGGATTCTGAATATGATGGTGAGGTTGACATTCTTTCAAAAAAGGGAGCCCCTAAGAAGGATCTTTGTGTTTGCTTGCTAGGGACCGAGGGATGGAGGACGGGGGGTTCTTGTACCGGAGCCGGAAGACGCTTGCCCCAGATCCGAATCCCTGATCCCCAAACCCGGGCCTCCTGAAACTTCATCACCCGTTTGAGAATGGAACCCTAAACCCCGAACCCGAAACCCTCAAGCAGCAGATCCTTAACCCTCATAAGATCATCAGTCGTGGCTCTCTTGTGCTTTTGTGCTCGGTTGCGGGGGCGTGGTCGAAAACTTAGACCAAATTAGGGCGATTCACATTTGCTTTATTATTGAGCGCTTTGATTCCACGAAGGAGATTGCAGTGATGTGGTTATCATGAGCTGTAGTCATCGTCGTAGTGGTGGTAGTGCTACAAGTAGTAGTGTTCGTAGCAGCTGTAGCAGTAGCTGTAGCAGTAGCAAAAGCAACGATGGTTCAAGTGTGCTTGCCTGATCCTGCCGAACCGGATCCTGGACCCCAAACCCCCTTGCCTTAGACACCCGAACACCCCTACACCCCAAAGCCCTAATCCTTAAACCCTCCGCCCGAAAGCCCTAAAACCTGAAAGCTCAAGGACCTCACTGACAGGAAGGTCCGCAAGCACCAGGCAGGCCTTGGGGTTTCGTGTTTGCTCTGAGGTTTCAGGTCTGGGATTTAGGTCTAATATTGGGGCCTAAATGACTACCAATGCTATTCTGGGGGTTCTTGATTATCATTACAGTATAATTTACAGTATAATGGGCCCCACCACCCTATTCTAATCATTATTTAGGCCCCTAAATTAGGGCTTGGGGCTTGGGGTGTAGGTAGGTACGTAGGCTCCCACCCATGCCACAGAAGGACTCCTAGGGCAACACTTAAGGCCCTAGACCCTATCCTTTAAACTCCAAGCGGTTTAGGGTTTAGGGTTTAGGGGTTTAGGGGTTTAGGGTTTAGGGTTTAGGGTTTAGGGGTTTAGGGTTTAGGGTTTAGGGTTTAGGGTTTAGGTTCAGAGGATCCGATCTAAGACTACTTTCAGAGGCGCTTGAAAGGGCCTGCCAAGGCGCCTCCTGCCGACGATATGCAACCATGCAAGTCTTCGCATCACCAAACCCCTCTTCAGAGCCTACATGAACCCTACGTCATGCATGCATAAATGGATGGATGGATATGGATATCTATATGGATATCTATATGGATGGATGGATGGATGGATCACAGGAATCCATCCATACGCAAATACATGTATGCGCATAGAACGTTGCTATGCCAACCGAAGCCTACAGCCTTTGCCCAGGCGGACCTCGCTAAGCAGTACGGAGTTCACGGCTTCATGTGACGCCCTCGGTTGGAGGATGGGTCCAGGGGTTCGGGGTTAAGGCTCATGGGACTTAGTAAGTAAGGTTAGAAGTAGGTTATAATTAGGATAACCCCACTTAGGGGACTCATAACCCCAATTATAACCTACTCACTAAGTCCCATGATCCTCTAAGTAAACCACACGCCGAAGTCCCTATCCCAAACCCTGACACCTTAAACCCTAAGTGCACGGGCTTTCTCGAGCTCAAAGGTGTGGGCCCAAAGCCTTGCGCCCCAAACCCTAAACCCTAAATCCTAAGCCCCAAAGCCTTGAACTCCAAACTGAACCAACGGAAAACTGAAACCGAGGTTCTACCACTACTGGTTCAGCGGCCAGGGCGTGAAGAACAGCAGTGCAGCCGGGCGGAGGATTTCTGTGTAGGATCTTAGGGCTCTGCCTTCAGGGTGTTGGGGTTTGTAAATCTGGATCTTAGGCTTCGGATTTTTTCGGGTTCGGGGTGTAGGATGTCGGGTTTAGAATCCCCCTAAACCCTAAACCCTAACCTAAACCCTAAACCCTAAGCCCAAACTAAAACCTAAACCCAAAGCTAAACCCTAAACCCTAAACCCTCAGAGTCTCGAGCTTTATGGCTGGGGTGTTCGGATGTCAGTTTGGGATCTCCAGGGACCAATAGTACCCGTAAAGGGAGCCATGTTGATAGTTCCCCATGGCACACTTACGGATTCTACAGGGGTTCTGAGGGGTTTTTTGGAATTCAGGCTCGCGAAGTACGCTCTGAAACAGGTTGGGCAGGAAGCCGGAAACCCCCTAAACCCAAAAGCCCCCAACCGGACCCTGAGCCATAGACCCAGCAACCTTGAAGCTTTATTCCCGAAGCCCGTAACCGTAACCCTAACCCGCAAAAACACCCCGCACTCCAAACCCTCAAACCTCGTAAAGACCGCTGAGCCCTTGAGCCAAAACCCTTACCCTAAACATTCTCGAAGCCCGAAATCCCTTGAAAAAGCCCTTATCGAACATGTTGTAAAAAAACCCTTCCAAAGCCATCTTGCAGCCCACGAAGGAGCCTTTGCAAAACGCAGAAACGGCCTTAAACTGCAAACCCTAAACCGAAGATCCCTAAACCCTAAGGGCATGAGCCCTAAAATGGACATTCGAGTCCCAGGTCATGTGGAAGATTCCGCACATGATGCTCCAAGATGGACAGCCGGACATGCCCTTCTTCTTCTCCTGGGCAAATAGGCGCCAAGAGTAGGGTTTGGGGTTTAGGGTTTAGAGTGTGCACTGTAAGGTGCTTACACGGGTTACCAGAAGGAGTAGTATGAGGATTACTAGGAGGGTTTCCAAAAGGGCTTCAAGTAGTATCACTTTAAGGGTGGCTGCAAGGTGTTGTCTGGGCCAACAAGGGCGCCAGAAAGGGCTTTTGTAGATGGAGGTCTGAACAATGAGTGATACCATCTCCTTGTAGTCCGCACGAAGTGACGCTTTCATATTCCCCAAAACCCCAATTCCAGCTATTAAGGCCCTTGTGCCTAACTTATAGACAGCCCCTGAACGAGCGCTTCTAGCAAGCTATGCTTGCAAAGGAATGGAGCCCAAGATCCTAAACCCTTCAACCCCAAACCCTGAAACCCTAAACCCTGAAACCCTAAGCCCAAAACCCTAAAACCCTGAACCCTGAAACCCTAAACGCCCATACCCCAAGCCCAAAACCCTAAACCTTGAAACCCTCAACCCTAACAAAAGGAGCTTTAAAACAACACCTGAAACCCTAAGCCCAAAACCCTAAACCCTGAAACCCTAAACCCTAAACCCTGAACCTTGAAACCCTAAACCCCTAAGCCCAAAGCCCTAAACCCTAAACCCTGAACCCTAAAACCCTAAACCCTGAAATCCTAAACCCCTAACCTTTGATCTCCTTCCTGGGAGGCGCTGGGAGCGCGGCTATGGCGAGCATGCCACTGGGGAGGTCTTGATCGACCAGGACTACAGCCACTGGGATGCCCAGTAGTACCCTTATTCCCTTTTTGTAGTCCTAGGTTCCTTATAAAGTTACCCAATACCAAAAAGAGAGGCCTTTTATTCTTAGGTTACTGGGTATGCTAGGCCACTGGGCTTTTTTGTGAGCCTTGGGGATCAGGGTTTAGGGATTTGGGGTCCCGGATTTTAGGTTTAGGCATAGTTAGGGTTTATGCAAACCCACAAGCCGACAGTAAATGCCAGAATCCCATACACCCCAAACCCCAACACCGACGGCCAAAAAAGCTCCTACAACGCAGCTTGTGCGTCCCAAGCAGCCACTGAAACACGACAGTCGATCCTAGAAGGAGCTTGAATGGACAATTTAATAATACTACAGTGGTTGAGTATGAAACCACTACAGTGGTTGAGCATTAAACCGTATCAAACCCCATACCCTGAAAGTATCGACCTTATAGCTGAAGGCTCGCATGTCGAGTACGTATAAAAGCCAAACGCGCACAACCACAAGCTCCGCACCTTCTCAACGCAGCGAGAGGGGGTTCAAAGTTTATGGTTGCCCTGAGCTTAAACCCTAAACCTAAACCCTAATCTAGGGTTTGGGGTTTAGGGTTTGCTCCAAGGCCCCTAAACCCCTGATGCCTACACGCCCATAGCGAGGCAACGAGTCTGGATGGAAGGAGCACTTCGAATACCTGCTGCCGTATTTCCAGCACCGTTCCCTTGGCGAAGGGGTCCCGGGTTTGGGTTTTGGGTTGGGAGGCCTTGTACCCGAATTTAATCTGTAAGCGGGGTAGTTTTACTATTGAATCAGATTTTTGTTTTAGATTTTAACATCCCGAACTTAGAGTTTTGGGGAGTCTACTGTGGTCAAGTTCTAGAGCCTCCTGGCCTTGATGTTTGGAGGGCTTTGAAGGCTTTAGCATCCATTTTGCGTTTTGGGTTTCGGGGTTTCAATACTTTTGGTGCTTTGAGTAGGGTTGCGGTTTGGGGTTTAGGGCCTGTGGTGTGCTGTTGGGGGACGGGTTCGATGGTGAAGTTGAGGAGTGCCCTGTAGTTGCAGGCTTTCCAGATGTCCTTGGATTTCCGGGTAATTCCCAAGTATTCAATGCAATTCCAGAGTTATTCCACAGGAAGCATCCTTTAATTTGCCGGAGGCCAGACATCAGAACAGGCCACCCCACCCCCACCCCACCCCCACCCCCCCACCCCCATCCCCACCCCCCCACCCCCACCCAACTGGATCTGAGGCTTCAAACCCGAAGCCCTACATCCAATGAAGGGGGGATCTGAGGCCTCTACAAGAAGGTCGACAACAAGCCCATCTTCGCCATCTACTTCCCGCAGGCCTGACGGGCCATTGGGACCTAAGCTTTCAGACTTCTTGGGTGTTTTGGAGGTTAGGGGTTTAACCTTCGGGGTGTCATAGCTTGAGCAGCTGGAGGCAAATAACTGCAAAGGTCGCGAGCTTCCATTCGATAGTGGCAGCCGCAATGGGGTGCGTCCTCCATGCGTGGCCAGAAGAAGTAGTGCTCGTGGTCGTAGGTGTAGTCGCTGGCGCAGTAGTAGCGGCAGTATTCGTAGTAGTCGGAGGGGGAGTAGTAGTAGTAGTAGTAGTAGTAGTAGTAGTAGTAGTAGTAGTAGTAGTAGTAGTAGTAGTCGTAGTCGTAGTCGTAGTCGTAGTCGTAGTCGTAGTCGTAGTCGTAGTCGTAGTCGTCGTAGTAGTTCTAGTGGTAGTGGTAGTGGTGGTGGTGGTGGTGGTGGCGGTCGTGGTCGTGGTAGCGGTGGTGTTCGTGGTATTGGTAGTGGTAATGGAGTGGTAGTGATATTTTTAGCGGTACCGGTAGGGCTAGGGGAAGTGCTACGTAGTGCTAGTGGTAGTAGTGGTGGTTGTTGTTGCTGCTGTTGTTGTTGTTGTTGCTGCTGCTTTCGTGACTTTGATTGTGGTTGTTGTAGTGGTGGTGGTTGCTGTTTGTGTAGTTGTCGACGATGTTGCTGTGCTGTTCGTGATGGCTGGTGTGATGAAGGCGGGATATGCGTGTGCGAGCTTCTCATGAAGCTGATCGAAGATACGCTTAGGATTGCAGGGACTCTCGTTGTCTGACTCGTCTTGTCGGCACTTGTTCTTCTCCGCCCAGTCTTTACGAAGGTTGCTTATAACTATCTCCTGAATTCGTTTCAATATCGACAACGACGAGGAGAGCCATGATACGTACCGTAGAACTGAGTAGGTGAGTAGGCGCGATATTGGTGATCGTGCTGTAGTACGACCACGGTCGTGACGATCATGATGAAGACGATGGTTGCGGCAATGATGGCGAAACCATAAACTCGAGACTTTTGAGACCCTAACTTGAGACTTTTGAGGCCCTAAAGCCCTGAAACCCCTAAACCCTAAAAGCCCAGAGCCCTAAACCCCTAAGCCCTAGAAGCCCGAAAGCCCTAAACCCTAAACCTCTCTATAGAACCCTTATAGATCCCTTCATGGAAGCCTTGTCGTACCCCTTTAAAAGGAACCTCTTTAGCTTCGCAGGAGATTGGTAGAACCCTTGAAGATCCCTTTAAAGGAACCCCTATAGTACCCTTTAATGGAACCCCAAAACCCGCAAACCCTAAACCTGCTTTGCTTTGCAGGAGATTGGTGACAAGTTGGGGCCGATGATGAACAACTGGCACCAGCTACCTTCTCGGCAAACTTCTCGGTTTAGGGGTTTAGGGGTTCGGGGTGTTTAGGGTTGATTGAAAAGGGTACTATAAGGCTTCCTTTAAGGGATCGGGATCTATAAGGGTTCGCTAAAGGGGTTTAGGGTTTAGGGGTTTAGGGTTCAGTAGTGGTTTAGGGTTTAGGGTTTGAGTTTTAGGGTTTAGGGAGGGTGTGCAGTCACAGGGTTCATGTAGGGGGTCCGGATGATTTGTAGCCATATCCCCCCCTGAGTAAGTCTTATGACGTTCCTTTCGCTGCGCGTAGCCCCGCTTGCACCTGTCCATGAGGCCGCAAGGAGGCTTTGACTTCGGGTTAGGGCTTAGGGCTTAGGGCTTAGGGGTTTAAGGCTTAGGGTTTAGGGTTTAAGGCTTAGGGTTAAGGGTTTAGGGTTTAAAGCTTAGGGTTTAGGGCTTAGGGTTTAGGGCTTAGGGTTAAGGGTTTAGGTCTTCAATCTCGGAATGTCGAGTGCTTCGGTTGCATGTTCTGAACCTTGAGTCCGGAAAGGATGTTGAATTGAACGGGTCGGGATGAAGCCACATGCATCCCTATGCATGTACAAGTTTGTTTAAAGGCTCAAAAATCGCTATAGGCTGCAGGTAGGGTCATCGCCGCGACTTGTCATGCAGCACACCTGGCAACTACCCGCGAACCTTCAAGTAAGGCCAGTTTTATGGGGTGGGCCTTTGCTGCATGCCACTGCCAAGTCTCATGCTGGGTTTGTTTTCAGCCGCATCTGTCCATAATTCTAAGTGGCAAGAGCATCCAGGACACTGGCCCATAAAAGGCGTGCCCAAAGCTTTACTGTGATCATACCGGTGGAAAGGGCTTCGACAAGATCCACGTTGAGCATGTTGACTTTCGTGCTGGGCCCGAGCTTCAGAAGGCTGACGTTGTTTGCCATATGTAGAGCCAGCGTAAAATAGGGGCCTAAATACTTACCAGTACCAGTTTGGGGGTTCCTCTTCACAAATTTAGCATACTGGGCCCCAAAACCCTATTCTAATGAGTCAGGGCCCTAGAGTACTCATGCGTCGCTTGCTTCCTGCGGCCATCTGTGTCTGCCTCACAAGTCGAGCTGGTGCAATCCGCAGCCGAGAGGACATGCAGGAGCATCTGGGCGTGGCTCAGATCTGGGAGTTTCCGAACATTCGGGGTACCCTTATTTTGGGGTCCTTATAATGGGGATCCTACTATTTAGGGTACTATGTTAGGGTACCCCATTTTCGGAAACTCCCATGTAGTATCAGTCTTATGAGATATTGCGAGCATCATTCTTCAAATTGTTGTCGTCGTCATCATCGTCGTCGTAGTAGCAGCAGCAGTAGCAGCATAGTAGCAGGAGAAGTAGTAGCAGGAGAAGTAGTAGCAGGAGAAGTAGTAGTAGTAGTAGTAGTAGTAGTAGTAGTAGTAGTAGTAGTAGTAGTAGTAGTAGTAGTAGTAGTAGTAGTAGTAGTAGTAGTACGTGGTGGTGGTGGTGGTGGTGGTGGTGGTCGTATTCGTCGTAGTGGCTGTGGTAGTAGGAGCAGGAGCAGGACTAGTAGGAGTAGGAGCAGGAGCAGGAGCAAGCAGATGGAGCCGGAGGAGCCGGAGTAGGTGGAGTAGGTGGAGTAGGTGGAGTAGGAGGAGTAGCAGGACGAGGACGAGGGAGCGGGAGATGACGAGCAGGAGCAATGTACCTATGTAGTATATATATATATATACGCATGTATACATATATATATATATATACATATATATATATATATACATATGTATATATATATATATACACACGTATATACACACATAGACAGCTAGATTGGCATAGTACATTCACGCGATTTCATACATACACACAGACATATATTCGAAGTCACGTGCCTGCATATTCAAGAGCGATCGACACAGCGAGAGAATCAGAGAGAGAGAGCGAGAAAGAGAGAGTGAGAGAGAAAGACAGAGACAGATAAAGAAAGCAAGCGAACGAGTGTGAGTCTTGCCTGCCTTTTTTTTGTGATTTTCAGGACCGATTACGCTTTCTAGTCCAAAGCCGCTACTACGCTATAGCAGAAAGGTTTTGAGGACCGTTTTAGTTTTCGCTTCCCAACAGCGTCCCAGGCATGAGGAATTCATTGTTTCGCAGCAGGACGAAACCTGGGCCGGGGAGGGTTGGGCAGCGGTTTGGGTTTAGGTCGTGGAGAGTGGAGCACGTGAGAAGTCATAGTACCATGAGATAGGGCCCTAAAAAATTACCAATACTATTTTGGGGGCTCCTTATTATCATTATAGCACAGTAGGCCCCAAGGCCCTACTCTAATTATGAAGGCCCCTACAGTAGAGCGCAGCATGAATACTTAAAGGATCATGGGACTTCGTAATTTCGGTTAGTATTAAGGTAACTATACCTATAACCCCAACTGTAGCTAGGGTACTTATAGCCATACTTACTAAGTCCCACGATCCTCCAAGTAGTAGTGCGTCGTACTGAGCCCCTGGGTCGCTCAAAGAGGCGCCAGCAACCTGGACCCAACTTTCAAAGAGGTTTCGGGTTTAGGGTTTAGGGGTTTAGGGGTTTAGGGTTTAGGGTTTAGGGGTTAGGGGTTTAGGGTTTAGGGTTTTAGGGACATCCCTTAAATCATCAATTGCTGCAGGGTTCCTGGAAACAGGACGGCGCTCAAGAACACTTTCAGGCAGATGCACTCGCTTGGCGGACGCCAGACATGGACGAAGCCTCTGTCACTGAGAATGACATCTGCTGCAGATGCCACGGGAAAGGACGGGTTCATTTCGACACGCATTCCAAGGAGCAAGGGTGCCATGACCGCTGCGAGTTTGGCTACATGGGCAAGTGCTTCTGAGCCCCCGTGGCCGGCTACCGTAGCCGTAGGGCGGAAGCAAGCTCGTGCAGCTGCCGTGGAGAGAAAAGAGGATCCCTACTCATACTCGGGTCGTCCCCGGCTGCGAACCGGTCACCTTGCTACCTGTGCTCAGGGTTTAGGCCCAATACCTAGGTCGAGCGTGTAGGGTTTAGAGTCGGAACACCAAACACCGTAGACTCCTAGACCTCGAACTTGTCAAAGCCTAAACGCTGAGCCCTCACCCTCCTTTTTGTGGATAAGGCTTGCCAAGCAGAACGGCTTCAACGGCATCTACTTCCTGCGGACGGTCAGCGGGCGCGGACCCTAATCGCCGGGGGTAATGTAGGAACCTGATTAAGAAACCCCGGGCCTTTAACCCCAAAATAGTAAGATCTCATTAAGGCCCAAGGTTTCTTAATCAGGTTCCTACACTAGACGCGATCCACAAAAGATCCAAAGATCCACGAGGAGTTGAACCAGCCTCCATCCTCGAGGAAAGTGTGAAGCCTCGCCTAAACCGCATAACCCGAAGCCGAGCACCGTAAAACCATGCAACTTCCCGACATCAAAGGTCGACGGGTGCAGGGTTCAGGGTTTAGGGTGTAGGTTTTAGGGTAATACTGACAGCACTGCCTAAGAGCCCTTAAAGTGCCTTGCTGCGAAGCTTTGGAAGCTTGAAGCGCCTCAGACCTTAAACCCTAAGTTTTAAACCTTGAATCCCAAACCTTAAACTCTAAACCCTCAGCCCTCAATCCTAGATTTTTGACCCCTGAGCCCGAAACCCTAAACCCGAAATCTTACACACCCAACACCTGAACCCTAAACACCTAAACCCTAACTTCCTAAACCCTAAACCCGAAATCCCTCAACCCTAAACCCCAAACCCTAAATCCGTCAAGGAACCCCAAATCCTAAACCCTAAATCCCTCAAGGAACCCTAAGCCCTCCCTTGAGACTCCTTCTCAGGGCCGGCGGCCCTCAGTTCATGCCCAGCCTCTTCGACGCCAGCTTCCACTTCATGGCGGCCCTTCGGCCTCTCTTTGTTGAGGGTTCTTAGGGTTCTTAGGGTGTTTAGGGTTCTTAGGGTTCTTAGGGTCTTAGGGTCTTAGGGTCTTAGGGTCTTAGGGGTTTAGGGTTTAAAGGTTTAGGGGTTTAGGGGTTTAGGGTTCTTAGGGTCTTAGGGTCTTAGGGTCTTAGGGTTTAGGGTTTAGTGGTTCAGGGTCTTAGGGTCTTAGGGTTTAGGGTCTTGGGGTTTAGGGTTGAGGGTTAAGAGCAATTTTTGGGAGTTTCCGAAAATTAAGGGTACCTTATTTTGGGTCCTTATAATAAGGATCCCACTATTTAGGGTACAAAAAACCAGCAGAGGCTAACCCCACACCTCACATCCCGACCCCCACCCTATGCTTTCACCTCAATTCTAAGCCTGCCTAACAAATCAACCCTCCAAAACACCAAAACACAAAGCACTTCCCAAATCAATACCGAACCCCAAAGCACAAACCAGAATCAAAACAACCTCCTTCCCCTACACCTCACTCCTCCAAAATACCAAAACAGAACAACCTCCCCAAAACCCGTAACCCAATCCTCAAACTGCCTAATAACTCACACTGATCTCACGACACCTACATGCTTGATGCATCCATTCACAAACCTCTAGACTAGGGTGACTAGGTCTTAGCCGGGAAAGTTTCGCAGCTGCGGGTGAAAGAAATAGCCTGCAGCCCAACAATTCTGAACAAGATGGAGGTTCTGCTATCGCAGTCATCGACTGTATTCTTTCAGACATCCGACGTACGGAGACTTGCTGACTGGGTTGTTTAGTTTTAGATTTAGCTTAGGCTTGGTGTTTGTTTGCTTAGGAGGGTTGTTAGGCTTGCTTGTTGTGCCTTTTTCGTTTGTACTTTTTTGGTGGTGAAATCTCTACGTAAATATATGAACATAGCATTTTTGAAGAAGCTACAAAGAAAAACACATTAAATCAGGATAGAGCATAAGAGTAAATAATGTTTCAGAAACTCTAACGAAATTTCTGAAAACCACACTTTTTGAACACCTACTACAAAACGTATAGGAACAAATTACACAACAAACAGAGAGCAAGAAAACAGCACAGCAACAAAACCAACACATAAAATCAAGAATAGACTATGAAAGTCAAGAGTTTTTACATCTTTAACAATTCGTGTCGCAAATACCTGCGCGTATCCCCTATATTAAATTTCTTCAAGGGCGTCTTGGAGCTGCATAGGGCCTGGAAGGTTGGCTTTTAAGGTCACTCCCTGTTTGCCCGCAAACCCTAGTTGAAAGATTCTATTCTCCAAACCCAGACCTTGAAACACACCCAGGCCCAAGCCCTAAACAGTAAACCTACACCCAAGCAGCAAGTTTAAGTGCCCTGAAGTTTCCTTGCACCTTTTCAGGTCTGCGAGCGATGCGGACGCCCTGCGTCCGGTGAAGATAAGGCCTGGAGACAGCTGCAATGGATTCATATATATATATATATATGTATATATACATACACATACACACACACATAGATAGGGCTTCCCGGAGCTTTAAACCCCAAACCCTGAATCCGATTACCCCGTCTAATATCCCGTAGAACCTGCGCAAAGCCCATAAGGCCTTGTAGAACTCCATAAAACCTATACACCGCACTGTCCCTTTGAAAGGACTTCGTGACCACGTGGCCGCAGTATCCTGGCAAGTCCAGACGGGGTACGGCTTCCGTTTAGTGGCTACACCGTGGACTGTTTGTAGGGCTTAAGGGTGTGGGGTTTGGCATGTGGGGTTTTAGACTCTAAAGTGGAAGGAGTCTAAAGTGGAAGGGCTCAGGCACAAGAGATTTAAAACTTCAAAAAACCAAGAAGTGCCAGACTTCTGCCTGAAGCCTTTGACCCTACTATAGGGGCCGAAATAATTACCAATTTGGGGCTTCCTTATTATAGTTTTTGTATCATGGGCCCCAAAACCCTATTTTAATTACTAACGCCTCTACTTTATTTTCCCGCCCGAAGCTGTAATTCAGCGAATCCACGCATCGAGGTATTGGGGTGCCACGACGGGCTTCGACAACCGCGTTCGTGGCCGCTCGACAGCCCACATTTTTCTTCTGCTTTTGTGCTTAGTGCTCCGCATTTGCTTTCTCTGTCTGTCCGTCTGTCTGTCTAGGGTTTAGCGTTTAGCGTTTCGGCCTTCGGGTTTAGGGTTCTGTCTGTCTGTCCCTGTAACTGGAGCTCGGTCAGCCAAGGCTGCAGCCAGCGCTACCGTGCAAGCCCTGAGGAGTTCAAGGCACAAACGTCTTAGGTATTGGGGCCTGGGGGGTCTCAAGATGTCTTGCAAGTGCGCTTACTTGGAGGATCATGGGACTTAGTAAGTATAGTTATAAGTACTTTAATTGGGGTTATAAGTATAGTTACCTTAATAATATCCCTAATTACTAGGTCCCATGATCCTTTAAGTATCGGGTTTGTATGGGGAGTTGTTTTGGGAGGCAGAGTGCTGCAGAACGGCAGGAGCCAGCCCTTACTTAGAGGATCATGGGACTTAGTAAGTAGGTTATAATTGGGGTTATACGTCCCCTAAGTGGGGTTATCCTAATTATAACCTACTCTTACTTACTAAGTCCCATGAGCCTTCAAGTATAGAACCCTTACATTATAGATCCCTAAACCCTAAACCCTTTAAGGAGCCCTTTAAGGAACCCTACAGATCCCTTTAAAGAACCAGCCCTTAGGGCTTTGCAGTTCCAGGCTTTCGGGGTGAAGGGCTGTAGCTCTGCGTTTCAGGATCCAGGGTTGAGATTTTCGAGTGCCCTTATAGACCCTAAACCCTAAACCCCATAGATCCCTTTAAGGAACCCTACAGATCCCTTTAAAGAGCCCTTTTAAGATCCCTTACTAGCAGCTTTAGCCGTTCCAAGGGACTGATTCGGGGCCAGCTTTATGCTGGGTCTTCGGACCGGCTTCAACTTTGGCTGGCCGCGGCTAGCCTGAACTACCTGGACTGAAGAAGTACTGAAGAAGCTATGAAGCAAGATGCAGGAGATCACCAGCTGGGCCAGTGGAACATAGAGTCAAGTCTCCGTTCGGTGCACCACCTATGCTCCTCCTCCTTCCTCCTTTCTCCTCCTCCTTTCTCCTCTTCCTCATCCTTGTCCTCCCCGTCCCATCCCAGCTGCAACCCAAAGCACATCTAAACCCGGAGCCCGAACCCCCCTAAAACCTGAAACCCTAAACCCTAAACCCTGAACCCTAAACCCTAAACCCTAAAACCTGAAACCCTAAACCCTAAAGCCTGAAACCCTAAACCCTAAACCCTAAGCCCGAACCCCCTTCAAACCTGAAACCCTAAACCCTAAAGCCTGAAACCCTAAACCCTAAACCCTAAGCCCGAACCCCCTTCAAACCTGAAACCCTAAACCCTGAAGCCCAAGCCCTAAGTCGGCCTCGAACCTGCAAGACCTGCACCGTAGCTCGCGAGACACTACTTGGAGGATCATGGGACTTAGTAAGTATGGTTATACGTACCTTGATTGGGGTTATAAGTATAGAACCATAAGTACCTTAATTGGGTTATGAGTATAGTTACCTTCATAATATCCGTAGTTACTAAGTCCCATAATCCTTTAAGTAGCAGGTGGCGCTCCAGCAGTCTTTCAGCCGCTGGGAATGGTTTGGCATTTGTGCAGACGTCTGGGAGGATCTGGAAAGTAGATCCCTGAAGTGGCTTCCTTCATAGTACCAGTTAGTCGTAGACAGTACCGAAGTCTGACACCCTGGACCTCAACCCCAAGAAATAAAACCTTAAAGCATCTCTAACGCCCCAAACCCAAAGGCCCTAAATGCCCTAATTCCAGCCTGAATCCTCTCATTGAGGCAACATGAGCCATCATCCTGCTCGCCGAATCAACGAGAACCTCTACTTTGTCGCCGCATGGAAACCGGGCATTTACCTGGGCTTGGAGTACCATACTTGAATACATGTTTTTGGTACCTGTTCCTTAAAGGAACCATTATGGAATACACGTCTGTGCTTTTTTCTCCCTGGTTACTTCAAAGTCCAGTTACAGAACCCTACTGAAGATCCCCTGTAGAGCCCTTTAAGGAACCCTCTAACTCTACTTTTTTCTCCCTGGTTACTTCAAAGTGCAGCTTACGGCTACGGGTTTTTAGGGCTTCGGGGCGGCTTGCGGGCTGCGTGCCGTGGGTTACGGGCCTGGCTTGGGACCTTAGCATCTTTGCCGTTTTGGTGGTTTTTAAGGTTCCGGGGTTTTAAGGTTCCGGGTCTAGGGTTAGGGTTCAGGGTTTAGGGGCGGGATTTTGAGGTCTCGGGTTTAGGGTTTAGGGGGGTTTTAAGGTTTCGGGTTGAGGGTTTAAGGTTTCGGGTTCAACTGCAAGTGTGCTTGGGGGTAGGCTGGAGGGGTTCGGAGTTGAGGGCACGGTTCAGCTCTCAGGAACGAGTGGAACGAGCAGGGAGTTCTGGAGCCTGACGCGATCCATGCGTTCCTTGGCGGCCATGAAGAAAAGCACAATCATAACAGCAGTTCAACACTAATGATGCTAGTAGCAGTGATTGTAATAGCAATAGTAATAGTACTAGCAATAGTGGCGACCGCAAAAATGGAGGCTCCATCATACGAGGCTCAAGAATGAGAATTCCTGGCCCTCTAAAACTACTGCTTGCAGAACAAAACTTTAGCCCCACATCCTAAACCCCAAATCCCTAAACCCTGAAATCTCTAAGCCCTAAACCCCGAAATCCCCAAACCTGCAACTCCCAAATCCCGAAACCCCCAAAATCCCTAAACCCAGAACTCATGTTCTGGAGAGCCAAAGCCTCTAGACTACATTGGCCCTCAGGTGGGGGAGCTCAGGGAATCCAAGGTGAAGGGGTGAAAGTGGGTGAAGGATTTCGGAACGGAAACTTGCAAGGATGTACGAACTTTGCGGAGGTTTTCAAGGGTGGATTTAGGAAGGGTTCGAGATAAGCGAAGCCGTGCATAAAGAGTAAGAGCTACATAGGCCCGTCCCCTAACTATCGCGCCTGTTGCTGTGTTAAGGACTTACATAAAATCCCAGCCCTTATAAACCCTTTTACAGGCACCCCCCCCGCAAAATAGAGCTCTCCGTGATCCTTCAAACTGGCCGGGGTAATCTTTGCGGTTCACGCTGAGGGTTTGGGTAGAAGCCAGGATACTGGAACCTCTGTATCCTCATGCCCATATGGAAGTTCCCGAAAACTGGCTGTACCTTATTTTGGGGTCCTTATAGTAAGGATCCTATGATTTAGTGTCCCCTGTTTTCGGAAACGCTCATATAGAGTAAAGCAAGGAACAGATCATCCCGACTAGGAAGGGTCCGTCTCTCTTGAGTTTGCCACAGAGTTTTGGGTTTAGGCATCCTGTTTTGCCGCGGCAAAAACTAGCCGATAGCATCTCTCTAGTTACTGCTGTGAAATTTCCCCCTAAACCCTAAACCCTAAACCCTAATTCCTTTGGGCTGAGGTTTGCCTACTTGCAGGCCCTGCAGCATGCTGCGGCATGGCGGATGTTCAGCAGAGCTGGGGGGTTGAGTTTAGGTAGCAAAGGAGCCTGAATAAGAACTCATACCATTCCTTTGGGTTCAGCATGATAACAGTATGATAACATACTGGAATCCATCCCAAGCCTTCGAATCTAATTAAGGCCCCGAGCCATTCGGGGGTCCGCTACAGATTACCGCGCATCAGAGCCCCCGGAATGCAGGGGAGCTTGAAAGGCGGGCAATATTCCTTAGTTTTTGAGAGGAGAAGATGCCCAGCCAACCTGTCTCTTGATTCCTAATCAACCCTAAACCCAACATCCCTAAACCCTAAACCCTAAACCCAACATCATAAACCCTAAACCCTAAACCCAACATCATAAACCCTAAACCCTAAACCCAACATCATAAGCCCTAAACCCTAAACCCAACATCATAAGCCCTAAACCCTAAACCCAACATCATAAACCCTAAACCCTAAACCCAACATCATAAGCCCTAAACCCTAAACCCAACATCATAAACCCTAAACCCTAAACCCTAGGAAGCCTAAAGTCCTTTAGGCCCGAAAGGCCCCAAAGCTCAGATAGGACCTGCCGGCCCAGGCAGAGACTATCGGAGCAGCCGACCCCACGTCGGAGGCATGTTTTCAGGGATCGGCACTAGGGGTTTAGGTAGGGGTGTAGGGGGTGTAGGGGTTTAGGGGTTTTAGGGGCTTGGGTGTTTGGGGGCTTAGGGGTGTAGGGGTTTAGGGTTTTAGGGGCTTGGGCGTTGAGGGGTTGGGGATTTGGGGTGGTAGGGGTTTCGGGGTTGAGGGGTTTGGGGGTTTCGGGGTTTAGGGGTTTGGGATTTAAACCCTAAACCCTAAACCCTGGGGTCCAGGGTGCGGCGCTTGTATAAGTGGATGCTCTCTATATGGACTCCGAAGCCCCAGACCTTCCAAGGCCCTTGAAGAGAGACCCAAGGTTTCCTTATAGACAACCCTTTACAAAAGAAGCCCCATATCCATATATATATATATATATATATGTATGCTATGTATATATATATATATATATGTATATTCATATCCATACATGTATGGGTTTAAGGTTTAGGGTTTGTCGCCTCTCAAAATCACCCCAGCCCTGCATTGCAGGATCTTCTGTCCGTGGCGGCGCCTGTGAAGAAGCAGCGCCCCATGTGCCCCTGGCTGCCTTTTGTTTCGTTCTGTTTGTTGGGAGAGGGCAGCAGGATTTGGTCTGACCCTCTCTTAGGGGTACTTAGAAATACTTTTTATTTCTTGGTTATTATAATCCCTAACAAACAGCTAAAATTAAAATTTTTGCTAGGGTTCTAAGTTCAGTATAGTCTCTTGCTAAGTCCGCAACGATTAAATTAAACCCTAAGCCCCGCAAAGCCCTAAATCCACGCATCGAGAAGTGTACCAAGTGAATCTACAACCCGAAATCCCAAACCCCAAAACTCCTGGCCCCGACTCCCTAAATCCCAAAACCCCGAAGCTCTCATCCTGCTAGAGTTCAGGGTGTAGGGTTTAGAGTTCAGGGTTTAGGGTTTAGGGTTTAGGTAAGCTCAAACAGCCCTAAACCCTAAACCCGAAGACGGCCCGGCTTGGGTCAAAGGACTTCCTTGCTGGAGATGAAGAGCATCGAGGTGGGCTCAGCGAGAAGCCTTTCTTGTCGGAGGGGTAAATGGGAGTTTCCGGAAATTAGGGGTACCTTATTTTGTGAGGTCCTCATGATAAGTATCCTACTATTAAGGGTGCTATATCAGGGTCTATTTTAGGAAACACCCATATTATACTAGAGTTAAGGAGCCCAGGGATAGTACTGGTGGCCCCTACCGTAAATTCACTTGGAGGTTCATGGGTAGTTATAAGTGAGTATATATGTCCCCTGGTATGGGTTATAACTTGTAACTATAGTTACCTACTCAGAACCCCACTGATACCTACCCCTGAACCACCTGGTCGTGGGCGATGACACGGGCTTACGGGTTTAGGGCTTGTTACGTGTTTTTCCTGATCCTTGCTTCGCAATTGCCCACGGACGCTTTTTAGTTAAAGTATGATTAATGCCCCTATGAACTATATATACATATATATATATACACATATACATATATATATATATACACATATGCTCCCCCCGTTGACAGACCATGCCCTTGTGACAGTGTACTCTCTTTCGGTGACTCGGCTGAGATATTGTATCTCAACACACCACACACGACGATAATTTGTAAAGCAAAACCTTTACTACATATGCCACTGCCATGTACTGAGGACGCATGGACCAGACGCGCGGTACATGAGTTAATAGTTTTGTGGTAGTATTGATATTAGGATGAGTATTAGTATTAGTATTGGTATTAGTATTCGTACCAGTAATAGTATCAGTGTTTACATATATGTATATATATATATATATGCATATATGTATACATCAATATTACTAAGTATATGTTAATGTTAGTGCACAACTTCGTGTTAGTGTTAGTTTTAGTGCCAGTGTCAATGTCAGGAATAGTACCACTGCTCGTTTAAGTATCAGTCTTCATCCTGGGTTTAACACCAGTCAATAATCGCAGAAGTGCTAGTATTAGTATCAATTTTAGAATTAGTCTTGATATGTTACCAGTCTGAAAGTTTCGTATATCAGCAGATTAGTATATCAATCCATTTATGTATTCGAGCAGCAACCTATTTGCATACCTGTATGTTCGCATATTTAATACTTTAGTACAACAGATGCATGAGTACACTAGTATATTGGTGTATTCGTGTCTTGTCTAATGATTTATAAGTATATCCGTATGTTGTCGTATTAGGAAACTAACCTGCCATGTCGATATACTTGCATATTACAGTAGTCGTATGTTATTAGCATATTAGTATAGTATGTTCAGACATTAACACGTAGTGTATTGTTACATTCGTATTTGGGCATATGCTTATCCGATTTGTCCAAAACATAAGGGCGAACTTTTTGGAACTTTTGGAATTTTTTGGAAATTTCGGATTTTTTTGGAGGGTTTGTTGGAATTGTGCAAAATTTCCAAAACTTCTGAAATTTCCAAAACTTCCAAAATCCACAGACCTAGCTAGTGGACAGGATTTGTCCAAAACATAAGGGTGAACTTTTTAGAAATTTTGGAAACTTTGGATTCCAAAATTTCCGAAATTTCCAAAATCCCCAGATTTGTCCAACACATAAGGGCGAACTTTTTGGAAATGTTGGAAATGTTGGAAATTTTGGAAATTTTGGAAATTTTGGAAATTTTGGAAATTGTGGAAAACGGAAAGATAGGGGCGATAATTTTGGACATTGCTGAATTGAAATATCGGGAGGGCTGATTGTCACCCATCCGATGACAGACCATCTGCAAAGCCCTACAGCGGGTTTAGGGTTTCGGGTTTAGGGAGAGCCCTAGCAGAACCCTGATAAAGACCGTTAGAGAATCCTAGTACATAAAGCCCTACAAAACCTTAAACCCTTCAAAGGAGCCCCCAAGCCAGCCATGGGTTGTTCAAGGGATGCACGCTGTTGAACCACTCACAAAAAGCCTTAGCGGCATTTGTGTGTGTGTGTGTGTGTGTGTGCAATCCAAGTCTACACTTGATCACACCGGGTGGAACAACTTTGCAATATCAATATTCACGATCGGTAATCGCATTTTGCGATTTGTACCTAATTGGGGGATTCTGAGTCCTTGGCTGCTCGGAGGTGAGACCAGATCTTGCTTCATGGGCTGCAAAGTCTGTAACTGTAGGTTCTAGGGTACGGTTTAGGGTTTAAGAGGCTGCAAAGTCTTTAGGTCCTTTGTTGTTGAGGGGTGTTTCGCTACAAGAATGGCCCCAACAATAACGTTCCAATTTTTTTCGAGTTTGAGGGGCTTTGAGAGCTACTGCTTGTGTATTTCTGAGGGCTAGGGTGGCTAGGGCTAGGGTTGCGCTAGCCACTCGTCAATTGGTGGCGAGCCGCTAGAACAGAACAGAATAGGATAGAGTAGAACAGAGTCAACCAACGTAGAATAGACTAGAATATTACGTGCATAGGAATAATGTCTGATAAGGCAAGACAGTGCACCAGAATTCGATTTACACGCCGAGCCCATTCTCTCTGGACTCAGCGCCGAAGCAACGAGGGATCTTCTAGCGTTGTCAGGGCTCCGCCAAGCTTGTAGCCCCAAAGCACTGTTCTAACTATGAAACCCCTGCATGACATACCCCATCTCCACAAAATGGGACTGAAGGTGACATGTATTGCGAGTGCCATGATACCTGTTCTGTGTGGTGCCCTCGGAGATCCCAGGGGTATCAAAATCTATGCAGAGCGCCTACCCTAAGCTGTGACATTCAGAAATCCAAGGCTCATATTCAAGCCCTGAGCGTCACGGAACAAACCGACGGAAACTCTGAATTTTGAAACTCTAAAGCTTGAGCCGTTTGCCCCAAGAGCATCGACTTTCAATACATTCCGAACTCTGAACTCGGAAGTGTCTCCCTTTCACAGAGAATGTAAGAAGGCTTATAGGCCTCAAGCTGTTGAGGGTCTCAGCCTTCTCGCGAATTCCAGACCCTGAGCTCGAAACCCTGCAGAATCGAAAAGCAGCGCAAACGCACAACTGAAATCGAATCCCAGAAACCCCAGAATCGCAAACGCGCATAGAGGCTGTGAGGACCCTCCACAACCCAGAGCCCAAAGCTCAAATCTCTACACCCTAATTAACTCCAAACCCCAAACCCAGAGCCCAAAACCCAAAATCCTAGACCCTGAAAACCAAAACCCGCAACGCAAACCCTAAACCTTACAGCCTAAACCAAAATCCTAAACCCTAAACCCTGAACCCTAGACCAAAACCCAAAAATTAAAACCCCAAAACCTCAACCTAAAATCCTAGACCCTAAACCCGAAATCCTAAACCTTAAACCCCAAAGGCCCCAAAGCCCTGAGCCCGGGGACAAAAAGGCGCCCTTTCATGTCTCCAAGGCCTGGGGCCACGGCACGGGGCCCAAGAAGTGGGACGAGACGCGCCGGGACCGGAAGGTGGATCCCAAGGAGAACCCCGAGCCTCAGGCGCCCTTTGTGTGGGTCTCTACTCTAGAGGCGCCTAATTAATAAGTAGAGTAGGGTCCCTTAAGGGGTCTGTAAGGGCTACCAGAAGGGCTATTGTAAGGATTTCGTATAGGGCCTAAATAATTACTATTTTGGGGGGTTCCTGATTATAGTTTACCGTATAAATGGGCTCCAAGACCCTGTTCTAATTATTAAGGCCCCGCTTAGGGCCTGAAGATTGGGATCCTTCAGGGGCTTCGGGTTTCGGATTTGAGGATTGGGGGTTCTGAATTTGAGTTAAACCCGGCGGGAAGGAGGTATGGCCCATACTAAATCCTTATAACAGCCCTTATTATCGTAGACCTTATAGACCCCTTTAAACGACCCCTATTCTAACTATTAAGGGGTATATGCATGTGTGTGTGAGTTTGTTTTTGTGTCAGGGGTGTGACCCTAAACCCTAAACCCTAAACCCTAAACCCTTCAACATCCTCACAGGATGTTGAAGGGTTTGGTTCTGGGTCTAGGGATTTTTTTTTGTGCGTTTCGGGTGCATGTGCACATTAACACCGCTGCAGGATCCCCGAACCTTTTAAATGGCTTCCCGGTTTACTTTAGACTTTAAAGCCCTGAACTCTAAACCCTAGTCAGGGGTCTGCAGTACGGATTGAGGGTAAAAAGCGTGTCGGGTTTGGGGTTTCAGTGAAGGGTTTTGGGTTCTCTCCAAGAAACCTGCACTGGGTATCATCCTTCTGTCCTAAGCTCGAGAATTCTAGGCCCCTAGGTCCAAAACCCTCCACCGTAAACACTCAAAACCTAAACCCTAAGCGCTGAAACCCTAAGCCCTAAACCCTGAACCCTAAATCCTAAGCCCTAAACCCTAAGCCCTTTAAAAAGATCCTAAATCCTAAACCCTAAACCCTAAGCCCTTAAAAAATAATCCTAAATCCTAAACCCTAAACCCTAAGCCCTTAACAAAAAAATCCTAAATCCTAAACCCTAAACCCTAAGCCCTGAAACAAAATATCCAAAATCCTAAACCCTAAACCCTAAGCCCTTAAAAACAAAATTAAATCCTAAACCCTAAGCCCTGAAAAAAATCGAAAATCCTAAACCCTAAACCCTAAGCCCTTAAAAACAATTTTAAATCCTAAACCCTAAACCCTAAACCCCGACTCTCTGAGCAGGTGACGCTCGGTGGCGATGCCAAACGGCCGATCGACGACCGTGCCTACCGCAAGACCAGGTGCCTCGCCTCTTGCAGATGGGGGTGCCTGCATGGTTTAGGGTTTGTGCTGTTAGTTTTAGGGTTTAGGGTTTTAGGGGTTTAGGGTTTTAGGGTTTTAGGGTTTTTAGGGCTTTGGGTTTTTGGGGTTTTAGGGTTTTAGGGCTTTAGGTTTTTAGGGTTTTAGGGTTTTTCGGGTTTCGGATTTAGGATGTTCGGCCTCGTAAGTCCGGCAAACGGCTATGCCAGTCCGGGACTTGTGTTGGATGTTGTGGATGGCTGCAATCCCATCGCTGTTACTACCTTCCATGACAATATGTCCTACTTGAAGGCTCATGGGACTTAGTAAGTAAGGTTATAAGTAGGTTATAATTAGGGTAACCCCAGTTAGGGGACTTATAACCCCAATTATTACCTACTTACTAAGTCCCATGATCCTCTAAGTATACCCCGAGCCCCAAACCCTGAACCCTGAGCCCTTAGACCCAGCACTGTTTGAGTGTTCTCTGATCCGAGGCGGTTGTCCCTGATTAAAACTGTTCACGTTTTGAGAGTTGGGTCCCCGAGAGTGCAATGGCACGAAAGCTGCAGTAGGCTGGACGTAGGTGTATTGAATATTCAAAAGACCGCCCGCTGAGGTCTTACTACTACCGAAGCTCAAAGGACGATGGCAAGAGCAGCGTCCGCGCACGTGGAAGAGACTACCGCCACAACAAGCGCGGAGACAAAGGAGGCCGCAATGGCCGGGATGATGTTGATGATCGCACACGTGCCGGACGTAGAGATCGTGGAGACGACGGTCGCCGAGGTGACGATCGCCGTGGAGGTCGCGATGATGGTCGCCGAGGTGACGACGACCACCGCGGAGGTCGCGATGATGCTCGCCGAGGTGACGACCGCCGTGGAGGTCGCGATGACAGGGGCAACAGCACACGGGACGATGATCGTCGTGGAGGTCGTGATGATGGTCGCCGAGGAGGTGACGACCGCCGCGGAGGTCGCGACGACGGTCGCCGTGGCGATGATAGTGGCAACAGCACGCGGGACGATGATCGACGTGGAGGTCGCGATGATGGTCGCCGAGGTGACGACCGCCGTGGAGGTCGCGATGACAGAGGCAGCAGCACGCGAGACGATGATCGACGTGGGGGTCGTGATGATGGTCGCCGAGGTGATGACCGTCGTGGAGGCGGCCGAGGTGACGACGACCGTCGCGGTGGCCGAGGTGACGATGACCGTCGTGGAGGCAGCCGGGGTGACGATGACCGTCGCGGTGGCCGAGGTGACGACGACCGTCGTGGAGGCAGCCGAGGTGACGACGACCGTCGCGGTGGCCGAGGTGACGATGACCGTCGTGGAGGCAGCCGAGGTGACGACGACCGTCGCGGTGGCAGAGGTGACGACGACCGTCGTGGAGGCAGCCGAGGTGACGACGACCGTCGCGGTGGCCGAGGTGACGATGACCGTCGTGGAGGCAGCCGAGGTGACGACGACCGTCGCGGTGGCCGAGGTGACGACGACCGTCGTGGAGGCAGCCGAGGTGACGACGACCGTCGCGGTGGCCGAGGTGACGACGACCGTCGTGGAGGCGGCCGAGGCGACGACGACCGTCGCGGTGGCCGAGGTGACGACGACCGTCGTGGAGGCGGCCGAGGCGACGACGACCGTCGCGGTGGCCGAGGTGACGACGATCGCCGTGGTGGTCGAGATGACGATGGCAGGTCAGGTCGTGATGACGACCGTGGAAACGGCGGTGGCAACGGTGGAGGAAATGGTGGCGGCGGCAACGGTGGAGGAAATGGTGGCGGCGGCAACGGCGGTGGCAATGGTGGAGGCAACGGAGGTGGCAATGGAGGTCGTGATGATGACAATCAGGCGCCGACTCTTCTTCTTGGCTTGGCTTGTACATGGGTTTTCTTCTTATATGGCTGTACTTTAGAGGGGTACTGGTTGGACATCGGACGCTCAACGTGTAATATTCCTTAGGGCTCCTTGCTATGATCATACTGCGGTTCGCCTACGATATACACCAAGATTCGGATCCCACCATCGGGGTGCCTATGGTAGTGCGTGTAGCATTTGCCATGTTGGAGCCCCGGTCAGTGTTTCCTCTTGACCTTCAACGAACCGACATAGGCTCTCTAACCGTATTGCAATAGTTCAGGACACATAATCGTATAAAGGGCCCTTAATGGTAGGTTTCGGGGCAGGCTACATTGCGAACTTAAGGAACCAGAGGACTAACTTTGGTACGTCCTCCGACCCCTATAACTACACACATGCCCTGAGGATTCCAGCAGCCTCGCACACATAGGCAGAGTTGTTATCTGTTTTCAGTGTTTTGCACTGTCTGTGAGTTTTTTTTTCTTTTTTGCGAGGTGCAAACAAGAGAAACATGGAAGCTGCTGTTAGCACGCCCAGCTTGCAGTTTGGCAGTTGAACTTCGGGTTCAGCGCCCAGGTTCTGGTTTCATTTCATGTCTCCAGTTAACGGATCATGGCTTTTGGGTCAGTTCTTGGTGCTGTGTACTCACAGCCACAACAACTTCCAACTGCCCATGAAGCAGCCGCTTTCCCACTGCACAACGGTTTGAAGGACTGACTAAACCATAAACTCTGAAACGCAAGCCTCAGCCATCGATTCCGTCGTGACAGGCGCAGCCAGGTGACTGGGACTGGGAGTACGTGCCTATTTGAGGCACGCGCTCAGGACCTTGTCTGGTTTACTTAGGGGCCAAAAAAGCACATAAGCATAAGCATTTTATGGGGATATCCCTACCTTATTGGGCTTCAGTATAAGGGGATTTATATGGGATATCCCTATCCTAATTTTTGCTTGTGTGCTTTTTTGGGGCCCCATCTACTTGAAGGTAACCCCAGGTCCGAATCCTAAATGAACCTCAATCCCAAAGCCTAGCTCACGCGTAGCTGTTTATCTGTGCGGCTCATTGAAGTGGATGGCTTCCGTGGCAGGCGTGCTTTTGCCGAGGTGGGGCTGTGAAGCAGCGATGCACCAAGCAAAGTAGGCCACTTGGCATAAGGACTTCTCGGAAGGGAAATGTCCCCCGAGAAGGACACAAATTGATTTTCAGAGCACAAGTGAGCTCGACCTGTCTGTTATTGGTGGCAGTGGAAGCTCCGCTTAAACAAGGTCGCGCGGTCTCGAAATTGGCCCCGTTTACCCGAAAGGCTCAGCCTCAAAGGCCCCATGACAAGCCCAGAGACTCCAATACCCCTTAATTAGGGAATATTCCTTAAATCATATTAAGGATCCTACTATAATTTAAGGTATATTCCTTAAATCATATTAAGGATCCTACTATTATTTAAGATATTCCTTAATTAAGGGATATGGGAGTCTCTGGGAAGCCGCTTTGGTTGAAATGGCAGGTGCCAGGGTGAAGGCTTCGGATTCAATTTGCAAAGTCATTGCACCCCTGTCCCTGAACCCCAGACGCAAAACTCTAAGCCTTGAACCCCTAAACCCTGAACCCTACTTGAAGGCTCATGGGACTTAGTAAGTAAGGTTGTAAGTAGGTGATAATTAGGATAACACACTTAGGGGACTTATAACCCCCAACTATAACCTACTTACTAAGTCCCATGATCCTCTAAGTACTACACCGCCCGCAAACCTAAACGCGAAGCTCGACACCTGCGTGACCAACACAAGCATAAACCTTATACCCAAATTCTTAGGGGTACTTAGAAATAGTTTTTAGTTTTTGGTTATTATAATCCCTAAGAAACAGCTAAAATTATAATTTTTGCTAGGGTTCTAAGTTCAGTATAGAATTGCTGAGGGCATAATTAGATGATCCTAAACCCTAAACCTAACGTACCAACCCACATGCAAAGCCCATAGCCCTATGGAGAGTCGATTGTTAAGCTTCATATCGAGACCGCCGCCGAATTTTAAAAAGGCACTGCATTGCAGACGCTAGCCAGATGAGCTCCTCCTCGTGGTGCCAGACGTGAATAGGACCCTAAAAGGGGCTTGCAGCAACAGCAAATTGCAACAGCTTAAAATAAATGCCGAACCGGAATCACGTGATATTACGGAGGATGAGGGCAAAAAAAGATGGCCAGAGAGTGTTCGCAAGCGTTTGGCTTAATTACCGAGGAGGCTTGCTGACTATTGCGCAAAGGATTGCACGATAAAACAAGAGCCAGTCCCTGGGTCCTTGAGCTCAGTGACTAGCGTCGTGAATTGCGGGTGTAGGCCTTTAGTGCGGAGGGTTTATGTAGGGTTTACGATTTGGGGTTAAGGGTTTGGGGGGGTTCTGCTTGGGATGCATCATCGTATTCTGGTCTATCCTCGGCTAAGGTTTCAGGGGCCAGTGGCTGTGCATTTAGAAGTGAGTGCTCTGGAGCTTGGGGCAGGGTTTGAGACGGGGTTTATTTAGGAAGGAACTTAGGATATAGAGCCGTGGTGAATAGCCCCTCTCCCCAAAGCATCTCGGGATCCTAATTCTAAGGTCCTTGAAGAAAGGGATCGATTGTCAGGGGCCTCCGTTACGGAGGGTGCTGATTCTGGAAGTAACCATGGCTGTTCGATGGTGGTAGTGGCCATGACAACAAGAAGAAACTTTTCCAATCTCAATGCTGGGCCTGGATTTAGCGTCTGGGGTTTAGGGTTCATTTGTTTCCGCGGCTTTGCCTCGGCTCATTGGCAGCCTAGTCCACCTCTCCGCAGACGCTGGCTCGGAAGGTCAGTATTTACGAAAGGGGCCTTTTAATCTAACCAGAAGGCATCGCACCAACCGCGATGACTGCCCCATCCCTGCAGCTCGGCCACAACCAAGGTTAGGTTCAGGGAGTTCGTGTGGGTGAGGTTTTCAGGTGCGGCGGACCGAATGCTTTTATCCGATATGTGCACACTCTGGGTTTCAGTGGGGCTGCAATCGGGACAGATTCTCAGCAAGGCGGCACTCCAAGGTCCTAGGCCTGTGGCCCAAAGCTTGTGAACCGTCATGGTAGCGTTGAATGTACTCGTGCCAAACAGCAGACAAGCCAAGCGACCTTTGCTACGCCTCTAAACTCGGCAAAGCCCTGAGCACCTTCAGCCCCTCAACTCCCTAAACCCCTTACCCGAACGCCTTTAGGAAGTTTAGGGTTTAGGAGTTTAGGGTTTAGGGGTTTTGGATTGTTCTACCTATACTTGGAGGATCATGGGACTTAGTAGCTTGGGCTATTTCTACAACTCCCAAAAGCCCACCACGAAAACATTGAAGGCCGGACCCTACCGCAGACCTTGAACTCGCCCCCCTCACAATCCAAGCCGTGAGGCTTGCGCGTCGGGTTTGGAGTTTCGGGCTTCGGCTTTACGGTTTTCAAGAGAACCTCAAAGAATCCTTAGTCTTAAATCCCAAAGTATAGACCCGAAACGGAGTAATCGTATCCCATCTCATAACTGCACCATAATTTGCTCCACCAAAATCCCTTTTTTAGCCACCATCATAATTTATTCAAGCCCTCACATTACCTGGGCTCACCCCTGAACCTAAAAAGCGCGGCAGGCATGGCCTTGCCATGAACCGAATGCGTCCATTCGCTGCAGCCTCAGCTTGGCTAGGCTTGTCTTTTGCTTCCTTCCTCCCAGGTTCAGGGTTTAGGGTTGAAGGGTTTAGGGTTTAATCTAAGGGCTCGCTTGAGGGGTTAGTTTAGGGGCTTGGGGGTTTAGGGTTTGAGGCCCTCTTTGTCAGCTTCCGATGAGGTCACACTGTGCTCGCTGCTGCTCTGTGGCCTTCTTCCTCCGGTCCCGGTCTTGGCATCGTGTTTTTGGGATTTGGGGGTTAAGGTTTAGGGGTTTAGGGTTTTAGGGTCCAGGGTTTAGGGTTTAGGGTTTTTGGGGTTTGGGGTTTAATAGGTTGTGGTATTTAGGACTTGGGGTTTAGATTCGGGTTCAGAGAATGGGATGTAGGACCAACACAGGATGTCGTGGGCGCTGAAACAGAATCCAGCTGGCTATGTTGACTGCTAAAACATGGGAGAGTCAGTCTTAACAGCCACAAGAATACTAATGATCAAAAAAATGGCAACACTAGCAATACAAGGATAGCTATACAAAGACTAATAGTGATGAGAAGGCTCCTTCTATGATGTCCAGGAGCTTTTCGCCAAACTGCACAGCACACTTATGCTCGCTCGGTTGTGCGCTGCAGGGGTCTGCTTCAGAATCTGTGGCTGACCCGTTCCTGAACCTAAACCCCAAGCCCAGAACCCTAAACCCTAAGCCCACAACCCTAAACCCTGAACCCAACACTCTAAACCCCAAACCCAAAAAGAACCTGAACCCAAAACCCAAACCCTAAACGCTGAATCTTCCATCAGCCGCATGCTAGGTAGTATTAGTGAGACCCCGATGGCTCTCTCAAAAAGGGACTTATTGAGAGGGTCTATATCCCCAAGGGTCCGCCTAATCCCCCTATTCCGAACTCCTGCCGAAGACCCTCATATCAGACCAATGGATGCTCAGAGGACCTGGGAAGTAAGTTTTGCTTAAATCAAGCGTGCCATATTCGTGGGTTCAGGGTTTGGATTTGGGTTTAGGGTTGAGGGTTTGGGGTTTAGGGTTTGGGGTCTAGGGTTTGGGGTTGAGGGTTTAGGCTTCAAGAAGAGTTGAGGAACCCCGACCGAATAGTAGGATCCTTGCACAAAGACCCCTAAATGGGAACCCTCCCATGTCTAAGAAGCTCCTCGAGTGCAGCTTTCTATACAAACGGGCTCGGTAAGATGCTGAAGACAAACCTGCACCCTAAAGAACCTGCCTTTTGAGGGTTACCTATTTTGTATTATGACTTCCTTATATAAGTCCTCAAAGAGGTAGGCTATTAGGGGTTAGGAGGCAGAAACAGGAAGAGCTTTTCAACGCCACGTCTTCATGGATCGGGTGCTTGGAGGCCCAGGGGACTTAGTAAGTAGGTTATGAATAGGGTTACAAGTACCTTAAATGGAGTTACCCCAATTATAACCCTACTTAGAACCTACTTACTAAGTCCTGGGCCTTTAAGTGGACCGGCTTGCAGTTTCGGCTTGAAGCTGACGGTTCCAGGGCTTGGGGCTTGTGGTTTTAGGCTTTAGGGTTTAGGTTTTAGGGGTTTAGGGGTTTAGGGGTTTTAGGGTTCAGGTTTTAGGGGGTTTGGGGTTCAGGTTTGAGGGGTTTAGGGGTTTAGGGGTTAAGGTACGTAGCCTTGAAGCCGGACAAACCCCAAACCCTAAGCCCTAAACCCTAAACGCCTAAACTCTGTATCATAGGCCCTCCCCGGCGCTGACCGCCCAAAGCCGAAACTTACCTTTCGTTAGTAGGGAATGGAAGAATGGTAGTAGTAGTAGTAGTAGTAGTAGTAGTAGTAGTAGTAGTAGTAGTAGTAGTAGTAGTAGTAGTAGTAGTAGTAGTAGTAGTAGTAGTAGTAGTAGTAGTTATACTTGTACCCCATTCCTCCATTCCCTACTAACCAAAAAGGTAAGGACATGCACGTCTGCTTGCCAAGGTCTTTGCGCAGGCCCCGGAAGGCTCGCTGCTGGAGCATCGTGAAGAAGGTGGGGGTGTCTAATATAGGGGCCTCGATATTCAGAATAGGGCTTCATATTATACTGACATTCAGGAGTCCCGAACTAGCATAGGCCTCTAAATCGTGGGTTTCAGGGCTCTTCTAGGGCTTGATAGATGCCTTGTGAGGGGGACCTTGAACACTAGAAAGTCTCAAGCCTCAAGGCCCCAGAGCCTAATGGGTCCACTGTAAAGGTTTCTCCGGGATTTATTATATGAGAGACTTAGTTGTCAGGGTTCTTTTAGGTTGTATTCAGGGATCAGAAAATCGACTGCGTACGGTCATAAGTGAGGCAGCTATGCTGGCAACTGCTTGAAAGCCCAATTGACAGCTGTGGTACCTAGTGACTGCGAATGAACCGAAGTCCATATAAAAGTTCTAGATGCTCTTGAGCCATGTTAACGCCCATGTAGAAGCCCTTCAAAGCCCATACAAAGATTAGAATATCATAGCCATAAAATTAATCAACCAAATCTATCGATGCATGTTCTTTCCCTGTAACGCACTTGTTGGTAGTTCTCTAATTTTTTGGCCCCGAGCATTCGGCCTTATTTCCGGTTTTGGACCAGGATGCCTTCGAAAAGTCCTTATAACGAGAGCAACGCCTCTTTTTTTTTTAGGATCCTTGAGAACACCCAACTGGCTTGAAAGGAGGCTGGGATTTCATTGGGTTGGCGTCGGTTTAGGGTATACGGGTTAAGGGTTGAAGGGTTGAGGGTTGAGGAGTTGAGGCTTTTAGGGATATCTGGTACTATAGAACTTACTATAACGCACACGCAAACCCTATTCTAGTTATGGCGGCCCTCGTAGAAAACCGAACACCCGACAAGGTGAGGTCCGCCTCGCGGAAGTCCGCCGCTATGTCCTGCGCGCCAGGTGGGCTCACTGGCGGGATGTTGCTTACAGTTTGCTTCGGCTGTAGCGGCATGGGCTGTGTTTTAAGATGCTCTGGTGATGGAGAAAAAACCTCACCGGTGACCTGCACTCTCACGTAGTCATTGTTCAACATTCACAGCAGTCCTTATCGCAATTATGCAGGCCCCGAGCATGTTGATCCCAGAGACTCCAACATCCCTGAATTACGGAACTGACTTTAAATCATATTAGGCATCCTTTTAAGGTATATTCCTTAATTCAGGGATATTGGAGTCTCTGGGATTGAGCCAGCAAGCATGCACATCGTGGCAAACCCACAGAAGCTCGTGGGCACTGTTGCCTTCCCACGATTTGTTAAACCCTAAACCCTAAACCCTAAAACCTGAACCCGCAGGAATGCCCGGCTTGGCCTCTTTGTTCAGTGGCTCGGCGTCCGAATGTACGCATGTGGCGGCTGTTGCAATTTACGGTGCTCTGTTGGCTTTAAGTTCTGCCGAAAAAGGCAGCTGAAATGGATCCCTGATTTCCGTCGCACGGGGGCCTTGTGGGAGTTCACTTTGCAGGCTTTTCCTGTTCCAGGCGTGCATTTCGGCCCAAATACTAAAGTTACTAAAGCTTAAACCCCAGACCCTTGAACCTCAGAAATTTCCTAATTCCGAGTGCGGCCGGCAAGCAAGGAGTCAAAAGCACTTTCAAGGCCTTCAGCCTCAGGATCACAGCAGCCGTCATCCTTTGAAGCCCCACTTCCCACGAAGCCCTAAACCTCAAACCCTAAACCCCTAAACCCTAAACGCCTATATAAACCCTAAACCCTAAACCATAGACCCCAAACCCTAAACCCCAAACCCTAAACCCCTAAATCCCAAACCCTAAACCCCAAGCCCTAAACCCTACACCCTAAACCCTATATATAAAGCCCTAAACCCTACACCCTAAACCGTAAAGCCTTAAACCCCAAACCCTAAACCCCTAAACCCCAAACCCTACACCCTAAGCCCTAAGCCCGAAACCCTGAAGCCCCGACTCCGAAAGCTCAAGGATCGGTCATCACGACTGGGCATCCCAGATCTCCCACTGCCTAGAGGAGGCCGCGCTTACGACGAGCACTTGAGGTTGTGGGTTTAGGCTTTGCTGAGGATTGCTGAGGATTGTTTGGGGGGTTCAGGGTTTAGGGTTTGTTTTTGTGGTTTAGGTTTAGGTTCAGGGTTTCAGGTTTAGTAGGGCTGGGTAAGCCAGGATTCGGGAGTGGTGTGGGGTTTTAGGTTATGAGGCTGATCGTGCAGCGCGGCCGTACCGTCATGAGGCTGTGAGCTTTCGCTGGTTGCCGGTGACATGCTGCTGCTTTGGAGCTGTTGAGATTTCGTTGCCTTGTGCCTGGCCGCATGGATTCTCGCAGGGGGTTTCTGCAGGCAGCGAAGTGAAATGCAAGCTGTGGCCACCCATGGCCCATTGTTGGCATGTGCTTGCCTGTTCAGTCCTATGACAAACATGCAGCCATAGGGCTCTCTTGACATAAGCTACAGAGAGGGCATGTCGCAGCAGTTGGCTTCAGTCTTCCCCCTGGAGCTCGTGCTGTGGATTGCCACACTTGCCTGCGGGCTGTTTGGTGCCATTGTTGCGCTGTCTTACTTGACCCAGAGCTTGCTTGCCTACTCAGTCCAGTGGCCAACTTGGTTGTCACTGGACTTTCTCGGTGAGCCAGAACGTTGCAGGGCCGTACCGCTTGGGCATGGGACTCTGAACTCATGCTCACCGAGCGCCTGTGTTGCAGACCTTATGTTCCACTCAGGAAGTCGTTTCGTATGACTTTTTCGGCGAGCCCGAAAGCAGCGCGGCCGTACCGTCATGAGGCTGTGAACTATCGCTTGGGCTAGCTGCGGCTTTTGACCTTTGGGAGTGTGCCTCAATACGCACGAGTCCCGGTCCATCCCAAGCCATATTGCCCCAAAGCCCTACAGCCAAAAGCTATAATGCCTCCTAGCTTACAACCCGAAATGCCGAAACTGGCAAGCCGGAAGTCTTCAGCCACGCACCTGCGATCCCAAAAGCGCTCCGAATTGCATAAGCCCAAACCTGTACCTCTAAAGCCGCAGACGTTAAAACCCCGAAACCTTCCAACCCGAAACCGTACCGCCCTCAACCCTAAACCCCAAACACCTGTCGAAGGTGCTGTCGGCAACCGACGAGCCAACTGGCGTCCGGCGGCCGCGCTTTTATTGTTTTAGGGTTTGTGGTTTAGGGTCTGGTGTTTAGGGTTTAGGATTTGGGTTTTCGGGTGTTGGTATAAAGTTGAAGGGTTGCCATAACTGTGACATCAAGGTAGCGCGAGGGTTTCAACAATTAAAGGTTCTGGAAACGGCAGTGTAACGCTCACTGCAAAAGGCTCCGGGTTTTCAGGGTTTCGGGCCCTAAACCCTAAACCCTAAACCCTAAACTCTAAACCCTAAATGCTAAACCCAAAACCCTAAATCCTAAACCCTCAACCCTAAACCCTAAACCCTAAGCCGTGCGTCCGGCTCTAGGGGTTCACGGGTCTTAGAGTTTAGTGCCTGGTTTTTGGGGGGTTTATCGTTTTAGATGTGGCTCGTAGATTGTAGGGGTTTAGTGATTTCGTGTTCAGGGTTTAGGAGAGGATAGCGGAGGGAATGTACTCGGAGTGCATTCCTTCTCTTACTGCTCTCTTCGTTGTTGCTAATTAGTGGTGTTGAGTAATTATCGTACTCGCATGGGTGGTTGTCAAAATTATGGTCCCTTTTTGGGTCCTTAATATTATACGGCACCTCATATTTAAGGTACCCAAAAGGGACCCTAATTTTGACAACCACCCACATGGATTCAAAGCGTACTCTGAACCCCAAGAAAAGCTCGCCTGGAATAGCCAGGTCCATCTCAACTTCGTCAACGGCACGGCCCCTTCCGATGTGCCCTGTCAAGGGGTGGTTCGCGGGGTTCAGGGAATAGGGCTTCGAGTGTAGGGCTAGGTTTTAGGGTTTTGGGATCAGTGCAAAGGGTGATTTCAGTACGGATTCAGTTTGTTGGATTTTGGTTGGGTGCTACTACTACTACTACTACCACTACTACTACTACCACTACTACTACTACTACTACTACTGCTGCTGCTGCTACTACTACTACTACTACTACTACTACTACTCCTGCAGGAGTTTCATCAAGGATCTAGGCTTCAACCCCTGCGCCCCACCCATGCAGGAATTCTGCTAGGGTTGAGTTTTGGCAGAGCCCAGGGTGGTAAGATCGGTTTAGGGTTTAAGGTTTAGGGTGTAGGGGCCATAAAGGTGCTCCAGATCCACGACTCCTGAAGCTTCCTTCAGATCCTCTGAATGCTAAAATCCCAACCCAAAGCCCGACGCCGGATCTCCAAGCTCCTAGGCCCGAGTCAGGAAGATACGGGATGAGTCGTTCTACTAAACCCGAAGCCCTAAGTTACCTGGTTCGCGGAGAGAAACGGTGCTCACACAAATCCTGGTTAAACAAAACCTTGTGAAACTTGGTCCAACCAAACCCCCCCAACGCCACAGCTACCGAGGACGAGGTGGAAGAGTTGTGGCGGCCCCAGTGCTGCTCTAGGGCTTGCGAGACGGGTCTTTATAAAGCTTAAGGGTAAGGGGTGCTTACCAGGTCTTGTAGGGGGTTTCTGGGAAGGGTCTTGTTGGAGCTTTTGGACTGAAAACCGAAGGGGTTTCTCGGGGTTTGGGGATTGTCTCGTCCCCAGCTGCAGACAGTAGATAGTGTGAGTAACTATCCGAGACCTAATTATTCCAGGGTTTAGTGTTCAGGGTTTTAAGTCGTTTTAGGGTTCAGAGTTTAAGGTCCAGCCTTCCCAGCCCTGCGAAGCTTTATGGCATCCTACTTGGAGGATCATGGGACTTCGTAAGTACGGTGATAAGTAACTTAATTGGGGTCATAAGTATAGTTACCGTAATAATACCTGTAATTACGAAGTCCCATGACCCTTTAAGTAGCAGCTAGCAGATCTAGGGTCAGGGGGATTAGGTTAGGAGGAGGACTCGGGGTTTAGGGACCAGGCGATACGCAGAGGGTTAAACATGGTCTAACGGGTTTTCGGGGGTGAAAGGCTTGGGATTATTCTGGGTCTTGTTTTACGCACTACAAAACGCTATTATGGTAACTTCACAACTTAAACTAAATCCCTTAACCCCAGTATTGGTTCGATGCGATTGCCTGCTGCCTTGGCGCGGAGCCATCTGAATCTAAGTCAACTGTGGCCAGTTGAAATGACAGGAACCACCAGGCACATTTCAGCTCTTCATGAGCCCGTCCTAAACCCAAAACCCTACAAACTGAGAAGTGTATCAAGAACAAGCTCCTAAATCCTAAACTCCCCCTTCCCGGGGGCTGTTGCGACAGCACCGATCCGATGCTGCCAGGCTCGGCTACGTCCAGGGCAAGCACAGCAAGGCGGGGCTGCCCTGGTGCAGTGCCGTACGTCATTCTCAACCCTGCGCCCTGGAGCTCTCTTCAGGGTAGAAGAACCAATGCAAGTACTTGTTAGGTATTGCTGGCTGCAGCATTTTCCGAAATGGCTGCTATACCTGGCGGGGTTCCAGCCGTTGCAGCCGTTGCTAGTTAATGAGTAGACTGAGTAGACACTCCGTAGCGTAGAACTCAAAATCCTGAACTGTACCGGCAAGCCGGCACGGAGAGCTCAACCTGCCTGCAAGGGAGTAGCGACTAAGGCGAGTTCGCATCGTGATTTCACTTTAGTGGCTGATTCGAACAGCGATCTAAATCTTAAACATCTCTAATCCCGAAGCCCGAATGTCTCACCCCCCGTTGCGTACCAATCGCATCGCTGCCGCCAGAGCCAAAGTGAGAGGCCAACATCTTCGTCACCAACTCCGCGGGGGCCGCGGCCGACATGCCTCAGCGCCTTGGCTTCGAAGGACTAAACACTGAGCACTTCGGGCCCGCACGAGGCCCGAAACTCTAGGCCTCCACCCAAACCCCTAAACCCCTAAACCCCCAAACCCCTAAACCCCTAAACTCCTAAACCCCTAGACCTTAAGCCCTTAACCCCTAAACCCCTAGACTCGCTAGACCTTCAGCCCAAACCCCTAAACCCCTAAACCTCTAGACCTTAAGCCCTAAACCCCCAAGGCCCCAAAACCCCCAGCCTCGAAGGTTCTTGATGCAGCTGGACTCCGCCACTCGCGGGGGTGTGGATTACGATATCCTCCTGCGCCTTTTTTGCAGTCTGATCGGGGGCCCTGAACCTCAAATAAACTCTAATTTTTGAGCCCTACATCCTCCTGAGCCTTTCCTGCCGCCTGATGGGGGCTTTTGGCTTAGGGTCTAGGGCTTAGGGCGTGGGTTGTTTGAAGGGTGTCTTTGGGTTTGGGCTGCTTTGGTGAATGAGCCTGTTTATGGACAGTTGAGGGGGCTTAGCGTTTAGGCTTTCGCGTGCTAGAGCAGCTTTTTGCAGCTGAAGTTCATTGCTGATGCGTGTGAAGTGCACTTAGCCCTAAACCCTAAACCCTAAACCCAAAACCCTAAACCCCTAACCCTGACACCCCGAGTCAGCCTCAGGCCGCGAGCTTTCTAAGCCATCGACCCCCTCAAGCCCAAGTATCATGATAACCCAAGACATCTTGGAGGTTCATGGGTAGTGATAACTGGCATTAACAGGAGGGTAAATATCCTTGCAAGCCATATTCGTGGACTTAAAACCCCACTTATACGGTCGATGATATAAATCCTGCATTACCTTAAGGACCCTAAACACTGGGGACTATGGTATCTTCCTTATTATGGGTCATGCAGGATTTATATCCCTAAACCCTAAACCCTAAAACCCCTATAGATCCCTTAAAGGTACCTAAAGGAACACATCAACCGTATTTCCGGAAAACTCCATGGTATCCTCGAGGACCGTATCTACCCATGAGCCTCCAAGCTCCGAGCCTCGCACCCGCATCTGAGGAAGCTCCGTGTGTCTCCGCGAGACGACATCCAACAACTTGCGTCCCAGGCCAAAGCGGGTAGCAACTTTGAAACTGCTGTGGTTTAGGGGTTTAGGGTTGAGGGATTTGGCGTTGAGGTTTTCGGGGTTGGGGTTTTGAGATTGGGGCGCATCGAAAAATGATGATCGTGCTGCTAAAACCAATTGTATGCAGCAAACTATTGAGAACTGTGAGTAGAAATTACAGTGTAGGAACAATTAACTAGCAATATTCACTGTTACGAAACATAACTGCTATTGTTGTTGTTGGTACGAACCTCATTATTGTTGATTCCGTGATTCTGCTTCCGCATCAAGCTTGAGTGCAGCCAGGCCCTTTGTGGAACGCGCTTCCACGTGCGCTCGGTGCTGAACGCTTTCGCTAGCAGGCTTGTCTTGGTTGAGGTCTTTGGCTGTGGCGCTTAGTCTAAGAGTCTTACTAAATAGTTATAGCATGACCCTACAGTCCCTGTATCGTCATAATACGGTCCCTCCAAACCCTTCTTTCACTGCACTTCCGAGAAGAGGGTTTAGGGTTTAGGGTTTAGGGTTTCTGTTGAGCTCTAGGCATTTGAGCTGGTGTTTGAGCTTAGCAGACGGGACCTTACGGTATGGGGTTTTAATGGCAGTAGGGGGTCGGGTGGGGCCTGTTGGCCCGGAAGGTTGTAACATAGAAGCCTGAACGATGACCAATAGTGTTCCTTAGGGCTCTGTCTTCTTGTTATACTACATCATAGTTTTTTCTAGTCACTCTACTTTTCTCTGCTGCACTCTACTATACTCTACTCCACTCTACTATACGCCCCAAGCCGTATTCTAATTATTCAGGCCCCTCCATTATGGCAGATGTCGGATGTGCAAGGAGCGCCTGGCTGGCAGGTAGGATCCCACAGAGGCCTACTTGGAGGCTCATGGGACTCAGTAAGTAAGGTTATAAGTACCTTTATTGGGGTTACAAGTATAGTTGTCTCAATAATAACCGTAATTGCTAAGTCCCATGATCCTTTAAGTAAGCTGTGGGAGCATGCAGGAAGCTGGCATCTAAGGTAGACTCCGAATGATTCCAAATACTATCCCTACGTTTCCTATTATCCTTAGGTTTCCGATGGTGACTATAGTATAGTGTATCCCAAAACCCATTAAGGTCCTCTACTGGCCGCCTGTGTCCGAAGCTTCCAAAGCCCTGCTACCGCCAAGGCTCAAGGTTTCGTGACCATCAGACCCCCATGTGTCGAACTACGCTTGTCACGATGACCCTGAACATGGCCCAGCAACATGCCAGTGCTGCTGTTCTCCTAAACTCTATCTACACCCCAATCCCTGAAACCCCCGCTGTGCATCCATCTGGTCCGTGCAAGTTTCTGAGAGCGGCCGCACGGCCGTGTGCTGGTTCTTGTGCGCCGCCGTCTTCTCTTTACTACTACTACTACTACTACTACTACTACTAATAATAATAATAATAATAGTAGTAATTTTGCTTCCTGTCAGCTGAATGCGTAGCCGACCGACTGTTGGACGAAGCCGACAGCTTCCTGACTCGACGTGCAGATCAACAGGAGCTGGACGAGAACGCCCCCGTGAGAACGCCTCTGTGATCACACGATGCCTCCGTCAAGGGGTCAGGGAGTCTGAGCAGCAGGAGAAGAGAGGAAGCAAAGCACCGCTTGCTGCTCATGGAGTGCCAACTGGGAGTCGAACGGATGTCAATGCTGGCCTTCCAACATGTTCGGACGGTATCCTCAAGCTCAATGGATTGTGCGAGGTGAGGGACCAGGAGGTGTTCCTCGTGGAGCTTCTTTTTCGGAGGCACGCTGCAAAAGTCGGAATGCGAGTATCGATGCAGAAGGAAGCTATGTAGACGATGGAGGCGCAGGCGCCATCTATGCATGGAGCGACATGACGCCTCCGGTGGCAAATTGACTGCGACCATCAAGGACTGTAGCTTGTGAGAATGGAGGTGCCATTGATTCACACAGCCACATGATCGTCTCCGGTGGCGTCGCCACCGGAGACGATCATGTCCATGAGTGCATAGATGGCACCTCCATTCCCAAGGCACGCTGCAAAAGTCGGAATGCGAGTATCGATGCAGAAAGAAGCTATGCAGACGATGGAGGCGCAGGCGCCATCTATGCATGGAGCGACATGAACGCCTCCGGTGGCAATGTGACTGCGACCATCAAGGACTGTAGCGCTTGTGAGAATGGAGGTGCCGTTGATTCACACAGCCACATGATCGTCTCCGGTGGCGTCGCCACCGGAGACGTTCATGTCCATGAGTGCATGGATGGCACCTCCATTCTCACTTTTGGGCGTAGACTCTTCGATGGTGTATGGGAGTGGAGGCTGCATCTACACTGACGGCGCTTTCGAACAGCCCAACAGCGCCGTGGGCCTTCAGTGGCTGACTCGAGTGGCAACATCATGATTTCCTGAAGTTTATCGCCCGTCACGAAACGCTCGAAGAATGCCTTTGTCTTAGCTGCCCACGTAACCCAAGTCGACCAAGGCGGTAAACTGCCTCTCGCACGCCTTGGTCGAGAAGGTGTCTTCGAATTCTTGCTTCCTGGCCCTCCACCACTTTTGCACGGCGAGCTCAGACCTTGTGATACTTTTGGGCCGTGTGTCACTTGATAGTTCGCGCTGTATTTGGACTTCCTTCCACCGCGGCCGCAGATGAGTTCTCATGTTCCGCTGCGGATCGCAGCAGTGCTAGGTGCCATCGCGGGCATGCGGGGAGGAGAAACGGCTGATGCGCAGGGCGTATAAGGTGCTCTTTTCGCTGATCGCCATGGCCTATGCGGAGCCTCGCGGCCTTTGTCGCCGAGAAGGGAGGCCGCGGCTGAGTCTCGCGCAGATGACACAAGAACTTAAGCACTCGATGATAACGAAAAACTCTTCGAGTTACCATGTATTGCCGAAGAGACCGGATTGAGCACTCTGGAGTGAGCACATTAAGCAACCACCTGACCAACGGGACTTTCGTAGGCTTCAGTGGCCTAGGGCAGCAGAAAGACGGTGCTGAAAAACTCGAACCCGAACCATCCCTCAGCGAACCCCAAGACTTACCTTTGGTGAGTAGGGAATGGAAGAATGGTTCCTTAAAGGGATCTATAGGGCTCCTTAAAGGGATCTATAGGGGTTCCTTATAATGGGATCTATAGGGGTAGTCTTACCTTTGGTTAGTAGGGAATGGAAGAATGGTAGTATATCGTAGTTATAATTGTACCCCATTCCTCCGTTCCTTACTAACCACAGGTAAGTTATGGGGATTATGAAGGCCCCTATTATGGTACCCCTATACCCTTATAGTAACCCTTATAGACCCCTTCCATTCCTTACTAACCAAAGGTAAGAAGACCCAACATTCGGTCAGGCCTTCGCTGGACCTCATTGCCCCTGCAGGCCCGAACAGGGGGTCCAGGATGGCTTGAAGTAGGGGGTTATATTCGAGCGTAACAGGGTTTTGTAGGTTTTTTTGTCTGGATGTGCTGTCTCTATTTGGTTTGGATGTTACCACTCTTGGCCTGGCGGATTTCGGGAAGGTGGGCTTTGGGTTCCAGGGGTTTGTAAATTCATTCGTGAGTGGTTTTAGGCGTTGTTTTTTTTGTTCTTTTGTTCGTTTGAGGGAGAGAGTTTCTGTGGCACATCCCGCCAGCTTCTGGCCGGCGTACTGTCGATGGGCAAAACCCGGTACTGTACCAAAATGGTACATGTATGCAAGAACTCCTTTACTAGGACCTAGAGTAGGCCCTTATTCCCTTGTTTAGGGTTCAGGATTCCTTATAAGCCCCTTTAAACCAAAAAGGGCACCCTTGTTATTCCTAGGATACTCCTGGGTCTAGTATAGTTTCAGGTGTTGAAGCCCCCCACCACAAAACGATGAACCCTGAGGCAGCCCTATGACAAAGTCATAAAACCCAAAAGGACGAACCTTCATAACAATTTTATATCTTAGTAGCTGAGTGGTTACACTACACTTTTGGGGATGATATATGTAATATATCAGTCTGAAACTGAAAGTGTACACTTGTTGGGGCTTATGAACCCCGCAACTAAGATATAAGGCGAACCCTATACAGCCCTACGAAAGTCGGTAAAACCCTTGCGCAACCTGATGCACAATCTTATGGAACCCTATTCAACCCCACAACCAGATGAACGACCCTTGCACGGCACCATACAAAATCAGCAGAGACCACCATCCCACCCTATCCTGTATTATACACCATCTTAGACCCTAAGCCGCAAACCCTATCCCCACTTTCTTTGCGAGGGACCATCGAAGACCCCACGCCCTAAAGCCTACAATCCCTAAACCTTAAACCCCTCAACCCTAAATCCTATGACACCCTCAACCCTCAACCCCTCAGCCCTAAATCCTGTAACACCCTCAACCCTAAACCCCTCAGCCCCAAATCCTATGACACCCTCAACCCTAAACCCTAAATCTTAAACCCCAAGCCAGGCACCATCATAGACCGCAAGACCAGCTCCAAGCATTTGGCGCCTTCCGTCTTTAACAAGGTCCTCGGTACGGCCCCCAGCGCGTTTCGGGAGTTGAGGGAGGGTTTCGTTTAAAGGAACCCTCAGAGGATCCCTTAAGGGATCCTTTGAGGGTTCCTTTAAAGGACCCTTCAGGGATCCCTTAAGGGTTCCTTTAATGGATCCTTTTAAAGGAGCCGGTAAAGGATACAACAAAGGAAGTTTTGGAGAACCCCCAAGGGAGCCCAAATGGGTTGCTATTCGGGTTCAGGGTTTAGGGCGGTTTGGGGAGTTGAGGAGGGTTTCCTTTCAGGGTTGCTTCCTTCTTCAGGCCAGGATGCCCATTCGTGAGCCGATTCGTGAAGTTAGGGTTGTGCAGAAGCGTAGGTCTTCTGACAAGAAGGGCTGGATGGGTTTCGACGAAAAATTGTTGTGTAAAGGCCTGAGCAGCAGGAGACTTTTGGTGTTTCCCCGTAACCATGGGATCTTCAAGTTGATGGACTTGCAAGCGCGCCGATGGAGAAAGGAATCCGAACCACGTAACATACAGGCTTGACGAGGTCTAGGAAGCTTTTCGGCTTGAGGATGCTGCCAGCCAGAGCAGTAACGGGATGTTTGTCTATTTGGCAAGGCGAAATCGGGCTTACTGCGTTGCTGCAGTAGCAATGCTGGGGGAAAAGCATCACAGCTACCACGACCACGACCACCACCGCTACAACAACAACTAGTACTGCTGCTACTAGTACCGCCCTCACTACGAGTACGCGTAGACTACAACGACTACTAGTACGATAATACGGCCACGCCGACTATTTCGACCTCTACGACGTTTACGACTGCTGCGACTACTGCGATTACTACGATTACTTCGGTTGCTTTGACGAAACGACTTACTAGGACCATAGCACTACGACTAGTACGACTCTATCCCTACCACAGCAATGCCATCGCACCACCGCCACCTTCACAGCTGCCAACACCAACACCCCAATGATCCGTAAGTCTGACACTCGTTCTAATGGATGGGCCTCAGGCAACCGAAGCTGGGCAGGCTTCAGCGAGGGCAGCGCGAAAGGCCTGCAACAGTTCTGCCTTGGGGTTTAAGAGGAGGAGAAGCGGTTCGCGGAGGGGACAGAGGGAGCCTCTGACCGCTCCGGTCGAGGTTAAGCGAATTACTGGGTCAGTTTGGGGATGTTGGGTTCGATTTCGACGAGCATTTGTTTGCTTTCTGCTGTCATGCCTCCGAGGTGTGTTTAGGGTTTTGGGGATTGCATTTTAAGGCCTGTAGTTTCCATCTAGCCTACTAGGAACCTGATCAAGCAACAAAGGGCCAGTGTTTTGTCAAATCGGGTCCCGACACTACAGGATGTTGTTTTATTCCCTTCTAGTCCCATTATTACTTAGTAGCTGAGTGGATACACTTTACACTTTTGGGGATGATATTACCCAGTATAAAACTGAAAGTGTACACTTTTTGGGGCTTATGAATTCAGCAACTAAGATGAGCATACTATACTGTCTCCGAGAACACCGTGTTTCAATCATGAAGGCCCCTCTGTTAGCGGCTGGAGCTCCCGAGCTACCTCTCCCCCTAAACCCCAAAAACCCTAAAACCTTAATACCCTAAACCCTAAACCCTTAAAGCCCTAAAACCCCAAAACCCTAATACCCTAAAAACCTAAACCCTTAAAGCCCTGGAACCCCTAACCCCCAAAACCCAAACCCCGTTATAGAGCCCTTATATTATGGATCCCTTGACAGGAACCCTTATACTAGTAGTACCTTTCAAATTTAAAGGAGCCCGAAACCCTCTGTGTCGGTGATTGAAGGCGTGCGCTCCCTGCTGCTGATGAACACGGGCAACGTGGGCCTCAACGAAGCGGAGGACCTTAGGGGGCAGCTGTTCCGGATGTTTAGGGGCGTTTCGTTTGCTTTGGGGCTTCAGGGGCTTTAGGGTTTAGGACTTCAGGGGTTTAGGGTGTTGGATTTTGAGTTTCGGATTATGGTTTAGGGGTTCAAAGTATATCAGATCCCCTGATCAACACCCGTGCGCAAGGAGCAGCCTCTCTTGCCTTGCAAGTGCCCGGGTGTTCGCACCCATAGGCAGTCGATCAATCCATCAACACCCGTCCCTTCACTGAGGACTTCCACAAGAGAGTTCTCATGCTAAAGCACATCAAAAAGGGGATTATAGATCAGGAGTCTGCAGCGCTGGTCCAAAGTTGCTGCTTTGAAGTCCGCCCAACCTTACGGCATCTTCATCCGAGCCATCACTACCAAGCCATGGCCTAACTTCTGCCTAGGGCCTAGGGAGCATCAGGAAGGGTGTCACGTCGAAGATCTCAAAGAGGCTCCGGAGTACAGCCCTGCAGTCCGTAGCAAGCCGCGCTTCGATACCTCTGCTTTTAGTGACCACGATACTGTTCTTGTCTTTTTTTCGGTTATTGTGAGGCCTGTGGTTCGTAGGCCGTAAGGCCAGACCTCAAGGTCACAGAACCCTAAACAGTAATTAGCCAAAATCGTAAACCCTTCGCTGACCCATATTGTAACTCTTACAGAAACCACCGTAATTTCCGTCATAGAACCGTTAGAAACCTTTCAGTTACTCCCGTTCCCGTCATAGAACCTTTAAAAGGACTTTGCTACTGTAACGGCTAAACCCCTGAACCCCAAACCCTGAACCCCTAACCCCAAGAAACCCCAAACCCCCCAAACCCTAAACCCTAAACCGTTCTTTTTTTTGGCAAAAGGAGCCCACCCCCTCCAAAAAACAAGGAGAAAAAACAACGTACACCGAAGGACCTCGCTACCTACGTGGCCGGCGGGAGCTTCTGGCTGCGGAGACAGGCGGAGCCTCTGAAGACCGCGGTCCGGGTCCAAGGCTTTCTTGGGCGCTTCGGGGCTTCAAAATCGGGATCTATGGTAAATAATACGGCTTCTTTTATGGTACCTTAAATGAAATGGGTCCAAGGCTTGCGCCGAGTTTAGACACTTCGGGGGTTTAAGCTGGGTTCTAAGTGTTGTTTTAAGTTACCATAACAGGGATCTATACTGAAGAACATGGTTTCCTTATTATGGTAACTTAAATTAGATTCCTGAACGAGAACCCACAGTAGACTGTAAGTTTTGGGGGTGTAGGCTTTTTGGGTGTTAGGTTTGGGTTTCGGCTTCTGGGTTTGGGGCATCACAGGTAGCGTGGTACTAGAAAGCAGCTTGGTTTTCAGGCCTCTACATAGGGTGCAGAGGGCATGTCAGTGCAACGAGCAAAAATCAACAAGGAAAGTGAGACGAGAAGAGGAGGAGAACCGCAAGCATTGACAATAGTGCTACAGCAGTAGCAGTACTAGTAGCAGTAGTCGTCGTAGTTGTCGTAGTAGTCGTCGTTGTAGGAGTAGGAGTAGGAGTAGGAGTAGGAGTAGGAGTAGGAGTAGGAGAGGAGTAGGAGTGGAGCAGGAGCAGGAGCCGGCGCAACAGCCGCAGGAGGAGTATGTGTGAGTGGGACTGAGAGAAGGAGCACGAGCAGGAGAGCCAGGCTAGGACCTCGAGCAGGAGCACGACGATCCCCGGGTGCTTACAGCATCATGCGTGGTCCGCATTTTCATATTGTCGTTTCAAGATATCGTGGAAGGATTGGGTTCATCACTACTTCACAAGCTTTCCCAGGTGATGTCAGTACTGAGGGTTCGCATCATCATTTTTGTCCTAGGGTCTACTGGATTATCACAAACTTACTAACGATACAAGCGTCATCCAAGCATCGACAGCCATGGGGTAACCAATCTGATGCGGCTCCGGTGTCTGTATACATACAGTCAACCTGCTCAGGTTGCACAGTGCATGGCTGCTCGTTTGGTGTGCTTGCTTCCACACAGCAGTGCACCGCAACAGTGACTCAGTAGTGTAGTAGTAGTAGCAGTAGTAGTAGCAGTACTAGTAGCAGTAGCAGCAGCAGTAGCAGTAGCAGTGGCAGTAGCAGTAGCAGTAGCAGTAGCAGTAGCAGTAGGAGTAGTAGTAGTAGTAGTAGTAGTAGTAGTAGTAGTAGTAGTAGTAGTAGTAGTAGTAGTAGTAGTAGTAGTAGTAGTAGTAGTAGTAGTGTTTCTAATGGTGCGAAAGTAGCAACAAATCACAAATTGCAATGCCAGGGAGGAGTGTTACTGAGAGTCTCCTTCCGAGTCGCTTCGAGACCCCCAGGTCCTAGACTTAGACCCTAAACCCCTCAACCCTAAACCCTCAAACTCTAAGCCCTAAACCCCTAACCCCTAAGCCCTAAACCCTTTATAGAACCCTTATAGATCCCTTTAAAAGGAACCCAAAATACATGCCCAGGTCTCGGCGATCCCGCGGCTTGCTCCTCTGACCGCCCGGGGGTCGTGTCATTACTTTCTGCCTTTCCTCCTCTTGGGGTTTAGGGTTTAGGGTCTAGGGTTTAGGGGTTTAGGGGTTTAGGGCTCTTCTTCTTGCTGCTGCTGCTGCTGCCAAATTCAGAGCTTTAGACCAGCAGTCAGTTTATCACGAGTGATCGTCGTCGTCCTTCGAGTCGTGGCGGTGGTAGTGGTGATGATAATCGTCGTCGTCGACGTGGGCATCTTCGGTGTTACAGTCTCAGCCGTCGGAGCAGTACGCGTGTCGCTGCTACGCTACTCATGACCACTGTGGGGCGTTGGGAGCAGGGAAGGGCTAAAGGTTGATGGCTCGCAAGGCATGCTCACGCAGCCTTCTTCATAGATGTTCCACGTGGCCTTTCTCCACAACTACGAGTATACTCAGGGTCTGGCTCATCATGCAGGTCGAAAGAGACGTAGATGCGGCTCGTAAGGACAATAAGCAAAGGATAAGGATCCCCAGCATAGGCCTTATCCAGGCAGGGTGGGGTTCGCAGGGTTCGACTGGTTCATGCCTCGATATGTTTGGAGCCCTCGCGCCGCCTTCACCTTTCCCCCAAGCAAAAAGAAGTACTCGTCGAATCCCCCTACTTTTGAGGTTTGAATTATCAGTACTACGGTTTTTCAGGGTTCATGATGATGATGATGATGATTATAGTCTACCTTCGAAGGGAAACTCACGGTAAAATACACTTCCTTCCAAGACAGACTAAAACCTAAAGCCTAAACCCTTAAGGCCCCGCTTAAACCCTAAACCCTTAAGGCCCCCCATAAACCCTAAACCCTTAAGGCCACCCTTAAGGCACCCCTTAAACCCTAAACCCTTAAGGCCCCGCTTAAACCCTAAACCCTCAACCCTTAAGGCCCCCAGACTCAAGCCGCCAGAGAGAGCTCCCCTCCGCAGGATCCAGAAGCGTAACGACGAAGCTCGCAACTTTGGCCTTTGATTCGAAGATGTTACGAAGCCCTAAAGCCCCGGAACCCCTAAAGCCCCGTGTCTTGGACTGAAGAGCCTTGCTTCGAGCTGAAGGTCCGAAATATTTTTGAGCTTCATTCCGGCCCTGACCCTCAGCCCTGAACCCTGAACCCCCGTGAGCCCTGAAGCCTTAAACCCTAAGCTCCAAATCCCACGCCTAGCCCCAAATCCCAACACTGAGGAGCCCGTTTGGCGGAGTTCGTAGCAACATTGAAGTAACCCTAAATCCTGAAAACCCTAGAACCGATCCCAGACGCTCTCGAGACGGCTTTGGAATGCTTCGTGGCCGCGCCCTCAGAAGCGAGGCGTTGGGGATTTTGGGGTCGCGGTTCAGGACGATACAGCGAAAGGACCCTGGCAAGAATCCTGTAGACTATAGACCCAAATCAAGCTTTTTGATGTCACAACAGCAGTTCTGGCGGTGGTGGTGATGGTGGCGGTGGTGGTCGGAGCGGTGATGGTCACGGCTGCGTCGTCGGCGACGGCGGCCGTAGCAGCAGCAGCAGCAGCAGCAGCAGCACCAGAACGATCAGAAACAAAACTTAGCGCCAGAGGCAGCACTGGTCTCGTCAATTTTAGCAGGAGTACCGTGGTGACAGACTGAGACGCCCTTGATGCCCAACGGAGCCCAACGAGGCCCAAAGATCTTCAAACCTCGAAATGCCCCAGTCCCAAACAGCCCGAAACACCCGCAAGTTGAAACCCAACCATACATATATATGCTATCCCCCCCCTCAAGGATCTACCCTTTCGTGTGTTTGAGAGCCGGATGGGAAATAGTTGATATTCTATAACGTATTCCCTTCTCTTTATAAGTCCTTCACTAAATACGCTTCGACTCGATCAAAGATTTCGCAGATCCTAAATTCTGCATTTCCTTCATATACACAGAGTTTTTCCAAGCGACATACATTCGCGTACGGCTTCTTCTCGTGTTGCAAAAGAACGCAAGGTTGCATGCATGTTCTGTGTGTGTATAGGTTTTTGCATGCAGCAGTATGGGCTGTGAAGGTAACACGCAACAGGAGAGCAAAGATATGTCATCCCGTATCACGACAAGTATAGATATGAAAAGAGGACCCTATTTCTACACGTCCCATATATAGGACGCATCGGGATTATAGATAATATCCGCGAACACGAAATCTATCGATATTTCCAGGGTTCAATACCTTGTGTTTCACCTATATAGTGCCCTTTAAATTACATTTAAGAATACTTTGCAAAATTCCACTCACATAACCTTTATATCTTATAGAAATCCACCCGAACATCCTGTCGCATACCGTCTCCAAGACCACCTATATAGGATTCACCCCGCGCGCATTATATTACACATACCCTATAGGACACTATATACAAGACACTATATAGAATATCTTGCAGGATGTCCTTTGGAATACTTTCTCTATGTATCGTAAAGCCTTTCATATGGAATGCACTGATATAGAATACCCTCATGCCTTATTGAATACCCTAGAGCCTCGAGAATACCTTATCATATACTTTCAGTCACAGTCCGTATATCTTTTGAATATCTAGAATACCTTACAAAATACGACATAGAATACCCTACAAAATACCTTATGGAACACATACTACCCTCTATATGTCGTGCGCCTCATGGAAGACCGTCTGGAATACTCTAGAGAAGACCTTACAGGATGCCCATATGGCCCTATACATGACAGTCGTTGTATACAGTATATATACCATGAACCCATATAACATTTAGTGGCTCAAAACCAAACTTTCAACTTTTGGCCCCTAATAAGGTAATCTTGTTGCGAAAGTTTAAACTTCCTACACCCCCATAGGTATTTGGGAAGTAAGAGTACCTATAGTATAGATAACCTTTCAACGAGCCCAAGATCTGAGAACCCCTCATAAAGAAGCAGCCTATTGGGTAAGGGGTTTCTAGGAGTGATCCAGGAGTCGAAGAGAATAACCTAAAGAATACCACAAACCCCAAAGAATTTCGTACAGGTGACCCTAGGTAAGACGTTATAGAATATCCCCTATATACCTCATAGATATCTTCTTGAGTACCTTATAGCCGTATAGCCTATACATTACGTTATAGAACACGTTCTGTAAGATAATCTTTACGTTCATGTTGATGCCTTGTACAATCCCTTATACAATGCGTTATGGAGTACCCGATAGAAAGCCCGAAACAACGTTACATACTTGGCCTTTTATAGGCCTTGTACAATATCATCTGCATTTCCCTACCGACTAGCTTACAGAATACACAATATCTATGATACCCTCTGAGTACCCCATAGGAAGTCCTAAAGAAAACCTAACGGATATTCTATAACATACCCGTAGAATGCACCATAGAATGCCTTGTAGAGTACTTTATAGATAACGGATTAATGGCAGGATAATCAGGAGCAGAATGCTCTGCGCTGTACCTGCTATGTCATTGTGCCCAATGAAGAAATCAAAAACAAGAGCATATAGAACACCTTACACGATACTCCTCCTTTACATCTTAAAAATTTCATATAGATACCCATAGATTATAGAAACCGTTTATACCTTTATGAATCCTGTTGAATACCCGTTCGTGATTTCACCAATATTCACAGACCAAAAAAATGCTTGCCATCATTTTGAAAAACCGCTCACCAACACGCAGCACTCGAGATCCTGGTAAACACGTTCGGCACATCAAATTCACATTCCTCAACCCTGAACCTGAAACCCCGCCCACTTGGGACGAAGCGCGATTGCAGTCAAGCGGCCCTGATTCAACTCAATCGGCCCCGATTGAACTCAATCGGGGGCCGGATTGAAGATTGAAGATTGAAGATGCCCCGGCAAAAGTTTTCGAGGGAATCTTCAATCTTCAATCTTCAATCCGGCGCCCGATTCAACTCAATCGGCCCCGATTGAACTCAATCGGGGGCCGGATTGAAGATTGAAGATTGAAGATTCCCCGGCAAAGTTTTCGAGGGAATCTTCAATCTTCAATCCGGCGCCCGATTCAACTCAATCGGCCCCGATTGAACTCAATCGGGGGCCGGATTGAAGATTGAAGATTTCCCCGGCAAAGTTTTCGAGGGAATCTTCAATCTTCAATCTTCAATCCGGCGCCCGATTCAACTCAATCGGCCCCGATTGAACTCAATCGGGGGGGGGGGCGACTGAGTTCAATCGGCCCGATTGAACTCAATCGGGCCAGGGTGGAGTTCACCCAGCCACAAAACGGTCCATCGGGTAGGCCCTCCCCTCAAGGATCTTCCATTTTCGTGTGATGTGGCTCACAAACACACGAAAAAGGTAGATCCATGGGGGGGGGATACCATATATATATATATATATATATATATATATATGTATATATATATATATATGTATATATATATATATATAGAGCATGTATACAGTATACACTATAACATAACATAACACTGTATATGTACATATATGTGTATATGTATATAGATATGTATACAGACACAAGCCCCAAAGCTTCGACCTCCCATTTGGCCTGAGACCACCGCGCTGCGGCTGCGCGGCCGAAGCCTGGCGACGATGCCCCCCGCGCCGAAGGTCATCGTGGCCCGGACGGCACATGAGACATAATACAGAGTCCTCAGCAATTCAGAATATTGTGGCGTTTGATACATGATGATGCAGATTCCTCAACAATTGGATATTGTGGTGTAATAAAGAAGTAGGAACCCTGAGAAGGGGTATTCGTGATTCTTCAGGCTTCTTTAGCTTCGATGTTAGACTGCCGCGCATGCACAGCCCTATGGCCCCTAGCCTTAAACTCGATAAATCCCCAAATCCAAAAATTCCCCCAAGCCTTAAACCCTGATCCCGAAACCCTGTAGAACCCTGAAAGAAACTCGTAGAGTAACTTCTTAGACCCCACAAGGTTTTCGAGTTCTGAACACTTGAACTGAGGCCATGTATTATCCGCAGTTCCATCAAGTGCCCGAGCTGGAGAAGTACTTCGGAGACGGCTACACGGACCGGGCCGGTTCTCACTGTTATGAGAATTTCTATTGCAAGTACTATTCGAGTACAAGTATTGCTAGTCTTGCTACCATTTGTATGTTGATTCCTATGACCAATCACTGATGACTAACTTAATTAGTGATGATTTACGAATCACTACTACATGATCTTATTTATGTCGCCAATAGTTCTGCGGTATGTGTAAGCCATGTTAGGGGACTTATAACCCCGCTTATACGTACCCATGAGCCTCCAAGTAAGGGTTGTGAAAGCGGTTTCTGTACGGTTGTAGAGAAAGATGCAAACCAGCAGTAAATTTTCGTAAAAAACAACCCGCCCGGGGCTTCCCCCCGTTCCCCCCCCTTGAAGAGGCCTCCAACCCGCCCCACAAGCACCGCAAGCTCGAGAGGACTGGAAGGCGCTCCAGGACTTCAAAGGCTGCCCCTGGGCTCGGGGTTCTGGTTCACAGGAAGTTTAGGGTGTTCGGTCCCTTTAAGAGGGTACTTTGAGGCCTCCTTTAGGGGATCTATAGTGGTTCTATAAGGGGGTTTGGGGTTTGGGGTTTAGGGCTTGGGATTTAGTTAGTTAGGTTTTGGGGGCCCAAAAGGTCGGCGAGTCTCAGAAGAAAGAAGGCTCAGGGTGCGGGTCTGCAGGGGGGCGTTCAAGGCTTGGAGGAGTCTTTTGCTCCGTCGTTTGGCTTGTGCCATCATTTTGTAAGGGTTGAAGTACGCAAACTCAGAAGCCCAAAACTTTCAACCCTAAACCCTAAACCCTAAACCCCAAATCCTAAACCCTGAACCGCTTACGGAGTCGAGCAGGCGACGGACTCCGGAAGCCTCTCAGCGAGGAGCGCGGAGGAGCGGGCAGCCTTGTCCTTTTTTCCTACGAAGGGATATAGGTAAAGGGCTCTGTCTAATATTTTTGAAAGGACAAGTGTGGGAGCGGGTCTCAGGGGGTTGGTTGGCTTTCTGTCAGTGTGATATCATCCAAAGGGATGTTGTTTTGGACAGTTGCCCAGACAGGGCTACTGGAGGGGTTCCATACTCGGGTCCACGGTTTGGGGTTTAGGGTCTGGGCTTGGGGTTTGGCGTTTTGATCCGCGTTTTTTGGATTTAGGGCTGAGGTGTGGGCTTTTTGAAGGGCGTCCGGTTTCGGGTTTGGGCTTTTGAAGGGTGTGTTCGGGCCTCAGGGTTTAGGCGCAATGTCTACTGCAGGGTTTCATGACCACTTGATTCTGAGAATAAGGTTTTTTCATGCGAGAACAGTAAAGAGATGAGTCGAGACCCCTGTCGAAGGCTTGTATTGTTTGTGGGGGTTGGGAAAATCGTGTAGAGCTGAAGACCATCAATCCTACACCCGAAAACCCGGAGTAGAACTCTACAGCCTATGCTATCCTGCTTCCGCGATGTCTCGTTATTATTGCCCTCTGGCCCCCGTCAGTTTCCCGGCCACGCAACACCCAAGCTGCGAAAAATTCCCAGTGAGGATAGACATTAACATTCCACCCCCCGAACCGAAATCAAGAAAGTCAGTACTTGGAGGTTCATGGGTAGTTATGACATGGGTTATAAGTATAGTTACCCTACTTATAACCCCACGTATAACTAACCATGGACCCCCAAGTAACAGATAGAAGAGATAGACAAATAAAACCCCTAAGCCCTTGAACCCGAAGCTGTCATGACGAAGTGATCCATCATGTATTATTGCATACATTGTCACGGTGCTTGTTACGACTGTGATGTTGTTCATTGCTGGCATTGTGACAACCATGGTGTCTTTTCATTTGTTGTTCTTCTTCTCCATCATACTATGTGAAGTGTTGCCATGACTAGCACACCTCATCGATCTTACTTATCGTTATGACCAGAACACGTGTGTTTTTTGTTATTTTTGCCACCGTTTTTGTCTTGATATTACGATTATGACGACTTGTGTTACTTTTATGTGTGTCTTTATTGATATGGTTATTCGTGTAGCTGCTGTTGTTACGCCTGGTCTGACTACTACGAGGACTGGGCTTCTACGACCTGATGAAGCGCCAGGTGCGAGGTCGCCAGGCGAACCTGGCGAAGCAGCACGGAGCCGCTTGGCCCATCAGAGCACCGGGAGGTTCCTTGAAGAGAGGGCCTGGGGTTGAGGGATTAGGGTATTCGGGAGTTTGGGGATTGAGGTTTTGGGGTAGGGAGTAGGGTATTAGGGAGTTTAGGTTTAGGGATCAGGGTTTTAGGTTGAGGGATTAAGGTCTTAGGGGGTTTAGATTTAGGGATTAGGGTTCAATGTTTAAGGATTGGGGTATTTTTGGGGGTTTAGGTTTAGGGCTTAGGGTTCTAGGGTTTAGGGGTTGGGGTATTAGGAGTTGAGGTAGGGGGGTTTAGGGCTTTAGGGTTTTAGAGAGTAGGGTTTTAGGGGGTTAAAGGGACCAGGGTTTTAGGGTTTTAGGGTTTAGGGATTAGGGTTTCAGGGTTCATAAGGATTAATCTACGAAGCGCGCAATATAGGGAGGCGGGAGGCCTTAATAAATGGAATAATCCCTTCTTTGGTGCGAGGGACGGGGGTGTATTCAACCCTACTTAGACAGGCACCATAAGGGACAAACAATTCTATACTAAACATGCACAGGTGCATGGCTTCTCGTACTACCACTACTGGATGCTCGGCTGGGATTCTCATGACAACGACGAAGCAGGAGGAGGAGTATGAGGAGTATGAAGAATATGAGGAGTATGAGGAGGAGGAAGCAGAAAGCTGCGTTGCTAAGGTTTGGCGGCGAGGGCGGCCACAACAAGAGCGCTGCCTGCCGGCAATTCAGCACTCTATAGGCCCTAGAGTCGAGGGACGAAGCAACTACAAGAATGACGGTTTTGGTGTGCATGATCGAATCGAAAAGCTGCATCGGATACATGCGTGAAGAAAGGCTTTATGTCGCTGAATCATGAGCACGGCTTCCATGTTGGGTGGCATTCCGCATTGAGACTTCATGCTTCACGTGCCGCTGCATTTGCTGTGCAGGCACCTCATCCTCGCCCATGGCCAAAATCTGCCAGACCTAAACCCTTCAATGCATCGAGATGGAATCAGATGATCCTCCCCGGCTGGCTGCGACAAACTGTAAACTCTAACACCCTACAGCCTCAAGCCCTTGCACTCAAGCCAGAAACCCAGAGTCAGCTCCCGTCCCTCCCAGGTGATGTGGAAGGTGCCCTACCAGGCGCAGAGTCCGTCTGTATGGGACCGCTAGGGCAAAACAGGGGCGGATTATGCCGTCGAGTGGTTAAGCTTCGTTAAACACCTTCACTTAAGGAACGTTTCTCAAGTTCGGACTAGTGCCGGTTTTACCCATAGTGTGCCCTTGTTGTACCCTTATCGAACCCGGGAGCATCTCACGAACGGGCAGCCGAATCCTAAAACACACAAGTGCCCCTATCCTCCCGTCCTAAAGTCCTTCAAAAAATCCGAAAACCTTACAGTACTCCCATCCTACAGCCATAAAACCCTTTACTGGAACCCCTTAGCAAAAAGGCGCCCTGCGCGGGAGGTCCTCCACGATGGGCAGCCGAATCCTAAGACCCAAAAGTACGCCTACCTTCCCTAAGCCCTAAACTCCTAAACTCCTAAACCCTAAACCCTAAACCCCTAGAGACCCTATAACTCCTAAACCGGAGGTTCTCCACGATGGGCAGCCGAATTTGCCCTACTTCTTCACCTGGGCGAACGAGCCCTGGACCCGGAAGTTCTCGGGCCAGGCTGGTGAGGCCGGGACAGGGCTTCGGGTTCCTTTAAAGGGGTACTATAAGGGTTCTCTATAGGGGTTTAGGGTTTAGGAGTTTAGGGTTAAGGGTTTAGGGAGGGAGGGGATCAGGAAGGGAGGGAGCGGTATTACTTTTGGTGCTTGAAGCTTTCAGGGTTCTCAAGATGCAGGGATTTATGGCGTTGGGGTTTGGCGGCTTGGGCTTTGGGGTTCCGGTGGCTTTCGGGGTTTTTGGGGCTGGGGGGCTTAGAGGCAAAGGGTTGTGTAGGGCATGGCATAGACTTCAAAAGCATTGTGGGGTGTGGGGGTTGGGTTTAGGGCATTGGGGGTGTCGGAGGTACAAAGGGTGTTTCGGTTGTCGTTTAGTGAGGGTCTCCTAAAGCACCCTAGCACGCACAAAGCCCTTATAATATGAACTCCTATAGCACCTATCGAAGCACCCTTTAACACCAGTCTAACACCCTGCCTGAACCGTCTTGAACCCAGAGACTCCAATACCCCTTAATTAATTAGGAAATATTCCTTAAATCATATTAAGGATCCTACTATAATTTGAGGTATATTCCTTAATTAAGGGATATTGGAGTCTCTGGGAAGGAAGTTCGTTTCCAGATTTTCGGGTTGCTAGCGATGCCTAGGAGCCCCGCTCTCGTAAAGGAACCCTTAACCCTAAAGCCTAAACCCTTAAAGGAGCCCTTAACCCTAAACCCTAAACCCCCTAAACCCCAAACCCTTAAAGGAGCCCTAAACCCTAATCCTAAACCCTTAAAAGAGCCCCAAACCCCTAAAACCCTTAAAGGAGCCCTACACCCCTAATTGCTCCAACCGAGCTCGAGCTGCTGCCCAGGATGTCCTCATCCCACAGACGCCCTTCGTCGCACAGTGGGGGCTCGCTGATATTGGAGCTTCGAGAGCTTAAGAGCCGAGCTTTAGGGTTTAGGGGTTTTTGGTTTATGGGTTTAGGGGTTTAGGGGTTTGGGGGTTTGGGGTTTTAGGGTTTAGGGGTTCAGGGCTTTAGGGTTTGGGGTTTAGGGTTTGGGGCTCTTCGAACTTTATAGCAGCTTCGTGGTTGAGGCCAGAGGCTTCAGGTTCTTGGGTTCTGGGGTGGGGTCGCGAAGTCAGTGTGCATATGGGTAGTTGTCAAAAATTATGGTCCCTTTCTGGGGTACCCTATATATTAGGTGCCGTAATATACTAAGGACCCCAAGAAGGGACCACGATTTTGACAGCCACCCATATGGGGCATCTTACACCACCACCCTGCATCCCAGACCGCTGAGCCGCCAAGGTCATGCCTAAGCACTGGTAAAGGCAAGTTGCGTGAGATCTAGAACCGCTTACCTTTGGTTAGTAGGGAATGGAAGAATGGTAGGAATAGTAGTTATAATTGTACCCCATTCCTCCATTCCCTACTAACCGAAGGTAAGACCGTAAAAACACCTTACCAGCCCCAAACTTTTCTACATGCCAAGCACCCAGGGCAGGGGCTTTGGGGAAGTCGCCATACTCTCCGGGTCACTTTGGGCGGAAACCGGTGTCCAAGGTATGGCGACCGTGACCACTGGGAAGAGCACTTCGAGCACCTCATGCAGTTCCGGGGACTTATTATCTTCCATCCTTGTTGCCGCACCCCCCTACACCCTGAACCCTAAACCCTAAACCCTAAGCCCACTGCAAGTAGTTGTCGGTGGGGTTTGGTACCAGGTGGACTACACAAAAAGCCTGATAGCAAGGGGTTGGTATGAAGATGTGGGACCTGGAATGTACGGATGATGCAGTCGAATTTCGTGATTAAATGCGAGAACTGCAGCCCTGAGGAGAGCAGAGTGATTAGAAGGGATGCCCGACATGAGCCCCCCTCGTTTGCGCAACCATCAGGTACTTCAAGGATCATCGCTACATGCAGCTGGGCTTACATGAGCAGGTTCAGGTTATGCGCACAATGCCCTTAGAGTGTTCCGCAGTTTTTTGGAAAGCCGTGGGTGCTGGGATCCTTGCTTCGAAAGAGGGGGGTGGTATAAAATTTCAGGGGTTTTCCAAACTCGCGTCTTGATCTCTTCATCGTTGAGCCCCGCGGGGACCCTAAAGGGAACCTTCACAGAACTTTTGAAGGAACATCGATAGAAGCCTGACCTTTCGTCGCTTCCGCAGATCCCTTTGTGCCTCGTCACTGCTTCATGTGCGTTGGCGTTCAGGGTTTAGGGTTATTGCATCACTCGATGTTTCATAAATGTAAAGACCTGGTGTAGAGATGGTTGTACATGTCCCTCGGTGGTTTTTGATTGGGAAAGCGATACGCAATCTCGAGAGCAATGTCCGTAGTGTTTTGTCTTGGTTGCGGCATTCGGGGCAATCCCCCGGGCAGGGTTTAGGATGTGGGTTTGGGCTTTTCAGACTTAGGATGCAGGTTTTAGGGCTTGGGACTTTGGGTTAGGGTTTCTGTGTTCAGAGTTTCGGGCTTATATAGAGGAAAGCCGTAAACTCTTCGGAGGAAGATCGACAACAAGCCGGTCTTTGCCATCCTCCGTCCGCAGCTGCTAGAGTCGTGCCCCGGTCTGATGACGGCGTAATTTCTTTTCGCAAGTTACATGTCCATATGCATGTATATATATATATATATATATACATACACATGTATAGGTGCTATACATCTCGAGCGTTGAGATACGGGTCGAGGCAGCGCTAGGGGTTTAGTTGTTTTGGGTGTCAGGTTTGTTGTGCCGCGTAACAGGGACTGCTGGAAGGCATGATGGTTTGCCGCAAGATGCGCAGTGACTCATGCCATTGTAGTTATTGTTGTTCTGATCAATATAGTGCTCATGTTGACACGAGTTAAGATGCCTAGCCGATTGTGATAGTCGTGTGTTGATTGACGAATCGTGCTCATCGCCATCGCCGCAAGCATCAGCATCATCGCATCATCAATACCGTCCTATGGCTCTGGGCCCTAAAGCCGTAGATCTTATTCGCGCGGGTTCAGGGGAACCTCAGGAGAGCCGCCTTTCGGGAAGCTCTCCGAAGGTTCACAGCAGCAGCAACTACTGCCGCTGCGACTACTGCGACTATGAATGCTGTTGCGACTGCAATTGCGACTGAAACTGCGACGACGACGACCACGACGACATGGACGAGGAACAGGAGGATGACGACGACCTGCATTGCGATTGCTGCGATGGCACTGAGCCCTTGCTCCCAGACTCGGCACTCTACTCCCTGAGCGACACCTAAGCGAGCCAGGAAGCTGGAGCCCATGCTGAAGCTTTGGAGGAGCCTTGCGGTGTGTCTTGGCGATTAGGGCCGGGGTTGGGGTTCAGGGTTTATGGTTTGGGGTGCTCCTTGCATCGGGTAGGATTAAAGGAAGGGATGTTCTTCATTTTCGCGCGCTTGGCCGAGTATTTTCTGGGGTGTTTCCGAGCATGGACGTTGGGCAGTTGCCACGATTTCCAGTCCTGAAATCTCCTCGCCGTAGATTTGGCTTGCAGGGTTTCTCCGAAGACGAGAAGGGAAGCAGCACAGCAAGTTGAGGAAGTTCCGATGGGTTGATGACGATGATCTGGCGGTTGATGGGGCAGATCTGGGGATCTGGGTGGTAAAGGTGATGATGCCGGGGAAGACGAAGACATGGATGTTGGCATGGATGAATTAATAGCAGTGCTAGCAAGTAGCAATTGTGTTACTCGAAGGAGTAGTCACCAAGGGCGGTAGGAGGAGCCCTGCTGAGCATGGTTTCAGATGCAGAGATTGACACTTCAAGCCGCTATTGAATGCAGAGCCGCTTTATTCGGTTTTCCACTTCCTGCGGTATGGGGATGCAGTATAGAGGTCGGGATGCAGAGTGAATAGTAAGCTGCTAGAAACCCTTGCAGAACCCACCTAGAACCCTGATAGAAACCTTTGTGTTAGCCCTTCTAGAACCCCTTACTCTAACTCCCACAATACCAGCTAGAACCTATACCCTTCATAGACAACTTCCTGCAACCCTTATAGTCACTTGCCTGGCAACCCTGATTTTACATAACAATAATAGTAGCCGTTTAAAGACCCGTATAGCAACCCCTACAACAGTCCCGAAACTAACCCTTACAGAACCCTTGCTGTCTATGCCAGCGTATAGCAGCGCTGCAGAACCCTCACCGACACGCGAAACTCTAATCTTGAACCCTGAAATCCCTGATCCCTAAATCCTTACATGTAAATCCCTGAACTCTAAACCCCACCCCAGGCAGAAGGGCTTCTCCGGCCTTTACATCCTCTCCTCTGTGGGCCGACGTTGCATGGTGGAAGAGAGAGGCTTCTTTCGGGTTTGGAGTTTGGGGTTTCGGGTTTAGGGCTTGGCGTTTGAGGTTTAGGGTATAGGGCTTAGTGGGCTTGGGGTTCAGGGGTTTTAGGGATCAGAGGTTTGGGGTTTGGGGGTTTATTGCAACAGTTCAGGCATGAGGCTCTCAGGCTTATGGGGTTTAAGGCCTAGTTTAGGGTTTAGGGTTTAGGGTTTAGGGGTTTAGGGTTTAGGGTTTAGGGTTTAGGGTTTATAGTTTAGGGTTTAGTTTGCAACCCTATGGCTGCCCGATTTGACATCGCTCTGCTGAGGTTTCTACGAGGAGCACAACTACAAGGCAATGGATCACCCCAATCATACCCAAATCCAAATCCCCGGCCTCCGCGATCGCAGATACATCAGCAGGTACACATGCATGTGCTCACAAAATACCTGCATTACAGAGGTTGTATTCATTGCATACATTACATACCACGTACAAACGGTACATCACGTACAATTATGTGCATTATGTACATTACATACACACATGAATAGTGCGATTGCATACATAACAGAAATTAGATACATGTGTTACATCATACATCACGTGCATAGCATGCATTGTGCACGCATACATACGTACGCTTCCTAGACTGCCTCCAGTGACACTACGTGCACTGCATGCAGAAGCAATGTCACGTACATAACGCACGTTCAAAGACATTACATACACTACACTTGTGTACTTAACACACACTAAGCACACCAGATTCGATGTACTGCGGGCATATACATGCGCCACATACAGTGCTTACACTGCATACATCAGGTACATCACATACATGACGCACATGTACATACACTAGTTGCCCTCCACACATATTAAGATACGTTTCGTGTGTACTTCACATATACTACATACACACTACATGCATTACATGCTCCTTTGACATGGTATATATTATTGACATTTCGCGAATGACATGCATTACATGCACTGCGTCATTATGTACGTTGCACACATTGGGTCCATTGTCTACATTGCACGCACACTTACATACATCGCGCACACTACACATATCAAGATATGATGTTTCGAACCTTGCGTACACATCACACATTGCATACACTGTGCATTTGCATACATACAGCATACATGCATGAATACATACATGCATACATCCCTCCCTCCCTCCCTCCCTCCCTCCCTCCCTCCCCTCCCTCCATCCCTCCATCCCTCCATCCCTCCATCCCTCCATCCCTCCATCCCTCCATCCATCCATCCGTCCATCCATGTATCCATGGGTCCATGCGTCCATGCGTCCATGATGCAGTTATTTGCTATGCAAACATGTGTCGACGCCTGTTATGTTGCTGCATAAAGACCTTTCCGCCGACATGACGAGGCACATACACAGACTCGCAAACCGCGGATCCGAGCCTTCGACGCCTCTCGCTGCCACCTCCCGCAAATTCAATTGAGAGAACAGACCTCATCGTAGAGCCCTAAGCCGAAAAACCCTAAACCCCTAAACCCTGAACCCTAACTCGTTATAGTAGCAGCCTTGAAACCTAAATCATCTAAATCCTCAGCCCACAACCTCAGCCGACCTCAGCCCAAATTTCTCATTTTCCAGGCGAACCTGTTGGATGGAGCCTTCCACAACGCACCAAGCTGCCACCCGGCGTCAGAGCATACCCTTGGTTTTGGAGGGGGGGGTTTTGTTGGGGTTTATGGGCGTCGTTCCCTGATGGCTGTGGCAATACACCACAAGCATCCAAGTTGGGATCATGCACCCTTCCGCCACAACCTTCAGAACCAACCAGCGCGCTGAATTTGCGCATCAAAACTGATGCCCGAACCCGCAGCCTCAAGCCGCTTCCATAAGTCCTAAATCCTCATCCTAAACCGCAGCCCAATATAGTCACCCTCAAAGGCCTTGAAAGGGAACCCTGTCATGGAGCCTCAAAGAAAGAAGCTGAAGCCGAAGCACAGGCAGAGACCTCTGCGGTGGTGTGGCCTCCAACAGAGACCTTTACCTCGTCAAGGAGCCTCACCAGCTCCTGGGACTGTCGGAGAGTTTGAGCTTCTTCGCGGTATGGGGTTTGGGGGGTTTAGGGGTTGAGGGGTTTAGGGTTTGGGGTTTGAGGTCTCAAGGGGGTTGGGCTTGGGGTTGAGGGTTTGGGGGTTTGGTGCTTGGGGCGTTCGGGGTTTGGGGATGTAGAGTGTAGAGTTGAGGCGAGTTCCTTTTTAAAGACTCGTTGCAGAATCTTCGTCTATTCATCCTGATTGTGGGATGGCAGGCAAGCGGTAGTCGTCGGTCTCTTTTTTTTTTTTCTGCGTCTAACGCTCCCCTGCTCCCCTCGAGACCCTAAGCCCCAAACCCGTAAACCCCGAAACCCTAAACCCCAAGCCAAGGTACTGGGGTGCCGCGACGGGCTTCGATGGCCGTGTGCACGGCAACAGCGGGGTCCGCACCTCGAGACCTCAGATCCAGAGTTATCATTATTGTATAAGATACTACAAGATGCCATAAAGGGAACTCCAGAAAGTTGGAATATGGTTTCAGGGTAGGATACCCTATAATTTACCATAAAGGGTTTAGGATAATCATATTCCAACTTTCTGGCTTTTACTGTATTTTATACTATAAAAGATGTTGCCATACTACAAGATACCAGGAGATGCTAAATTTCAGACCAAACATGTTTTGCTATCCTAGAGCATGCCATAATTCTGCCGTTACATACAAGTAGAAACCAGAGGAGAGTCTGGCAATCCCGGCATCGGCTTCGGAGGTCGGATATCTATCCAGGGTGTAGTTTAGAGTTTGGGCGCTGAGAGCCTTCGGGGGCGATAAGAATGATTACAATAAACACAAGAAGAATAAGAGTAAGAATGCAACAATAGCAATAATAATGATACTAGTAGATTAGCAATAATAGCAGTCATAAGAAGAGTGACAATAATGATAGGCAGTGTCAGACGCAACCCAGCTTGTACGTAACAGTTTGGGGTCCACGATCGAGCCTGTGACCACGGAACCCTCATCTGACCACCCGCCCGTAACCCCAAGACTTGGACTAAAAGGTTCAGGGTTCGGGGTTGGGCACCGAAAGGCTCTAAAGCCCTTAAGTAAATGAACCGTTCGAGGAACCCTTAGTGCGTAATGTGTCAGGTCTACTGACACCCTGGGGTCAAATTCACTCTACCGCCGCCGACCAGCCTAGCTTTACAATAGGAGCCAGAAGAATTGGAAATGGTATTCCCTTGGAGCCCTTAGCAGAATGTACGGTATAGCATGATACCCCTAAGCCTTAAAGCCGAAACAGTAAAGCCCTCAAGCGATATCCCAAGAAGCGTTCCAATTGCTTGGAGTTTCTTCCATTCAGGAAGGTGCACCTGTCGCTGTTTCATGATACATTGTCCAGATGTTCAGGCCACTCCACGCCAAAGCCCAAAACGGCGGAACCCGAACGCCGAAACCACAAAAACCCTACCCTCTATGCCCTACTTAGAGGACCATGGGACTTAGTAAGTAGGTTATATTTGGGGTTATAAGTCCCCTAAGTGGGGTTATCCTAATTATAACCTACTTATAACCTTACTTACTAAGTCCCATGAGCCTTCAAGTATACTACTTATGTAGGCCCCAGTCTCCAACAGCAAACTGGTGGCGTTAAGCTTGAGGAGTTTGGGCTTCAGGATTTAGGGTTTAGGGAAGTCTAGGGTTGGTTTGTATGTTTGTTGGGTTCGGCCCACTTCTTTTGAACGGGACTTCGTGGAAAAAAAAACTACTGTTGCATTCATTTCCTGAGAGGGGTAGAACGCAAGTTCGCTGTGTTACTCAAGGTTATGCTCCCCAAACTCCAAACCCTAAACCCTAAACCCTAAACCCTAAACCCTGAACCCTAAACCCTAAACCCTTAAACCGTGGCTCCCCAAGCCTTGAACCTGGGCCCTGAACTCTAAACCTGAATCAATATTGAAGCTCCCCAAACTCTCAACAAGCAAGTTTGTAGGGTTTAGGGTTTAGGGTTTAGGGTTTAGGGTTTAGGGTTTAGTTTCCCAAGAGCTACGCTTGTTTCCGGGGTTTCGAAGGTGCGGCGAGGGCATTTTAGGCAATGTTCACTATCACTGTGCTGCCGGTAGAACTGCTAGTCACGCTGACGTTGAAGAGCCATGAGCCACTCGCAGGCCCTGCACGTGACGCCGAAGGCGGGCGAGACGAGTTTGGGGACGCGTGCATTGGGATACGAAGCATCGGTTTGCTTTTTGGGTTTCAACGTTTTCGTTTGAGATTAAGGGTTTCGGGTTTCGGGTGGAGCCCTTCCGTTGCAGTGCAGGATCTGCAGCCTATGGCGCGTGCGCTGCAGTCTACACCCAAACTACACCCTACATCTCAGGCTGCAGCCGTACACTGTAGGTCACTTCAACCCTACTTAAAGGATCATGGGACTTAGTAATTACGGTTATTACTAAGGTAGCTATACTTATAACCCCAATTAAGGTACAGTACTTATAACCATACTTACTAAGTCCCATGAACCTCCAAGTACACCCCGTCGGCTCGCCACAAACGGCCTCGATGTTTGGCTGGGGAGGTCTAGGGAGCCGTGCTTCGTGGTCTAAGCGTTTAGGGTTCAAGGCTGAGGCTTCAGGATGTTTGGGGAACCCTGACCCTGAACCACTAAAATGACCCTCCTAAGACCTAAGCCCGAGGTTTTGTGCGCAAGTTCGCCACGGAATCCCCTGTAAGTGCAAAAAGCGGATCCGGCCAGGACTTCCAGCAAGCCCTCATCGGGTCCTTCGCCAACATGACCGCCATGCCGCAGCGACATGTCCCTGAGAGGCTCAGCTCGTCTTTGCCCAAATCCCTAAACCCCAAATCCTAGGAAATCTACTTGGTAGCTGAGTGGATACACTTTACACTTTTTGGGATAATAATACTACCCACTATAAAACTGAAAGTGTAAACTTTTTGGGGCTGTTGAACTCAGCAACTAAGTCTAAATCCCTAAAACCTTAATCCCCAAACCCTGACCCCAAATCCCTAAACCCTAAACCCCCAAATAGTCGAAAGCCCACGGCAGGCGTTCGGGAAAGTCACTTAGGGATCGCTGAGGGGCGCCTTTAGGATTGCGCTGATCATGTGCAACTGTCTACTTAGAGGATCATGGGACTTAGTAAGTAGGTTATAATTGGGGTTATAAGTCCCCTAAGTGGGGTTATCCTAATTATAACCTACTTATAACCTTACTTACTAAGTCCCATGAGCCTTCAAGTAGTGAGATGGCCAGACCTGTAACAAAAGGGTCCCTATTCTGCCTATGAAGGCCCATATAATTACTACAAAAGCCCCATAAGGCATCTAGGAAATCCTCATACAACTCTCCCTCTCAGAAAGGACCGAAGCGAGTGGGCTTTTCTGAGGAATCTCTTCTTCGTTGGCTCCTGGAACCACTGGGCGGAGCAGCACACCCTCGAGCCGGACGAGAAGTACGTTTTCGGTGCCTTGACATCTAGTGTTAACATGAAATGCTAAAGCGCAAGCCTTACCATCTGACTTACGTGATCCTTTCATGACTTAGCATCTCATGAGTTAGAGGGCAAAACAGAGGTCGGAATAGTTCCAATCTGTACCCCCTTCTACTCGCTATACGGTTATGCTGCTATGCTGTAGCACAACCCCGAACCCTACTCTTGTAGTGGTAAATGGTATTCCCGTATAGTCTCCGTGATATCCATAACTTCTAGTATTGCCGAAACCCTTTTTCAAATATTCAGGCCTTATCTTAAAGGGTATAGAGCCCCATGAAGCAACCATCTAATCGATCCCTATTCTGTTATTACTGCCTGTGCAGTAGTCCTTGGAGAGGCAAGCGGCTAGGAAGCCTCGCAGGGTTTACGGTTCGGGTTTCTACTGAGGTGCAATTTTGTTTTACAAAGTCCTACAGGGTACTATAAAGGCGTTCAATATTGTAGGAGCCGTAATAAATAGACGAGGTTTTTCGGTGCTAGTATGGTAGAAGTGTACGGGGACTACATGGGGAGAGGGGATGCTGGGTGGCCGCATGCCCTCTCCAAAAAATAGCAACCTATGCTCCGAACCGCCGGAGTCCCCTGAACCACCATAGACCCTTTATGATAAGAGCCTTATCGCGCTCGTATAGAACGTGTTATGCAACCCCTACAGAGCCCTTATGAAAGGACCCTCGCTCCTGCATGCCCAGGCTACCTCCAGGCCTTGCGCAACGCCCTGGAGCACGTGCAGCCGCGTGAACTTGAAGCCCGAGAGACAGGTGGCGGCCACTCGCAAGCTGCCTAGGGCTTTCAGGGCCTGCAGGGTTTAGTGAAGTGGACTTACAGGGCTGAAACGGAAGGGCCGGTAGGGTTTAGAGTTTAAGGGTATGATATGGGAGTTATGTGTTCATTTGTCATGCGTTGCTTTTTTCGTGGGGTTTGCTGGTTTCGGGGGTCTGTGCTTGATACTCTGCAAGGGCTCATCCTTCAGCATGCCGGTTCATGGAATCATGATCTGTCCCCCTGCAGGCTCCACTACTCAAGAGTCCGTATGAGCTTCAGCGGGTGCAATAGTCAGCAGTAGTCATTTGCAGAGGACCCAGAGACTCCAATACCCCTTAATTAGGGAATATTCCTTAAATCATATTAAGGATCCTACTATAATTTCAGGTATATTCCTTAAATCATATTAAGGATCCTACTATAATTTAAGGTATATTCCTTAGTTAAGGGATATTGGAGTCTCTGGGGAGTGCTCCCGAAGACGGGTGCCTCCCCGTTCTCTCAGCCACGGGCTCATGGTTCAAGTGTAAGATCGCTGAGCATCCGTGCGGCTCAAGGCACAATTTCATCTAGGTAGGGCTTTGGGACATTTTATATTTTCCCTTATTGGGCTTAAGAGGATCTTATCTACTAATGGCTCTACAAGCCCCACCTAGTCATCAACACAAGAATAGCATTCAGCAAAGCCTCTAGCTTCCTCCCTTAGCCCTAAAGCCCGAGTATTTTCGACAGTTCAGTAGCCGAACGTTTCGTCAGCGCTTACGACCGAATTTCCTTCTCCTTCTGTTATGAGCTGACCCGAAAGTGTGTGATGACAGTTTGCATCCATCCAGTTCGTTGCTGTCGTAGGTTGTTGAGATACTAGAATAGAACTATCTCTGTGTTGATAGTTGTAGATACGTATGTAGCTATGTAGATCCAGGTGGGTTACTTACATAGACAGATGGTTAGATAGTTCCTTATGCAGGAGTCTCGCCTATCTGGTGGTTTGATGTCTATCTTTGTGTGTATAGATACATATAAACATGTATGTGCGTGTCTTCTTTTGGCCACATTCGCATATACGTATCTGCCTAAGTAATCTGTTTACCTACCCAAGTATCTATTTACCTATCAAAAGCTCATCTATCGGTCTATCTATCTATCTGTTTATCTTGCCCTCTAGCTACCTAGCTCTCCAGCTCTCTAGCTCCCTAGCTCTCTGTCTCTCTATCCAGCTTTCTGTCTAACTATGGACCCGTTTGTCTATCTACCCACCTACCTACTTAGCTCCCTATTTATCTCTGTCTGTCTGTCGGTTTGTCTATTGGTCTATCTATCCATATATCTATTTATCCTATCCTTCTCTCTTTCTCTCTCGCTTTCTGTCTCTCTCTGTCTATCTCTGTCTCTCCCTGTCTCTCTCTGTCTGTCTCTGTCGGTCTCTGTCTCCGTCTCCGTACCTATTTATACACGCACATATAACCCACGACTATTTAGAGAAGCTAGCTTAATGTTGGGCTGAACGGAGACGGCATCTGCATGCATTGTATGTCATACAGTCATACAATTGAACAGCACGGTGTCTAATCCTGAGTCCTTGCTGTTTCCTGTGTTCGCACATCCTGCTCGTCTATGGCAGGGCAGAACAGGCTTCAGAACAAGACAAGATACCAGGCACCACATGTACTGCAAGCACACCTTCGGATACAGCATTACAGTATACGCTGCCGTTGCGCATCATTTGACCTGTTGAGCGCACGGTTTATGACGCAAGGACGATTGGCATCGCGTGTTCGTAGAGGTATGCACCCAGGCACAAGTGTACATGCAGGCAGGTTTTTCGTTGTATTTGTTAGTATGTTGATGCCCGGAAGCACTGTTTTTGTCTTTGCTGGTGTACCTTGTGCTGCAGCTATTGTAGTTGCTGTTGTGGTCGTCATCGTCGCTACTCTTGATAAAGAGAGGTTGACATGGCAATACTTATGGTCCTACATATCAATATCCTTGCACTTGTCCCCATCAGACCTATACACTATGTAGTAAAGCAGCTGAGCCCGAGAGATAGGAAAATTTTGAAGTTGAAGTCCAGCCGGTCCATGGCGACGCTTTGCCAAAGGGCGGTCGCCGCGACTGCATGAACTGAGCACATGCGTTATTTTCCGTCTGTTTCTATGGGCAGGTTTCTCAAGGAACGGTGCCCGGGAATCGAATTCCCTTTATTGCGGTGGTAGGGGATTAGCCTCGACTTCCGAAGAATGCAGCCGCAGAAAGGCTCGAAAAGACCTCCTGCACTTGACTACTCCTGCAATTCCTGTCCCTCCTACTCAACCTCCTATAGCAGCACCAACACCGGCAGCTACACCAGCATCCGCAATTGCACGGCGACCGGACCGGTACCGGTGGCACCAGCACCAGCACCACTTCTTCGTTCTCAAGGTATGCTTGCAAGTGCCATGGTCTAGATGGTGCTATTCATTCGTAGTTTCGGACTTCAATTGAGTCACAGCAAGAATGCTGCTACTATTATGAGCAATGGTAAGCCCCGCAATAGCATTGCTGTTATATATTATGAATTTACATGCTTCACGAGTACTGACCTTATGATCTCAAGCGAGGTGCCCTCCACCTGATGTGAGTTGTGTCCGCTCGCTTGGGCTCCCAGCTGCCGTAGCCTTGAGCCCACTCCTCAAGGGGAAGAGAGGGGGCAAAACCTGGCAAACGGGCAACCTCACAGATACCTACGGGTTTTCTTTCCTACTCTGCCGAAATCCTCACAGGACCATAGTTTGGGGTTTGATTTCCCCTTGGAGCTTTGCATGGAGTTTGGGGGTTTATGGCTTAGAAGCTCCTACGTCGATATATGTATATGTTTATATTATGTATATGTATATTTATATACACATGAAACCCTACTTCTAAGCCCCAGAGAACCCGATAGTTAGCTCAGGGTCTTCTAGGGTCTTAGCTCAGGGTCATCTTTGTTGGAGTGTGGGTCCCGGCGCTGTGCGGCCGGGCTCGCACGAGGAGTGTGAGAAGGCAGGGCGAAGAGACTTTGCATAGGGTTTTCCTTTCGCAAAGCAGAACGTTGGGCAGAGCTTATTTCGTATTCTTGTCGTAGTAGTAGAGTGGGATATCTCAACTACAGAATACAAAAGGTTTCGTCAGGCCGAGGTCAGCCGACCCTGAAGTGGAGTCTGTAGCCAGGCTGGCCGATCCGGCCCTACGAAAAACGGCCACCCGGCTCGCATACGTTCATCCGGTCACGAGTGACTGCATGATGTTGACAACGGGTTTACTTCTATATGTGAGTTTCCGAACATTAGGGGTACCTTATTTCGGGGTCCTTGTAATAAGGGTCCTACTATGTAGGATACTAGATGATGGTCCTCTATTTTCGGAAACTCCCATATCGCCGTTGTGACGATCTCCTATGTGCACTGTTGGCAGTCGTGCTTGCCTCATCGTCTATGTATCTATTATGTGTGGGCCTCTGTGATGTTTTATTCTCCTATGCGCTGTGCATTGCTGAGAATGCGAAACAATCCCATATACAGCAGCATGTAAGTCTTGGAACTGAACTGAACTGGGCATTCTGGGTACGTACACTGTCAGGATGTCAGACGGCATGTGCCGGGTCACACTTGTCTGGCCGCGTTGGGCTGCAGGGGTGTTCTGAGGCTACCGTGCTGCCGTCCCACTTACCGGTGGCAATTGCGGCGGCCACCACTGCAATTGCACCTCGGCGTGACGGTTGGGAGAAAGTTAATCCCAAACCACCAACCCCAAACCCAAACCTTAAACCCCAAACCCGAAACCCCAAAAGCCCTCCAGAAAGGAGCCTTTGCTTAGTTCATGGATGGGGACGATCTTCAGTGCTCAAAACTTGTCGGGTTTGCGAGACACAAGATTCTGTGGGAAGTTCTCTGGAGCAGACCAGGGAGTGGGAGAGGGAGAGGGAGAGGAGAGCATTAAAGAACATAGACAACAATACAGCCAGAGTGTCTGCAACATCTGGTTTAGGGTTCAGGGTTCAGGGTTTTGTTGTGACAAAACCCCCTGCCCGGACATCATGCCCCCTAAATCCCTCGTCTGTTGAACAGACCTCGAGGCGTTTGGCAGCAACACCTGCCGCGGAGGCAGCAGCAGCAGCAGCCGTAGCTATGGCCGCTGGGCTTTGATGAGGTTTAATATAGGGGCCTTAATAATCAACTATAAGTTCCTTACTACAATTCTAGCATAGTGGGCCCCAACACCCTATTCTGATTATTAGAGCCCCTCTGTTACAGAACCCTACTACAGACCCCTTAAGGAAACCCTATTCTGATACTTAAGGCCCCTACATGAGGTTGCCTTCGTGGATCACTGTGTTAAGGCCTGGATCCCAAACAACCCAACATCCCAGACCTCCTCTGCTGCCGCCCCAAGATCCCTTTTCAGATATCTCGTTAACAGGGGTTTAGGGTTTAGGGTTCAGAGCCCTTATACAACACCACAGATGCCCTGTACAAAAACTGCATAAAACCCAGAAAAGGCTCTGCAAAGCCCTATACATAGTCATTGAACTTTAAAGGCTGTGCAAAACTCATTAAAGATGCAATAGAACGAGCGAAAAACCCTTTAAGGCTATCAAAATGAGTGCAGTAACTCTAAACCCTAAACCTTCTATCTGTGGTAACGAAAAGGAGCTTTCAAAAAAAGAAAATATAGAACCTATTCAACACGAGCCCAACGATCTGAAGCAGAAAGCCGCGTTGCCCAGGCCATGGCCTGGTCTGCCCCGCTCCGCGGGCGCCGGTCGCCGGAGGTTCCGGGTTCAGTTTTGTGGCTATTCCAAAAAAAGTTTTAAGGGCATTTGCATAGGGTTTAGGGTTTTTGCGGGTTTTGAGGGTTTTAGGGCCTTTTAGTGGTTTCTAGGGTTCTTTCTCTGGGTTGTGGAGTTTTGGGATTACAGCAGGGGGTTAAGGGTTTTACTAAAGCTTGCACCCCTGCATGCCCCCAAAGCCCAAAGTGTCCTGTCGCCTGACATCCTAAAAGTTCCGAACAAAACTGGGTAACATCCTCACAAAATCTTTATCATCTAGCACGGAAAACTGCCTCAACTCTGAACGGTCGTAAAAATCTGTTAACAGCCCACGAGCCTGTAGAACATGAAGACAAGCCTTATGAAACACTCTTAATCCGGTTAGGGTTGAGGTTCAGGGATTCTTATGAACTCGTTTACAGCCCAAAAGGCCGAAGAGCATGAAAAGAAGAACCTGCGAAGCTCGGCAGAGGCCAAGCAGTGACGCCT